CACGGGCTGCGATTTGGCCGCCGCCCGGTTAGCTCAATTGGATAAACGCCGGTCCGAACCCCGGCCGGACCAACACTCAGGGTCTTTAAATAAGTGAGAAGAAAGTGCTACCTTTGTAAAGACATCTGCAAACGGTAGGCCCCGTCCCACAACCCTTGCACATTTAAATTCTGTGGGACGTTAAAAGAACCCACGCACTGTCCGGAAAGAGTAGGGGACATAGTTCCCGGCTTGTGGTATCTCTCCCTTTGAAGGGGAAGAGGGGGCGGGGGCACTGTTATGGGCCCCAGTAAATGGCTCCACGCGCTGTTGCGGAAACCCTGCCAAGAACTGGCGAACTAAAGTAAATAATTAAGCTGACACCGTCTACGCTTCTTTTTCATTCTACCCTTTCAAGTTGAAGATGTAAAAACTGAGCTGTTTGCCTGTCACGCTGAATCTTGTCCTCTTCCGAAATTCTGCCGCTCAATTATTCAATATGTAATAAGCATACAACGTGAAGACCCATTTATTTTTCTGTTCAGTCTACAGCTAACAATCGATAATGAAGCTCTAATTTATTGGCAGCTTGCGAAATACAGCCATCTCTCTTCGCTCGTCGTCACTAGGGACGTTTCGAGGGAGAGACATCTGCAATTCGGCCCCCAAAATTCCTACCCTGCATGGGGTTTGCATTTGATGGTTGTTACTTCTTCTCTTTTATCTGTCATTCTTAAGCAACAAATAAAATTACTAAGTCGACCAATCAGCGCTCGTTAATCACATTCCGGACATTATTGACTATTTGAGGCCGAATCGCAGTCGTCTTCTCTCGCGAAGCGTCTCCAGCGGCGGGGAGCGAGGCGAGAGGGCTGTATTGGCAGGCTAATTTATTACCAGACGTAGTTAATCGATAAACCACAATCGATGTTAATCGATAGTAATCGATATCAATCATCAATGAATATCGATTTCCGACATCGATCGATAGAAATCGATAAAGAAAAAAGTTGTGACTTCGATTAATATGGATGATTTTCCGATAGAAATCGATGATTTTTTATCGATTACTATCGATTCCTATCTATTGTTATCGATTTTTTTTTTGTTCTGTGACTTCGATTTTTATCGATTTCCGATATCAATCGATATTATCGGTGGATTAGGTCGATTAATATCGATGATTTCGATTGATTTCCGTGATCGATTTTTATTGATTAACTACGTCTGGTTTATTAGAAACGCTTGAATTTGGAGTATTACTATTATAACAAACGGCTCCCTTTTTCCTATCAGGCATTTTTCAAAGGCAAGCTTAAGATCAAAGGCAACATGGGTCTGGCAATGAAACTGAGAGAAATTCAACCTAAGGCTGGAAAGTCCAAGCTGTAGAAAGCAGACAAGTACACAACAAAAGAACCAAATACAAAAACACTGCTATAAACGAAACAAACAAAGAAGCATTTGATGCGCACGATAAAAAAACGATTAATTTTACTACTATCCATTCTTGATTTGACCTCAGTCGTCTGTGTCACAAATTGTGAAAACTTCCAGATTTTATTGAAAGAAAGGATCTCAAACAAATGGTAAAAAAGCAAATGTACTTCTGAAGAGGTTTCGTCTGAACTACACCATGCATTTGATTTTGTCCTCATAATCAATCTTTAAAGCCTCATGACATGTCTCTGCTGGGACCAAAATGTCATTAGCAGTCTTAAGAAACGAGTGCTTTAATAGCGATGTCATAATTGTGTTCTTGTCTTGGGTTCCGTAGCGTATAGATTAGCTACCTGCGATGATATGTAGGGATTTGTGATTTGTGATTTCTGCATACATTTCCCATGTTAATGATTAGAAGAATTTGTTGAATTGGTTTGGAGAAATTAGGTGCAGGTTTCTCTCAGGGGTTAAGAGCGTTAAGGTTTAACCTTTATTTTTGCCAAAATATTGGAAAAAATCTAACTACATCTCTGTGGGGTGTCATGTACCCCCTCTGTAATGGTCACTCGTGTGTACTTTTATCAGTGTTACAAACAAGAAAATCATTTACTGGCTGAACCAATCAATGAAACACGAGTATGTTTTCCAACGAGCTACCGTATGCCTCCTGCTTCGTTCTCAGACTTCTCGCTCGCGATTTAAATTTGCGCTCAAAGGACGGTGGGAAAGAGATTTTATTTTTCCTGTCGTGCCAGTCAATTCGTCACCAGTCACTTGCATTTCGCTCTGGCATTTTTTCGCAACGAAAGTGCGGAGAACGAAACGCGTGATGAGTAGGCAGGGTTTACATCGACAGTGTAGGATCAGTGTTTAGTATGTGTAACATACCAAAATAATATAGATAAACTTTTCAAGACTTCGGTACCTTTTTATCAGATTTATTCCAAGTTAAGTTTTCAGATGTATTCCAAGTTTTAATATGCACCCCTCAAAACCTCCTCAAAAAGTCATTCAATGCTTCGTAGAAATAAAATAAAAGCCTCCTAAAATGTTTTCTTTTTCTGTCTTCTGCTATCTAAAATAAATAAACTAGATCATTTTGTTATAAATTAAAACACTGACATTAAGGACCTCTGCGGTATTGCATTTAAACTGTCAGCTCTTCCTTTCTTTCACTTTTGATATAGTCTATAAATAGTGAGAACAAAATACACTGGTTTTCAACCAGTGTAATAGCAGTAAGAAGATAAAATCATACCAAATCTAAATTATTAATGGCTAACACGTGGGAACGGCAACGCCCACGTTCCTCCCAAGACTGATGGGAGGGAGGTACCCCCTAATGTGTGTCACGTGATGTAGGTGTGAACCGCGGGATAGGGCCCTGTGGCCCGTTCGGTTCCTCGAAAGTCCCGACAACTTTTCGGGCCCGGAATCAGGTATTCAAATCAAAATCTAAAGAATCAAAGCGCGTCCTCCTTATTGTTGTTGTTAACTGATAGTTTTATCATATTATCTACAAAACTATTAAAACCTCGATATTGAATTTAAACAAGAGCACCTTTTTGGTTTTGTTAATTATAGCCGAACTTTTAAAAAACGGGCCCCTGTCCACAGAAAGGGTATCCTCTGGATGTTTAGCACTACTCCAAGCCCCAAGTCACTTTTGGGACTTGAAGGGTTTAATTGTATAACGATAGATAATTAGAAAGTCCACTTAAATAGTTTGTCCTTTTTCGGTTTTACTGTGAGCCTCGTTTACACTAGAGGAGAGCTTTCTGGATTCGTAACGAACCCTAGCTGGCGTTTTTGTGTTAAACGTGTTTACACGCACTTCCGTTAAGCCGAAATAAATACGTCCTAGTTTGGTCGTGCGATCGGACATTTTGAATCCGTAATCTTTAAGTGAATACTTTATATTCTGATGAATGTTCACTGATTTCCTGATGTGCTTGTGTAAACGGCTACGATTCGAATACCCTAACTGTGATAAATCCAGAAGCAATCTCGGTTAGTGTAAATGTAGTCTCAAAGGATTATGAATTTTCTATTTGATTTATAGTACTATTATTATTATTATTATTATTATTACTGTTGTTGTTTAAGTTAGGATTCGAGAACCTTCACGGGAATTGACGGGAGTATCTCGTCCCCTCCCGTCTCAGGAAGATTTTTCCTAAATCTTTGAAAAAGTTTTGCATTGTTTGATCGTTGTCTACTATACAAATGACGACTCGGAATCCAGGCTATCGAGGCTACCGGAAAAAGTTTTAGCTTTGAGGGAGTTAGATTGTTCGCCACAACAATTTCCTTTGCAAAACAATAGTACAAGAAGTGTAAAAGATAAAATAGCCACCAGTGCGAAAAGTGCAGCTAACAAGACCAAATATTCTCTTGGGAAAAGCAGGTTGTTAGCACTCTCCGAAGGGGAGATGCACTGCCCGCCTTTACAGAGCTGAACGCAGTATTTGGCGTTACACGTGAATGAGCATGCTCCGGACAAACATCGCTGTCTGCAATAATCGACGTCGCTGGTACACTTCATGTGACAGTTGTGACACTCTTGATGACATGTCCCGGATAAACAAGTCAATGCTTTGCAGCGAGCATCTGCGCAGGCTTGGTTACATCTCTTAACGGGCTGGATACTTTCCGTGTTTCCGCAGTCACATGTTGTGTCATTACACGATTGATAACGTGTCTCTGTATTGATCCTGATCTGGTGAACGTTTCTTTCTGCCTCTACCGTGACTTTTGCAACGAGCAATACGGTGAAGATCATAACAACCTGACGAATCATCTTATCTAAAGAAAAGAAAAACATCAAATTCACTAACGTTGATAGCAGCTATGCAAATGTTTTGGAACAAAAGAAAGTTTTTACATGCGAAAAAGGTTCAAATTCCATAGGATAAGTTTGTTGCACCAACATGGCCTTCGTTTCATCAGTTAGGGACACCACCATGGTGGATATGACGTCACGCGGAAACGCTCCTACGCGTTGATTCTGTAACACTCTCTGACTCATGCTGACTTGCGTGAATTTTTAAAATTTTGTCCTATGTGGTTTCTCGCTTGGTAGGACGGAAGTGGTTATAGGTGGCGTTTTGCTGGCCTTTTTAACGCCTTTGACGACGGTCAATGTCGTACAAGCCTTCTCTCAGACGTCCTTCATTCAGCTGATTAGCCGATGGCGAGGTTTGTGGAAAGGCTATGCCATTTTGAGGAAATGCGATTTCATTGTCATTGTCATTGTCATTATCATTATTTTGTACTTGGGGTTCCTTTTTCTTTTTTCTCGATTCCTGTCTGTGATACGACTTTGACCTTGTAAGTGCTTGCGCGTGCTTCTTAGAATAGTTTCCCATTACGTAACCGGAACCCAAGACCAAAAACTCCCTCAGGGGCACCCAGCGATGATATAGTTCAAAACCACTTAACATAGCATTGTTGAACGTATTTTAGTATTTAAACGGTAGATATAGGCAAATTTTTATCCCCTAAAAACTTTTCATCTGTTCGGATTTCCTAGCTGAAAGTCTAGTGATCCGAAAATTATAGGGATCAAAACTTACCTTTTCGAAAATTTCAGCCAGGAAAATGCTCCCGAAAATTCTAGGTGGCCTTTTTTAGGGTAAATATCCGTTTAAAATGGGTAATTATACCATTTTGTAGATGTTCGAAAATCCTAGGAGAGGCAGGCAAGCAAGGAGTTTTACAACAAATGTTCCGAAAATTCGAGTTCTCAAATCGTCTTCCGAACAGATATTTTCCCGAAAATTGCCGTTGGGTGCCCCTGCTCTCTGATGAATCAAAGATTGATAACTGTTTATGTGGGAAACTTAAGATGCAGCTGGGGAGTCGGGGCGACCTTTATTATCAGCGAAGTGGAAGAGGAGAGAAATTTTTACCTGAATATAGGCTAAAATACATAGATGAAGCAATGTAGGTTAACCAACTAAATTTTTCACTCAAGCCGAACGTACTGCTCATGCTTTTGGATATTCCTACAAATGTAAAGATGTCCCTCTTTGAACCAACAACGGAGAGATTGCTCCTTTGACTTAAAAAACAATTTGTTGTGAGTGTGGAACCGAAAAAGAAAAGAACTGAACAAAATTTTGGTAATCTTCGCGGCCCTTGCTGAAGTCACAGAATTTGCCGGTGGAACTGAACGGTATTACTCTGACTTAGTTCAGAACAACAAATTCATTCAAATTTTAGTTACACGCATAGCTTTGGCTGCGCACGCAAGAAAGTTTACAAAGGTAAACTTCTACCCAACTAGAGGCAGGAAATCTCGGACCAGGACGCTGAATAAAGGTTTTCAATTTTGAGAAAAAAAAACTTTTTGTTTTGTTTTTGCCTTATACAAAGAGAATCATTTCACCTGATTAGCAGCAAGGGAAGCTACCGGAGAACACATTTAATACCAGCTGATTAGCGTCAAATTTTCTTTACAATATCTAGGCATATTCAAGGAAAGAAGTTATGAGATTTAAGGCAATCACCTACAAATTCTTGTATTGATCTTTTGACATCTAGTCCTAACTCACTGTGTATACTTGAAGAAATTTGCACTAGTTAGAAGGACTTGTGTGTTGATATCAGCCGGCTTTAAAAGGTTAAGACATCTTATTTGACAGACTCTCAAAGGATTTATTTTGAGTTCTTATTTTTGACAATTCCCCGGACAGTTAAAGCTTCTTTCAGTTTTAGTGGCTAACAGTGTTGCGAGAGGCGAATCGAGAAAGTCGATCATGAAGTTGCTGATACTTCCTGTCTCTTCTCGTACGTCTTGCGGTTTTTAAACATTATTGCTGTCCCTAATTTGACAGTGCATGTCTTAACGCGGTCTTCCAGGAAAGATCATCATGCCCTTTAACATCCCTTTAGTCAGCACAAAATTATCTGAATTTTACTGTTCTTCTATTTGCCTGTGTCCCCAAGCATCTTGCCCTATTCTTTTTGGTGTAAAAAAAGTATCATGAATCAGTTGCTTGTTGCTGATCGCGGTAGTAATTGATTAAAGGTAGCTCATAAAATATTTTTTGTTGCACAATTTCCAAGCGATTTCATCCCATCTGTTGCTGCTGCTTTGTTTGTCACCTTTTTCGGTTTGAGTGTTGACTAAAGAATTCTTCGCGATTTTCTGGCAAATAGGCGCTAGTGCTGGCTGCGGAATGTACTCGGAATCATTCTTCTTCCAGAGCTTGCGCTTATTTGCCACATGAAGGACGTGCAGCATTCTCTACTTCATGCAATGAAAATGCTTTAACGATGAACTATCAGGCACCAATTTCCTCAGCTTGGAGATAACTCAAGCTTGACTTTCACGAACTAACCTGCGAGTTTTCGTGGTTAGACTCCGCCCGAAGTGTTTTCTTTTATGAATAAATCCAGGTAAAGATTTAAACGGTAAAATGATAATTTGGTTTCCACGTTCTACTCAGTCTTCTCAACTAAATATATCGGCGCCCAGCCAATAAGCTGTGACAAGGAGGGGCTTTTTAAGGCTTTTATTGGGGATTAGAGAACAAGTGATTGAGTGTGAAAACTCCCTGGTGACGTCATATTGAGAGAGGAAAGCGTTTTGTGTAAAAGAGGGTCCTGCGGTGAAAAATGGCGTTAAGTTTCATATTGCCTCACTTTTTTCTGTCTGGAGGTGAAACTTCGTTTTATGAAGAGTTTCTACAGCATTCTACTGTATAATGTGCCAATACACTGATGATTTATATCTATATTTAGCTGGTGTTCTATGTAAGGTAAAAGGAAGTAGCCGTTTAATAAATGGTGACAACTTTGTCACACGTGGTAGTCTTAATCACGAGTTTTAGAAACCTGAGAAATAATGTTCTTAACTTTCCTGTGACTATCAGACGTGTGTCATGATTAGTCTAGTAATCTGTCTTGGCCTTGGGGGCTAAGAGACCACGGGAAAGATTCTATTCAAGTGTAAGGTCCACAATTTCTGTAATAAATAAATTTGAAATGTTGAGGAAAGTTCAGATCTGTCTAAAAACTAATGGGATCCCTGGCGCTTAGTCGTCTTTGGTTGGCAGTGTTTTTCATAGTTCTTTGTCGACGAAAAATAACTTGTTTCCTGGTGCTTACTTTAGAACTGTTAGAATTGCGAAAGTGGCCGGAAATTATAAGTCCTAATACCACTCTTTCCAACACGTAGGGCAAAAATACTTCCGTTCGAACGAGATAAAGCCATTTTCTGGACAGCAATTAATCCAAATGGGTTACTAGGCCTTTCACAAACGTTTTTTGCATTTTTTGTGACCTGGTAAATAATTTTGCTTCCGTCCCTGATTCAAATTTTATTCATATTTGTACCATAGCCTTTTGGTTTGGTTTTTGAAAACAACATTTTGTTAAAACAGCCAAATGTGCATATGACGTGATGAAATGAACAGGCCTTTTTTATTGTTTTTTTTTTTCTCATTATAAGTAATCCATGTTTTATAATCACTGTTATCATTTACGTCACATCCCATCTCACGTAGTTCTATCGACGGTCATGAATTCAAGAAATTAATAGTGCAGCTACATGTACAGGCAGAATGTTGCGAAATACTGAATGAAAGTGACTTAGTTTTGTATTAGTTCTTTCTCTCTGGTTTTCTCCATTGAGGACTGAAATATTAACTAAAAAATATGGAAGAACCATGATGAAAATGAACCTTTTATATGCCTCTACGGGGAGTTCCGAGCGGACTTAAGCAAAGAGACAACCTACAGTAAAGATTTTAAAAGTGTCTCACCAAAATGTTGGCTGTAAAACATAAATCATCCTTCACCATCGTTTGAAATGACATCCGATCATTCAGTAGGCAAAAAATACAAATTGATCGCATTTAATGCTGTGACAACTGACATGACTCACGAAGTTGTTAAGAGCGTTGAAATGGCTTAATTAACAGTTGGTATTAAGTTCAATGAATTGACCACCGTACGTATGAAATGACGTTTCTTTCATTTTTGACAAAATTAGTACCCGGCGGGACATCTCACAGAAGTCGTTTATTCCGACCTATAGTTATAAACCTAAGGCGCTTAACGATTAAACACGATTGACGTTGATCACAGTTGAATCCCTTCACAACAGGCCACCTCGAGGGCAGAAATTTTTGCGAATAACCTTTTCGCGGGAACTATTTTTATTGTGGATTGTAGAAAGAAAAAAAAAAAAAAAAAAAAAAAAAAAAAAAAAAAAAAAAAAAAAAAAAAAAAAAAAAAAAAAAAAAAAAAAAAAAAAAACCGGAGAAAAAAAAATGTCTTTGGGGAAAAAAGAAAAGAGGGGGGCAGGGTGGGGCCCCAAGTGGTCCCAAGGCCACGCGCCAAAAAGAATGACATTATAATGAGGGGAAAGTTTTCAAAAAATGGACAAAATGTAAGCTAATTAATCCCTTACACAAATAACCCATGCACACAAGACCCGTACGAGGGAAAAAATTTTTCGAAAAAAACTTTTTGGGGTAAATATTTTTTTTTGTGAAGAAAAAAAAAAAAAAAAAAAAAAAAAAAAAAAAAAAAAAAGAAAGAAAAGAAAAGAAAGAGAAAAAGCCTCAAAGCTCGCAAAAAATAAAACCGGCGATAATTGCATGTCTTTTGGTAATATAGAGAAGGAGCTGGCACGGTTGGCGCTCAAGTCGTCCCAGAGCCGAGCTCTAAAATGATGAGCATATGATTGCCGGGAAGTATTTCATAAAATGGCACAAGATTCAGTCAATTAATCCCTTCACGAATATCAACGTTAAAGAGTTCTGTCCAAGGTACATTAGCAAACCGAAAGCCCCGAAAGGAAGAACTATCTGTTATCGCAAAAAAACTCTGTAGTGCTTTAAGATGCACAATTTCCTGCTCAGCCAGATTTGTTGTCGAGATGAAAGAAGATATTGATGTCAACTACAACGTAGCCTGAGTGTCAGGGAAATGCAAAACGCGTGTAGTTTTGCACACCATTCGGCAAGGTCCCACAACTAACTTGACAAGGAATAGTCAGCCACATATTAGACTGCAAACAGTCGGTTTTTTCCCAAAATCGGTTTAGCGTAGCGTAAAAATAAGAGTCTCAACCGCTCGAAGCGCGCGAGCCTTGCACACCGTTAGCGTCTCTCCCCAGTCTCCCTCTCTGTTTTCAGCTTAGTTCCAGACCTTTCGTTTGACTGTTCGCGCGTACTTGAATACGCAAAACTACGGACTGTTTTGCAGTCCTGCCACATATTGTTGCTAGGGCTATGTGACTTAAAATGGTAACGTGAAGAAATGTCAGTAGAATTATAAAAAAGAGCGAGAAAAGAGACGCCAAGGGAGGGGAGGGGGGGGAGTAATGATATCTAAGCCGTTACCAGACGCCCTATATCCTTTCATGATATGCTTGAAGCCTGAAAAAAGGTACCCCTTTCGAGCGGAGCCTCCCCATATAGGCCATTATGGTGAGTACAACCCCCCCCCCCCTTCTGGGCCACCAGAAGGAATTCGTTGGAGTGATTACGCCCCGAAAAGGCGTTGACACTTTGGGATGATACTTCTTTTTCCCAATGGCACGTACTGAAATACTGCTTTTAATAAATGTTTAGTTTAAATGTGGCCTCTGTCTCTCTTCCTCTCTTATTTTTTCCAAGAAAGGAATTCCATCATGAAACGTCAGCTTACAGGCTGTCCCAAGGCTAGCTAAGCCATTTATTTCGAGTGCTAACCGCACGTACTACGCTTCAACAAGTTTAAATCCGTTCAGAAATATTTTTTATGATTTTGTATTATTTAGAATTCAATGAGCTAATGCGTCCGGCCTGAAACTCCCTACAGCGCAGAAAATCGGACACGTCTAGCACTATAAAATGGAAATAAATATTCGAATTATATTTAGTTTGAAAGTCTTTATAAATCAAATGAAAAAGTGTTATCTCGTGCAAAGGAATTATGCTAGAAGTGTTTCAACATTTAGCCTTGAAGGCTCTTAATCTAACCATAATTTTGTTATCTTACAAGTGTGTACGATTTTAAAAATTAAGCTTGAGAGAAACTTCTTGAACCACTTTCCTTGCAGGGTTTTGTGCGCAAGTGATATGTTTCATTCATTATTCATGTGAATAAAACTGTAGGGAGTGATCAGATCCGGACGCAGCTTCTTTTATAAACCCGCTGCACGTTTTTACTTTCCCCAATAACGCTAGCTTAGTATAATGTTACCTTCTTCAACTTGTTTTCCGTTGTTTTTCGGGAAGAAATAATCTAAAGTTTGCCTGTTGTTCAGTATTCGTCCTTTAGCCTAGGGAAAGTGAAGGAGACCCCAAGACGACGTGATGAAGTTACCTGTCCCCTTGTGCGAACATCAACTTAAAAGTTGAGGTTGTTTACGTAGGAGGAAAACGATGATTTAAATATGACCGATATGACCAAAAAAAGACCATTTATTAATCTACGTGATATAATTGTCTAGTATCAATTACAAGCACTATGAGCCGGCGGCACGCTGTCATGTACCAGACGCATGGAAATCATATTTTGCGTTTATACTATTATTTTTTGAATCTATTTTTATTTTTCCAGGACCGCGCCCCACGAATGCTCAAAAACACGTCTAAGGTCTAATCAGAAATAGCATCTGTATTGGAGAACCCTTTTAGGAAATACCTACCCCAGCAGGGAGGCCAAAAATCATATCTTTTACAACGGCACCTTCTGGCTTGAACACTATGAAAATAAGTATAAAACACTGCTATCATTCCCTATCATTCTAGTCCAAGCAATAGGCTTGTCTAGAGAAAAAGGTGGAAAAGTAAAGAAAGCTGCAAAAGAACAAATCGTCCTTATGCCTTCACAATTCAGTGGTGTGTACTTGCGCTCACGGAACGCACTAATCCCATTTGCACTTCAGTATTTTTGCAGTTGTTTTTTATTATCTAAATTTAATTTTTGAAGACGATATTACGCAGTTAAAATGACAACCTTGGGAGAAAATATCGATATAAAACGGCATTTTAAGACCACATTGAGCTGCATAAACAGGAGCCCATGGAACTCAAGGGCTCCTCAGTGGCATACATCTCAAAGCTTGGCCGATGCTATCGACAGTCATCGTATATACGTAATTAATAATTAAGTTTGTTTGATAGTCTTTGATCAATGGAGGTTGCTTACTGACGCCCTAGTCTCTCTTTTGAAAACGGTGGCAGTACCCAGCACTCTGAAGTGCCGGAGGATAATCGAAACAGAGAAAAAAATGACCGCTGTAGACCTGAACACCGTCGTCGCAAAAGAAAGAGCTGCTATTGCAGCTGCTTCACTGAAAACTATTGGTATAACCTTCCCCAAGTGAGACCCTCAAGTGTTCTTTCATTATTTTTCCCAAGTGGTATTTTGCTCGAATCAAATCAATGGCAGGAGAGCAAAAAACAGAACAGGTCTTACTGGTTTTCCGAAAGCACATTCCAGTTCATGCAGGGCCAGAACAGCGGGTGATGATGACCTCTTTGCAAATTTTGTTTGCTGCCTTTGTCAGCTCATGATAAGTGGCACATTTCACCTTTCGCTGTGTTAACTCTAAGCAGAAATTTAAACCATTTAATATGTTGTTTTTCTACGGCAAGCATCACGCAAAATGGCATTTTTTTCGTCAATAAATAAGTTGTTTCGCTGCTCCTATTTTGACCAGTTGTACGCTCTCTAATAGGGTGTGGGTGGGTGAGTGGGGATGTCGAGTCGGAGCTCCAAAATACCGCTAAGATTATCAGCACGGTGAAATACAATCTTGGACAAAATAAATGGAAAATTTAGACCCCTCCCCCCTTCTTATCAAGGATAGGAAAATGGCATGTTTTGGCTTTCGCAGGGCTTCATCCTTGAATTTTTTTTTTGGTGGGAGTGGTGTTGGGGGGGAGGGGGGATAGGAATTTGTTGCTCCATGGTCTTTTACCTAGCAGAGAAGGCGGCTGCTTTCTTCGAGTTGGGAACGCGCTGTTGCTACATTTTCCAGTGTTTTATAGGGTTCGGTTATGAATGATAATGAGTTTGCCACAAAAGAAAATTTATTACCAAGAATTAAATTAAACGACATCTAGGGGTTTTCTATAGACCACAACATTTACACCATCTCAGACGGGAAATTTTCTTAGCGTAAAAGAACCCCTTCACAGACCTGGAAGGTAAGAAATACGACCCAATATGTTCGAAAGTTACTCCATATTTCTATAAGTAGTCGGAATCCCAGTAATTTCTTTTTGTTTGTGCAAATTCCTGTCATTTTGGGCGTTTTCCTTTGACTAATCAGCAAGTACTGGCTACCAGGCTGGCGCAAGGTTTGTTGGTGGAAAATGGCGGGCGTGCGTGTATATCGGACTGCTTGATTCTGATTTCCTTTGCTTTCCATGGACAACAAAGAAGGAACTTTAACAGTTTTGGGGGTAAGAAACCTAATAATGTATTGATTTTTATTTAGGTACAAAGAACAAAGTATAACATTTCCTTTTTTTATTTGTTTGTTTCATGATGTTTCGTGTATGAACACGATGTCATCTGATGATACTTTTAGAACACATTATGTTCGTTTAAATATTAAATTCTCTATCCCTCGCACACGTCTAAAAAGTGCGTGTTTAACTGAAAATCTTCGGTTCCTAGCATTGTCCTTGCTGTACGAACTAGATAAATTATTTTCGGTAAATATTGCCTTTTCTATTAGTAACTAAATTCAGCATAATCATGTTACATTAATATTAAACACTGTCAATGAAAACTTCCGGTTCGCACCTTAGTCACTAAGCCAACTAAGTGATATGTTTAAATAATCAATTGTATTTGGACTTTCTTTGCGAAGAATGCTTTTGCATCTGAATAAGATGCCTTTTACCGGCCAGAGTGATCGGAGATAACATTTTGTCCGACGAAAAGTTCATCTACGTGTATTGTCCGCTATTCTTTTTCTTCCCTCATATTTGAGGCAATTCGTTCGTATAAATAAGTGTCACGAAATTGACTTTGGTCACAGTCTGTTGTATGTGTTGCCAGTTCTTTCATTCCACAGAACCTTTTGTCATTTTAGCAAAGTCCTCTCATTATAAAGCTGTAAACTCTCTTCAAATTGTTTCACTGTAGCAAAGCTGTTATGCAGTTGTGTGGTTGTTTGTGAAGAGGCAGTTGCAGTAACACAGAAGAGGCTACATGTGTCACGCAACACATTCGTCAGCGGCTACTGCTTCTTGAGAATAAAGGCTCTCAATGCTGCTACTAACGCTATGAATCTTGACGTATCTGGCTCCTTTATCAAAACTTTTCCTCATATTCCAGTTATTCTTTGTTTCTCTGCAAGATATTACTAACAGCAGGAAAGACAAAATGCTTGTTGATGCAAAAAGACCTGCTAATATGACAAGATAAAAACGTGGGTAAATGGTTTGACATGTGACAGCATTGATAGGAACTTTGCATTCTTTTCCATTGCATTCCTGCTTACATTGCCTGGCATTGCATGTGAATGAGCATGCCCCAGAGAGACACCGCTGACTGCAGTAATCAACGTCACTTGTACACTCCATGTGGCAATTGTGGCATTTTTGATGACAAACGCCAGATGAGCACGTGACAGTCTTGCATTCGGGGCCATGACAGGCTTGATTGCAGATTGCGAATTTCAAATCCCCATATACAGCGTCACATTTGCATGATGCATCAGCACAACGCTGGATGCAAGTATTTGAAACCAATGCGTTGCATCTCTCATTTGTGGATGTTACAACTCTAGCTATCAATAGAACTTCAGTGATGATTCCGATAACGAAACAATGCATCTTTATTTCTGCGGAGATCAATAGAAATATGAATTTAATAACAGTTCTCAAAACTGAGCTGGGATTTCCCTTTAAAATGCCATCAAATCAATTTAATGAAGAGCAAAAGAAGCTCATCAAGGAGGTGAAAATCTTGTAACAGTAGCCAACTCAGAGACCGCGTTTTTCCCCATGAGGTCACTAGTGGGAGTAGTATGAAAAAGGAAATAATCCCCAGGAAAAAATCCCTAGGAAAAAATCCCTAAGGAAAAAATCCCTGGGAAAAAATCTCTAGGAAACACAGAAACTAAGTATGCAAATTAAGAGTTCTAAAACACTTGCTTCTTTTAAGAACCAGGTGAAAAAGAGGACACTGAGAACCTCCTAAGAACTGTCACCTGTGTAAGTCTTAGAATAAGGAGGCTGGCAGGGTTTCCGAGTTTAGGTAGTTAGGTGTCCACAATTAGTTTACACTGTGTGTAAGCTAGGCATTTTGACACGTCAATAAAGTCTTTATGTCCTATCTACAATTAATTCACTCTAAAAAAAACTGTTTCGTTAAAACACTATTTACAATTCCTTTCGTTAAAAAAACTTTTAGTTTTGATTAGAAAAAAAAAATTCATTTCATTAAACAAAAATTACTCAAATTAAAAACATTTCATTTCAATTAAAACAATTCATTTTGATTAAAAAAAGAAGAAACTATTTTCAAGGTCAATTGCATTCTTACTATGACAATCACTAGAAAAAAAAATCATTAAAAAGGGGGAAAATTAAATAGCATTCACAATGTGTTAAAATATAAAGTCTTTATGTTGTTATTATTATTATTATTATTGTTATTATTATTTATATTTATTTTTTATTATTATTTTATTATTATTGTTATGATTATTCTACCAGCAGAAGTGAAATGTACATATTGTTTAGAGAACTGGCCTCATTCCCCAAAATTTTCAATCAGATAAGAAAAGGGCAGAAAGTTGGAAGAACATCTCACAGACTATTGTTTGAAACGCCCAAACTACCTAATCCTGTTAGACTTTAGTGCGCACCCTCAGTTACCAATCTTTCCTTGCTTTCAGCCCCACTCCCACAAGTTCTTACAGAGACCCATGCGGTATGCATCAAATGTAATCAGGATTTACTAGTTTTATGCTGGTTTCCAAGCTGACAGTTCAAAAAATGGCAAAAGAACAAAACAGAGCAACAACAACGAAAATCTGAATTAATGGGGGCACGTAGCGTCCCTGCCACTAACATTTTTATCAACATCTACAAAATTATTTTGTATCGGAGACACAATTTTTATCAACGGTCACTCTACTAAACTGTTTTTTTTATAGGAGACAATAAAGAGGTTCTGTTCGTATCCAATATGTTCTTCTGTCCCTACGTCTGTCAGACATGTTCATGAACATTATGTTTCCCAGCCTTTTCAACGGCGTCGCTTCATTCATCTTGTTTTATTTTACAAGAAACTATAAGCTTAAAGACCCCGAATTGCCATGAACGCCTTTGGATGAATCTACCCGAGATTTGAGCGTTTTTCCGAGACTGCCGGGTAAGGCTAGCTAGGAACTTAACACTTTCAAAAAAATTCTTTCAGAGGCAAATGACAAAAATTAAATGCTATTAAGTGGTAGCACTGATGTCGCTGAAAACTTGGTCTTGTAAAACTGTTTGACTGAAGTTTCCTCAGTTGGACATTATTTTTTCTCTAACTCGGCGCACAATGGGCAACCAAGACACTATCATAACAAGTCTTTTATACCAACCTTAGCTTTGACTTGATAAAATGTTGTTTAAGAGTTTAGCTTCTTCTGCTAACAGCTTTCCAATTTATAACTGACCCGATGCGTGTATTTTGCGAATGGGTAGTCAGAAATGGGGCGTTGTGAAGTCCTTCCGATTTGACTGAGCTAACAAAAGTGATGATCTGACCTTTTACACCGGGTTCGAAATGAGGATGTTTTAACCGCAGACGAATTCCAGAAGGCACGTCCTCATTCGATCCCGAACGAGAGTTGAGCTTTACCGACATCGAATTCTGCTCTGCGATTTCTTGGGTTTGTAAAACTGTTCAATGAGCCTCAAAATAAAAATAACGCTGTAATTGGCGTTTCTGCAGAAATATTATTGACGCCTGACGTTCATTTTTACACGTTGTTCTGAGACGCAAATGACATTAAAAAAAAAAAAATGAAAAGAAATATAATATGAAATCGTATGTTATTACTAACGACCTAAATAGTTCTCGTGACTGATTCGAAAACAAAGTTATTTTTAACCTTGCGCAAACAACGGCTGGAAGTTCACTAATTGCATTAATAAAGTCACGTTTCAGGGTACAAAAAAAAAAGTAAAAAGGAAGAATGCATCACATTCTTCTACTGTCTTTTCAAAATTAAAAAGAGAATAAGTCTCCAGTAATTTCGAAGGTTTTCCGCGATCCCGTGAAGTATGTCTTGACCTAGTCGTGACACAAATCATACAAGCTAGTCTACTTTTTCTATAGTAGCCGGTAAAATCTAGCAAGTTATCGTTCTTTCTCTCATCAGCAGTTTCTTTGTGAGTATATCTTCGTTTTCTCCTTCCCGGCATCTATGGTTTTAGTTTATCTGTTAACCTTGAGGAGTCTGTCTAGATACCTAACATTGTGAACCACGTGGGCGAGAAGATCGAACCTCAAGGTTAAAGCAGCAGTGGAAAACTTGTATCCTGTAGTTTTAGTTTGACCCTGCCCTACTGGGCCTTGTTTTCTTTAAATAAACTAAGCAAAAATGTACTAAAATAGAAGGAATATACGCTCTCTGTAATGAATATGGGCAACCCTATAAAGCTTGGTCGAGTTAATCTCGTATTTCGTCGGTTTTACCTACGTATTTTGCAATGTACTGCTCAGTGACCACAAAGTTCATCAGAGTCGTTAATGTTTTTGTCGTTATCTTGTGGATCGAGATAAACAGACTTATACTTTAATCATTTAAAAGAACTTAGTAAGTTCTTTTAAATGGTTAGCATTTTTATACCCGTACACAGGATAGAAAAAATGCCAATACAATGTCGCAGACAGGAGTTAAACCAAATTAGTGAAGATCAACTCCGAGAGTTGGTCGAGGAAAATTTAGTTTCAGCTTGCAGTGTCACAAACAACTCGTGACCCGTGGAAACTAAGCACTTCCCAAAAGTTGATTTTGCGATTGACGTTTTGGGGCAATTTGATGCTTATCTGTCCAATGAATTCGATAACTCGATCAACATTGTGTCTGGTGCGGCAGATTCAGCAGAATATTAGCTCCTGGAATTTCTATGACACTTGCGACAAGAATTATTACACGTATTTTTAATTCCGTGTCTTTCAACGCCTTAGTCTCTGTCTTACTTCCTTCATATTTAAGTGATTCATCTAGTATTTTCTCTTTGAACTTTTGAAAAACATGTTTAAGATAACGCCAAAAATTCTTAATTATTTTTTAGACAAGGAGGTTTGTTTTGCAGCTGCATGATCAAATTAATCCTCTCTTTTCTAAATCCTATAAATGAGACTGAAATGGCTGGGCTTCTATTGGGGTTAAGCTGTTTGTGAAGTTTGTTGAAAGTGGTTTCAAGTGATATCCTGTTTTTCACTTTTTTCCCCTATCATGACGATATACATGCAGACTGAAAAAGTAACCACGGAAACGAGTATTTTATGTGGGATGGGCTAGTAAATGGAGAGGCCCCCCAGGGGTTTCCACGTATAATGTCATCTTTGCTTTTCTTCTTTTTTGAACCGAAATATCCGGTAGTCCAAAGACACCTAATAGGCCCTCAATGGAGATCATGACGGCTGAGGGCTTGGAGTTTCTTATAGCTCTTATGCTTATTTACGCCAAAAGAGCCAATTTCACCACCAGGCTTCTTTTGTGGACGAAATTCTTTGCATTTCCTCCCCCCTGGGGGTGCTCAACAAAGTTCTATACCTGGAGGCTCCGTCTCAAGGTCCAACCCTTTACTCTTTTATATACCATTTTTGACAGAAAAAGGTGCCCCTTTCGTATACCTTCCAAACAAAGCAAATTATACCCCGTAGTTCAGAACTTTGCATCCCTTGTGAAAGTCATCAAATGTTATTAGGGGGGGGGGGAGATCACTTCAGTGAAGTAACATTCAAAGGGGGATTAAATTAACTGCAAAAACCGTGGACGAAGATCCTGCTAGTTGTAAACGTTGGATCTCTAGAAAAGAGATCAAATCAGCCAAAATATAAAGAACAAGAACGAGAAGTCCGAAGACTACAGCAAAGCTGATTTAAAACAACGTGTATTGTTTTTTTATAACAATATTTCGGCTGGCCATACCAGGCAAAATTTCACCTTGTTTAGCCCCAAATCCTCTACCCTTCTCCCCCCAGGTGATAAATAATGACCGGTCCCTTATTCCATTATTGGGAGTACCCCACCGGGGGGGGGGCATTTGTCTCCTTTGTACTCGCTTCGGTACATTCTCTTTAACTCTGGGGAATTCATTTATGTAAAACTAATGATCGCAAATTGTCAATTTCAAAACCATGCTCGGTGGTGAATTTTGCACCGCTGATTTATAAATAACGGCTATTAATTGACACCATCAGTTAAGTCTCGAACAGATTTTTATCAAATACACGGATTTGTTTGACGTCTTGTCTGGTGAAAAATGTTTAGAACCTCAGTTGCTTGAGTTGTATACATCCCCTCCCAACCATCGGTGTAAGCTTCGGGAAGACAAATTGTTAACATTTCTTGTTCTGATACCGGCATTAATGTTGTTGATTGATTTGCTTGTTAAGAATCCCACGTGTCCATACTTTTTTTGATATGAAACAATAGTTAATTCATACGCAGATTATTTGGCCCGGGTTTCTTGGCTACTCAAAAGCAGGAGCCCGGTCAAAGGGGTTACATTTTCTAGATTGTACACTACCAAAACAGTTAGAGGTTGTTCTAACCAGCACCGCTGGGCTTCAGAACTGAAATCTTTCGAACAAAGGCACTCTTGACCTATCCCAAACCTGAGCTTCTTCCGCAAGCGAGCCCTTCCAAAACTACGGAGAAAGCGACTAGAATTCACTTTCCATAGAAAAAAAGATGCACGTTGAGGTTCTTTCAATTTGGAAAAAATCCTGAATGCGCAGTATTGTAAACAAAATCAGGCTTTTTGTAAGGAAATACCTGATGTATCTTGTGAATTCTGACAAAGAAAAGAAATGGGAAAGAAGGAATTTACGGGCGCGAGGGGGGGGCAGGAGGAAGGGCTTTCTTGCGCGTGCATTTAATTTCTTACCTTGCCCACAGCTGGCCATAACAGGAAAAGTAGTTTGTATCAAATGTTTGTGTGGCTGGGTTACATGAACATAAGAAGCCCCCTCGAAGTATGTCATCGAGTGTTTGCGAATCCCGTGTTGTGTGAAAGAAAAAATGTTTATGCTTCGTAATATACTTACTCTCAGCGGTAGTTTCTCTCTTATCTTAACGATTGCTGTGTTCAGGCTAAGTATCTGTTCCTTCCTGTATTAGAATGAAACAAAACGATTAGGGTTTGATTGAGCTTCACTTGCTTATGTTTTTAAAACTCAGAAGACAAAATCAAGTTACGTTAAAGTCTGCTAGATTTTCTGCCTCGGGACTGTGAATAGAACCTCCTTCTTTGTGTGAAAAACGTAGGGTAAAGAGCACCAAAGCTCAGTTGAATAGTCACAGATTTTACATGTCTCAGCAAGTTGTGTAGTTATCAATGCACATGTCACGACTCGCGGATGGATTCTGGGCTTGAACCATAGCAGTGGACTGCAAAAACGTTTTCTTCTTGGCAACAATTGCTCGCTAGCTCACATAAACTTGTAACTTGACCGGATGTTAGCTCTACCGTAGCGAGAGAATAAACCCAAGTAGGAAATTTTCGGTTGTCTGTGTTGAGTCATAAACTTAAGCTGCATGTAAATGCATTCGCTGCGGCCCTTATAAATCAAAGTCTTTGGAACTAGTTTGCTATGACTCACCTTGCACTTCTCCGTAGTATATTCACATTTATAGGGCAAAGTCTCCCTAATACCGCTTTAATATCTTAGCAGATTGAAGCCAAACTAAACAGTAAAAACAGGGCAAATAAGTCCTTTTTAGGAAAGAGAGGTGGGTTTGGGGGCGGAGAGGGGTTTTTCCCTTGATATTGACGCTGTCAGTTGTCAACTCACAGTTCCTTGAGTTTCTGTCTGTGTTAAGGTCAAACTTGAAGCGAAAAAAAAAATAAAACAGTAAAACTTCTCCTATTTTGCTGTGAAAGAGAACTCGCACATGTCTGAAAGGTGCCGCACGCTACATTATTTTTCTGTAACTTTGGCCTTTGATACTTGTACTATGCCTCATCCCATACAGCTTCCTTTTCTAAGCTAATCGGCTTTTATATTCCTCTTGAGGGAGGCCGGTTCAAAATTCCCGTTTTCAGTCTTCATTTTGCAACGGGAGTTTTTTTTATTATTTTTCACGGACAACAGTATTTACCCTTCCTTGAAGACCTTGCAAGGCAAGGCATATAAAAGAACTACATTTTGTCACGTTCAGAAGCTTGTCTCATGCGGCGAAATAATGATTAGAATGAAATAACTGTCGTTTATTTATTTATTTATTTATTTATTTTTTGATGACTTAATCCCTTTGCTCCAAGATCGAACTAATTGAGCTTACGTGCGATCATGCCGACTATTTTCTCCAAACTTTCTTCAATGTTTTTGCAGAACTGTGTGATATTACAGATGTTTCGGAAAAGCGCGCATAGAATAAGAAAAAAAATATATCTAGATTTAACTTTTCTATTTATTATAAATCATTAAAATTATCCAATAAGCGAACGTTCGGATTCTCCTACAATTTTCTCCCACTCTACGAAGCAGTTGTTAAAGCGGGGTTTATTTATTACCTCTCAAACGCTGTAATTTAAATTGTGCCTTGAAAATAGGCTGTAAAGCAACTTCCACAACCGCTAAGTTTTTAAATCTTCCACTCGACTCATCAGCGTCTCATCGCTGGCACTCGGCCACGATTGTTTCATAACCTTGGCCAAGGTGGACGTGTAAGAAAATACCATCTTTTGTTTGACCCCATCTATTCAATCTTTGTTTTGTTTAGTTTTATTCCAGTACACGTACGGAAATTGGTCAGAGTTTAGAGTTTTTATCTAGTTGAACCTGTCAGTGATTGACTGTCAAGTCCTGGTGATAGATATGGGAGGTGAGGGGTGCGGAAGGGGGGGAGGGCTTGCTGGTTTGGGGGGAGAGGGTTTAGTGTAAGATATCACTTAGCCACGTCACTTTATTTTCTATCCTTTTAAAAAGCTTAAACGTCTCTTCGCATCATTAAATTCCAAAAATAATGGCATACAGTTTTTGTTATTTAAGAGTATATGTAGGCGTTTAAACTGTTTCCTGTCAGAAGCCCATCAATCAACTGTTCCTGTCGTCTGTTGCTATGGATAGCAAGCATGGACATGGATTGAAATTTGTTGGGCCAACGTTGCAAGTTTTACTGATGCTATGCCTGTAAAAATCACTAACAATTATTATGGTTAGAGCTCCCTGATGGAAATCTTGTTTTATTATCTTCTTCATAACTCTTCAGCAGAATTTTGTGAGCGGGTAAACGCCCTAAGTAATGACTCACTCAGCACAGAATTGTCCTAAAGCAGCAGTATCCTCGTGCGTGACAGAGCCCGTTTAAGTCGTATCTTATATCACCCTGTAAGGGATTATATGGGGGCTCCAGAGGTTCTGGGATGATGACCCTTGATAAAAGTAACTACAGGAAGACTAGAATTGCCAAATCTTGCGGTGACTTCTTATCTGAGTGCTACTCTTAATCAGATCCGGAAATCATAGTCACGTGGTCTGAGGGGACACGTACAACTTGATGCAGAAGAATTCCACGTAGTAAATTGTCCGAAAAAAGTAGGTCTGGTGTCTTTTAGCACTGATAGTTTGCCAATTGTGTGACTGTTTAAAAACGTAAAAGTTCATGCAGTTATGAACGCAAACGTGCAAAAGAATATGTCACCGTGATAAGGAATCTCTTGAGCATGCAGACAGTGTACTTTATCTTCTCTTATCCATGGTATGATTGTGCATATAATTAGTTCTGCCACGTTGACACTCGAGAGATGTACTTAATGTCGCCGCCCCTTTGCCCCCATGTTTTAATTTTTTTTCCCTTTTATCGAGAGCGTAAAACAAACATGTATTCAATTTAAATAGGACAGACGGAAAGTTGCTGTTGCTCGAAATATCTTAAAGTCTAAAAAAATATTAAATGTAAATGCCGTAACTGTTCGTCAGTAGGATGTCTAAAATGTGTGCAATTCCACAATCGGTTTCGTCTCCATTAAAACCTAACATTTTAACATTTTAGGAGGAGCCACCCACAACGTGAGTACAGTTGCCGACAAGGTATATGAGTAGGAAAACAACCAGAGAAATGTAATCCGTTAAATAACGAACTAAATACACACGTCAAGTAATAAAAGAAAACAACGCGCCCTCACACAACCTACGCTGACTGAAAGGTGATAAAAGGATAAATTGATAAAGGATATGCTTTAATAAAAGATATGGCGGGACCATATCACGACCATACCACGGCTTCAACTAAAATGCAAACACAGTGCGATTTAATACACTGCATTTACCCGGTTTTGTAGAAAGGAAAACACGAAGGGAATTATTTGTTCCCCCTCCCCCATCCGCCTCCCCCTCATCCCTTAAACGGAGGCTAATAGAGCAAGAGATGATAAAATCAGCAACGCTTAAATCAACGCCTATTTTATTTGCGATTTCGTCTTCGCAGTTTGCAGCTATCTGAAGTATTATTTCTTTTAAATATACACGTTTTTCTTCCTAAAACACAAACACTAGATGCTTGTTATTAAATATCCACTTTTTTGGTACTTATAAGTTGTCTCTTCCACGTACGTCTACACTATATGACTTGCTTTTTTTGAAACAAAAAAAAAAGGGTTCTCTATATTTCTCTTGAGTATGTTCCTTTAACTTGTGACCTTGACAGTCATTTTATATGTCCTTTATTCACCATTATAACCTACTCCTCAAAAACAGCTGAGGATAATAATTATTGGCTCTCGCGTAACGCAAGTGTAAACTCCATTTCCAAGATAGTGTTTATATTGAAAGCACTCTCGGACTCCTCTGAACAAGAGTTCTTGACGTTAAGACCAACACAAAATAATGGGACAGACAGGGAATCTTAGGGCGTCGGCTGGGATATATGAATTTCACCTAAGTTATTTTTAGAAGTTGCAATTAAACGGAAGTCTAATTCCTGGGGCGTCCGCACATTTTCTCAATAGTTTGAAACGTCCTTAAGTCCGCGTGACTTTCTCAGAGCCAATTATGCAAAATGTTGCAATGGCGACACTCCAAATGTCCCATTGTGCTCTCTTGTTAACACTGAATAAAAGTTTTGCGGACCTCTCCGGAAATCAACTTCGGATTAATTTCAAACGTTTATTGGTCTAAAAATAGCTTTGGTGAAATTCACATACTCGGCTAGACGACGCGTTTTCCTATCTGTCCCATTGTTTTCGCTGGTTAAGGCCAACTCCAATACCAATTCCTACACTAAGTTTGATTTGATTGGAAGGCTTCTTGGACTGCTATCAAGATCCCGAACAGTGCGTCTTCTTCGCGTGCGTTTTCTGCAGCACCCCGTCTGACTGCAGGACAGGACTAGCGCCAAGCTTGTCAACACCGTAGTTGATGCAAACAGCCCTGCCAAAATTGCCAGATACAGGCGGGATACAAGTGGCTTCTCGTGATCTGAAGGCAAATGGTCACATTTCTTACCGTCACACTGCTGTACACACCGTCTGGCACTACACTTAAATGCGCATGTCCCTGAAAGACACTGCTGACTGCAATAGTCGACATCACTAGTGCATTCCATTGTGCAGTCGTGGCACTGTTGGTGGCAAGTCCCGGATGAACAGGTCAGCGTTTTGCACCTTGTGTCATAGCAGGCTTGGTCGCACTCGGTGTAAGCGTATTTCCCGTCACTTGGTGCACAGCTACAAGACGTACTGTTGCATCTTTGCGAACAGGTGTTTCCTAATACCGAGCTACATTTTTCTTTCGATGGAGACTCTGCTTCGGCACCGACCAGGCACACAGTAGAAACAACGAAGATCATTAACATGTCGCTTTTAATGTCTGAAAGAAAAGAAACAATAGCCATTAACTCGTATATTCACCAGGTTTTGAATTCACCATCGCATTTATATCATTGCGTATGTGGCACCTATCGGCTTTCCTTTTCTAGGAGTTTTCAGGACATAAACCTAGCTCTAAGGCCTTCATTGTTAATTGGTTGGGTCATGGGCTCCTGATGGTTGAGCCTCGTGATTAGCAATATTACAAAAATTCATTGGGACTGGCCTTAGCGAGGTTATTAGAGGCAGGTCAGGTACCACAAACTGGATAAATACAAAGAAATTAGACGTTATATAAGTATATATTTTACAACAAATAAATAATATTCTAATTAAATACAAGGAAAATATTGGAGTTAATTATAAGATCGTTGGTTTGAATCTTGTTGGGTGAACCCTGTTTTATTTCCTTTTTTTATAAATTTATTCAATTATTATTTTTTTTTTTCGAGTAGTTTGTGCCCTGATTGAAGCATCACTGCTCTTGACAATCGCCTCATGTAAGGTTATCCACGACAATCTTGGATTCTGGATTCCACGCTGTGGATTCCGGATTCCAGGTAATGGATCCTAAATACATACATTGGCAGCAGTATAGTCATATAGAAATAAAAATTATACTTATTTCTGTGATAGGTTGGTTAAGTGCCTCTATACATGGACAAACACTGGACTCGAAAGCACTAGCTGACTTGGTGAACATATAGTGATAACAAGTTCTGGTGTTTCAGGAGATAATAAGAGAAGACAAAGGTATTGTATTAAATTTTTTTTTTTCGCTTGGCTTTCAGCCTAATTTTACATTTTCATGAAACTGCTCCCTGGTGATAAAAAGGTGTAGTAGCCACTCATTTGGAAGCACAAAGCGACAAACCTTAACAGTCAACTCCCTTTATTGCGGACAATGTAGGAACCTCGAATTAGTGTCCTCATTACTGACAGTCCGTAATAGCGAGACTTTATTTCAGTGAAACGTCTGTAATTTGTTTTTGCAGGGGATTTAACTAGCTGTTGTCTGTATTATTGGGGTGTCCATTATAGAGGGGTGTCCGCAAGGCGAGAGTTGGCTGTATTTTCTTTTAACTTCGAATTCTTGAAAATAAAAAAGTCGCCCCATTTAGGGTAATACGGCTTTCGGAATCCGGTAAATTTTTTCTTATCGAATCCGGAATCCGGGTAATTCCGATCAAGGAATCCAGAATGCCGCTAACGTTTGGAATCTGGAACCCGAGTCGAGGGCCACAAGTTCATCATTTCCCATTAAAACTGTCAAGTGTTACCCTCTTTAACCCTTCAGTGAAGTTAAACCCTAAGATCAAAACTTGAATTCTCATTTGTTGCCCTTATTTATTCCCTATAAAAGTAGTGGGGAGAAGTTGTTAAGATATCAGCAAATTTATCGTGTGTGATCATGTCCGTAATTCTCATGACCACTCTGGTTTTACAAGCATTATTATTACAAGGAGAAATTTGATGCGGATCTTAGGGCTTAAAGGGTTAAATTAAGTCTCCAATCCACTCCACAACTTCCACTGACAAGGAATGTGGAATCCAGGGACAATTTACCTACCCCTCCCCCAAGCCATCATTTTCACCGAAGTGAGAGGTAAGTGTTAATGTTAGCTTAGGGGAGGGGTAGGTGAGCAGTTTCCAAGAAACCTAAATTGATCCGAATCCAGTACTTAGAATCCGGAATCCACAGCGTGGAATCCAACCGCGCGTGACGTATTGCCGCTTGAAGCTGACAGTTTTTTCTCTCGCTTAAAAATAATCCGGGTTCAAACAATGGTTTTTGTTTATGTAACCTTGAATCACTTGGAGAAATTACGCAAGAACAAAATAGCGCTTGTATCTTTTCTTAGCATAAAGGCCGATTATTTTGGTAGAGGCGAACATAAGTAAAAACTATATATGAATTTTGTTACTTCTATTTTTAACTTAAGTCTGGTCAAAATCTAAGTTTGCATAATAGGAGGGTAGCTTAAATAACGACTTTCTTTGCAGCTCTGTAGCTGGAGCACCTGTAACCTGCGATCAGTTTTTCCTTTTTTTCTCGGGGAAGAGCAACAACGAGCAAAGAAAGAGGGAAGAAGAACGGCCCGATCGAAGGTTGGAGGACCTACACTTCGTCTACTAAATGCGGTCTAATCCCGTCGGGGACTCAGCGTTTCCTGCCCCACGTTTGTGGCACGATGCGTCTTTGGCTTCGATGCTCGTATAAATTGTCTTTGTAGCTTACTTTATCTTAAGCAGAACAGACGATTGGCTGATTGTAATTGTGTACGGTTGAATTTTCAAAGCCTTGATAAAAAAGGAAAAGACTGACCTTGTTCTCTTTGATGGTGGCCAAGGTTTCCTTAATCTTCTTTGCCAATCAATTAATTTCCTTTTTTACATAAGAAAGTGTGAAAAGGGTACTTGAAAAGGACAAACTTTGTTTATCCTCAAAGCAAACAGTTCGAAGGTCTAAACCAGGAAATTGAGCAATCGAACTCTTGGATACATAGTTACATACCGATCATTCGCATCTTCAGGAAGAGCTGAAACTCATTTAACCCCAATTCATTTATACAAGGAAGCAAGGAACGAAAATCAATTAAGATGAATGAATAAAATCTCTATGTGGAAGGTTTCTAGATGCGATCAAAGTTGCTAAATGAGAAATGAATTGAGTCAGTGTACAGTACCGCAAATGAGCGTTGTTTCCCCTCGAAGCTGGGGTGGGCCTCGTTTGTTTTTCAACTCTCTTCTCGATATCTGGTAATCTGATAAAGCCGTCCCTCCTTTTTTGTGTGTTAGTGTTTCCTGGAAGTGGCTCAAAAATTTGAACAATCGTGGGATACATGTATATTATCTTATCGTCCTTGAAGGTTTAGAGTTACGACCGACATACTGTCTCTCATCTTAGCTACCGCAAAATGTTTTTAAATCGAAGCAAAATTAGAGCAGAAGAAGATTACCGGAAGATGTGTTGAGCTTGCCGACTGGTATGGTTTCCTTAAAGTTCCGGATCTTTAAAGATCGAAATACCTTATTGAAATAAACGGGGGGAGGGTACAGTAAACATGGCTGGAGAGTACAGAACACTAACAAGGTCAAGTCTGAACTTTTTTGACCTGTAATCCTGTAACCATTCTTCTGAAGGAAAAATTCGAGCCAAAAAAGGTGGGCTGCAATTTCTCGAAACTGATTACAAGTTCTAACCGACAAATATCAGACCTGGGCTACTGAAATAAATATATTCCTTGATCACAAACAGCAATATGTTATGCCTTGCGGCTCGTATACGCCTAAAAGCGGGAAATGGAGGCCCGGAAAGCGAAAAGACATCCTGTCAGTGCAGTACACGTAACTTCTACTAGGAGACGACGAAGGGAAGCCACAAGCGCGAAAAATTATACCGGCCATGGCCTCAGATCGCGGGTCGAGTGGTGTAAAACTGTGGTCGCGTTCTGAGCAGATGAAAGGTGATGAATGAGCAGAGGAAAAAAAAATAAGATCTTCGTCTTCTTACAAAAAGCCATCAAGGGCCAATAAATCATCACTATTTTGCATAGTAGATGATTTCGGATCGCTTACCGAATTTCTAGCCTTCCGGCCATGAGCCTGTCTACAGTCATGCATGCAAGAAGTTAATGCACTAGAACCTTAACCGTTAACCGTTCAGTAAAACAAAGTTCTCCTGTCGGCCACATCAAGCAAGACTGAAACCACTCTCCAAAAACTGAATCATATTGAGGGGTTTAGTTTAAAGGTCGTTTCCGTCGGTTTGAATAATTTGTACACGTTCCAATCTTTCTAACAAAGTTCTGCCAGTTTCTGCCGTGGCCCGCTTTAGCGCAGGGTAGGAAGAATAACACGAGACTCGGTGATTCTAATTAAGAGCGAGATATGATGTACCTGTATCGACAATTTAGCTATTGTTGTGGTTAAAGTTTTTGGAGAAACAATGGATCTTTTGTAATTCGCCTCCATGCCGGGTCGTTTTGAATATCACAAAAAGAACGCACGAAGTGTAAGAAAAAAATCATGAGATAAGGAAATTGGCGATTACCTTCAATTGTTTTAAACCTTCCAACCTTTGTCGCTGAGAGTGAAGCCGAAGGGAAAGAGGTTTTCCCTGCTGCTCTGTGGAACAATGGCTTTTGTTAACTGTTGTTCGTTTGTCCAAACAGCTCAGGAATGTTCTTCAGTGTGCCACTGAATTACACAGTTGTCATATGTAGACTCAAGTTTGACAAGCAGTTAATGACCATTGTCAAATATGCCAAAGGTCACGCGATATTCGCTAGCAGCACGACATTCGCTTTTTTGAAACAGTGTGGCTCAACTACTCTACATCACAGATGTTTGAAAACGTGAAACTAAAGAATTAATGACGAAAAGCATTAGCTGGAGATTACTTCATTTATCCCCCCTCCCCTGCCCCCATTCTTAGTTTTCTGGCTTCCAGAGGGAAGGGATTATTGGAGAGTTGGGGGTAGGGGGCTTGGGGGCTCCAATTCTGACGTGGCTGACGTGGCAAATATTATTTTACGGTGTGCCACAAAATGAACTTGTGATAATTATAAGGGTATTCAACTGAAAAATGTACAAATTTGCAACCATCTTCTTCATCTGAAGGAGTAAATAGGTGCTACACATCTAGAACGTATGCATTAGAAGTGATTCACGCGTAGGACGTATGTATTATGATGCGGAACACAGTGCTACCTCCCCCGTCCCGAAATGTCAAGGTTTTGGTTGCCGGATGCTAAGTGCAAACTTTGTCTTCAAGGAAACCAGATTTCATCTTTGGAACGTGCTATTGAAAACTAGAAACTGCTAAAATGCGGAATAAATACCTCCTTTCTCTTCTTTCAGTTTACTTTACAACTGACTTTACCCTGTGATACCAACGCTGTGCCTGAATCGTGGAATATGTTTGCAAAATGCTTGAAAATCACTCGTTTGGCACGTGCTTTTAGTGAAGCACTTTAAAGTAATGACTTCAACACAGAATTAACCTAAAATAGCAATATCTTCACTATAGCTCAGATAACGTTGTATCAGTCTATGTGTGAATTTCTGTGGTGTGATTATTCAAGTGAAAGCTATTGTCGCCATTCAGCTCCGTTCCCTCGAGTTCCCGTAGTACTTTTTATCCGTGTCATCCTGAACAAGGAGGTTCTAGCTTTTTGAGTCTGTGGGTGAATTCTTTGATGTGGCCATCAAACCTGCTCTTTCATATGGTCCTTTCTTGTTCCTTTTTTTTATTTTTTATTTTTATGAATTTAGTTAGCTTTAATATGAAAGATAACAAGTCTAATCTGATTTTCGTTTTTCGAGATTTTTCTCCAAATTTGTAGTTTTGGTTTGGTCTCTTTTGGTTCCAAAAACTACTGCAAGTACCTGGGTTGAAGAACTTTCCCCTGCTTTTAATTTTACGTTACTACGTGCTTTGACTCGGCATTGTTAACTGAAAAAGCAAACAAAAGTCAAAAGATAATGCTTCCTCTAATGTTTTTCACAGGACGTTTTGAACTTATTGATGAGCTTTCTCAGAATACTGAAAAATCAGCATTACCGGGGGAACAATTCTGTTAAACTGGAAGCTGAAGAGAACAAGCTTGAAAAACCGTTCATATACATGTACATAAACAATTGATTATTCAACAAAAATCAACTTTCTTGCAAACGGGTGTCATGTCATCTGTCAAATAAGATCGTTCAGAACTTTTTTTGTTTCCACAGGAAGGTTACTCTTGTCTGATCCTGTTAGCGAATTCCTTTGCAATCTATTATTAGGTTGAGAGTGAGTGAGAAAAATAAAATCGGTCAGTGGATGGCGCAATGTTGGTATAATACTGACGGTCCGCTCGCGCTAAGCCCCGTTGCGTCCGTTGACCCACCCTGATGCGTGTTGTTGCGCAAAGTTTCAAACCGGTCAAACTTTTAGCCACGTGTAAACGGACGTAACAAGTCCCAACATTGTTGGGTAAACAATGGGGGGGGGGGGGGGGTTTTGTTTTGTGGCGGTGGTGCTGCCGGGCTGTCTCCCTGTTTCGCTCCATGGTGCCGTCTGTTGTTTTTATTGCTACAAAGTTGATATCGTTGTAATTTTTTAACGATACGTAAAAGGACGAAAAAAGTGCTGTGGTGTGGGGGGAGAGGGGGGGGGGGGGGGGGGGGTTACTTCCTTATAAGAGGCTAATGGGGATGTGCCGCTGGATGGGGTCGCATTTTCACGACTGGATTGACTATATGGGGGATTGACTATGGGGTAGCACATTGTTCGGATTTTTGGGGGTAAGACAGTTCTTCATATTTACGGTTAGTAAACGTACCAGAATGTTTGTACTGCAGATGAAAAGTAAAGTGTTCTTCATTCAATCTAAAAAATGGGTCAGTTCATAAAAATTGGAAGTGACTAAGTTGGGATCGCGAAAATTACATATTTGACAAAAAGTGACTAAGCTGTGGTCGATAATTGGTCACAGAATAGACTATAATGGGGTAGGGGTTCTGAGAAGCCAGCGGCACATTCCCAGCAAAAATTAGCCCAAGCACCCCCCCCCCCTTCCCGGGGGGTTGCGTGTTGTTGCGCAAAGTTTGAAACCGGTCAAACTTTTAGCTACGTGCAAACGGGCGCAACAACTTCCAACATTGTTGGGCCAACAGTGTAGGAAGTTGTTGCGTGCGTGTTGGTAGTGGTGTTCAAACGGATGCAACAACTCCCAACAATGTTGGGCCGACAATGTAAGGAGTTGTTGCGTGCGTGTTGGCAGTGGTGTGGAAACCGATGCAACCACTCCCAACAATGTTGGGCAGGATGAGCTCCTGTGTTGGGCCAACAATGTTGGGAATTGCTGTGTCCGTTTGCACTTAGCTTTAGTCTTTCACAAGCTCGGCTGTTATTTGTGTTCCTCCAACGCTAAACACAAAATATGAACCACCCAGAGTGACTGATATACAGGCGGTATATAGTGTTTGTTTATTGAAAAGAGGAAGGCAAATTGAACCTTTGTTTCTATTGTAGACTCGGCTCGGTCTGGCCAAAAACAAGCAAATAAAAACAAAATTCAAAAGAGATCATCCGCTTGTATTCCTTTGTTTAATACCGCTCCCTGATCTGATTAACTCAGCATGGTATTTTCTTTTGTTTCTGGCAAACCAAGGTAAATTGTTTAGTGGGAGTGGAGGGGGCGTTTCAGCCGTTTCACTACTCTCTACCTTTTTGTTTTCGTTGATTTTGGTTTTAGTATATGCCTTCACTGTTTACTATATTACAAATGATCCTTTTTAAAAAGATATTATGTTGATTTTCTTTCTTTATGGGAGCACAATCTGGTCAAAACAAGAGCGGATAAAGGAGTCCACACAATGTACGATCACAAAAAGCAAACAACAATCGGGTGTGGATAATGTTTCGTCTGGTGTTTTGGTTTAATGAGTGCATGTCATGACCCAGCCGTGTAAATCTCTAGTAGCAAATAAGATCCGCCGGATTTGACAATTTAGAGCAGTTTCCGTTCAAATGAATGTCAAAAACAAATGCCTTTGAAAACAAAAGTTTCTAGAAAGTAAAAGTGAAAGTGTTGAACTATCAAGCCAATCTGAAGTAGCCGGATAGAGATGAGAGGAACGTGTAGGTTTTTTTGTGAGTCGAGTACATTAAACCAGTGTTCACAAATTTTGTACAAAGAAAGAGTGTGGGACAATTCTTTTAACCATACAGAAACTGAAACAAATGAGCCATGTAATTGCATTCGTTAAAGGAGTCGTTGACGAGAAAACCTGGAATGTGTACACAGTACACTTTTTGTACTGAGGAAGCTGATGTCAGCCCCCTTTTTTTTTGCATCATGTGACTTTAACAATTAAGCAGAACGTTTTTAAGCGTTCTGTTTATTCCGTTTATCGATTTTACTAACAGAACTGGAATTAAAACTAGCAAGAATGATAGTATTTATGAATAAAGAGCATTGCAGAGCGAGAGCTATGGCTGAAGACTATTCAGTCATCGGAAATTGAAGCATAGGGGTCGTTAAGCGCAAGAAATCAGTAAGCTTATTGTGAAATCCATTATGGTGCTAATAAACTGTCAAACTGGCTCGAAAGCTGGCCTTCCAAACCTTTTAAACACATGTGTTTACTTGGTATATTTTTGCTAATTATGTCTACTTTAGATCCTACGTTCTGCGGCATGTTTAAGCGGTCCTTTGCAGTTAATGTTCATTTGCTACTTCAAAACTTTACTCGCCTCCAACCAAAAGAAACGGACCGACCTTACTAAAGTCGTTTTGGTACTGCACTTTGCGATCATACTCGCAGGGCTGGTAAATACGCGAGTCGGTGGAACTTGTTAATGTTTACCGACCCGAAAATGAAGAACAGACTGAGAGATAAAACATTTTTAAGTCAGCAAGTTGCATTGAAACAAGACTATACTCTTACCGTGGTGAGTTTTTAGAACCAATATCCTGTCTTTTCTTCTTGGGGCCATCCGAGAATGTGGTTGTTTATCGCACTTTTCATGTGGATCGATACTAAAAGCGGTGTTTTCCCCTTTCGTCTGTAGAGACTGACGTAAATGCCTTAAAATGTTGACTTGATGCCAGAAAACAAAGTTAAACAGATTAAGGCATGTCTGATCTTGTGGAGTACGAATCGTGTTTTTAACACTTGGCTTGATGGGCGCAATTTATCAGCATTCCAAACCGCAAGCGAAGGGTCATGTCACTATAATTGTAAGTTACAGCATTCAAGCTGAAGACTAACAAAATAAACAGCAGATAAGGGTTACTATGTTTTTGCGCAGTAGAGCGTGACTGGGGAAGGGTAGCCTGCGTAGCAGGCGTCGAAAGCGGTAGGGGGTAGGGGATAGGGAGGAAGGGAAGAAGGGGAGGGGGATTGGGGAGAGGGGGAGGGGACTCCCTTCCCTTTTCCCTTTCTCCCTCCCCCCTCCCCCTCCCCTTTTTGCGCCTGCCACGCAGGGTAGGGGAAGGGGTGGTGTTCGGAAAACCAGGAGGGCCACAAAGTGATTTCGTTTTTATTTTTCACTTTTCCATTTTTGATTTTCACTCCGCCATTTAACTTTTCGGTTGAGATTTCGGTTTGTATTTTTTACTTTTCCGTTTTCGTTTTTAACGTTTTGATTTTCATTTCGCCATTTTGCTTTTCGGTTGAGATTTCGGTTTTTTTTTGGGTAGTTTCAATAAAGGGGACGACTATTTTTACTTCCCTAAATATCCGATCTTTCTCCTTTAATACATTTTTTTTACTATCACTTCAACTGAAGTGCAGATTAGGTTTACTACGAGGGAAGGGTATTTTAGAGTTTGTAAGAAATGGATTTCGTAACTGACGATCAGCCGAAGCGAAACTGCCTATGTTCTTCCATCGTCGCTCTTTGTTTTTCGTTGGTATTAACGACCTGTCCGTATACGAGATGCTGTCACCAGGGATGCTATCCTTTCCTGTTAATAAGTGCTTACTTACAGTAATTACTAAATAACTCTTGTGCCATAGTATCGTAAACTTATGAACATTGAGTGGGAGCTGAGTGAGGCGGTAGCTCCATGTACCCAGGAGTACCCTGCATGTACCAAAAGTTCCAAACGCGTTCTTTTTCTGAGGCCTATCCCGCTAGTCAGATTTTCTCTTTTTATTCTATCCAAAGGCTTTCAACTTTGGTCCGTAAATGATCTATAAGACTACCGGGGCGTTTATTTAATTTTGAGTGTCCAAGAACTGGAGAGCTTAATATATAGGAGGCGTATATTTTCATTATTCAACAAACTCGATCTGCAAAACTAATGTGCTTTCGGTGAATTATAATGTTGCGCAATCCCCAGTCCATCAGTTGATTCGTCAAGGCCGTCCGTAGACCCATATCACTGTTTCAAATGTGAACTTCGATGTCAGAATCCTCTTCCAGGTTCGTCATTGTGTTGTCATCACGTTAGTCATTCCTTCAGCGCTGATCCTGACTTTTAACTTGACATGGAACAAGATGCAATTTACAAACCCTTGTTAATCAAACAAGAATCTGAATAATTACTAGTTAGCTTTTATGGGCGTTTATTAGAGAGGGCCGTCTATGATCTAATACAAACTTTAGATCGTAGAGGGGGCGTTTATAAGACAAGTGCATGGCGCTTATTTGAGAAGGTCAAATGGATTATTTACGGTAAAATGAAAGTACAATATTCATGGTGGTATGTGTATGATAAGTTCGTTTATGTTTGGTCTCACGATAATCATTGAGTACCATGACACAAGCGATAAATTGACCTATCGTATTTGAATCATTATTCTTTTCAACAAAAATCGTCTTTGTGCGACGAAGAATTCCTCTTTAAGTTTATACTTCCGACCTGTCTTTCAAGCTAACGATCTGAAGCTAAGGATGGAAAATCAAAACATGACAGTTTGACAAAAGTGAAAACGGGGTAAACTTTTACTAACAAAATTATCTTTTGCACTTTTCAGCTTTTTTGTTTTACTTTGTCTTTTGTTTGTTTGTTTGTGTGTTTTTTCTAAACCCTTTATGCTCCTAGTTTCACTTTCTTTTGAATTCAGGTGTTTCGCCACATGTTGGGGAATTTTTCTGCTTAGAGCGAGTTTCTAATGTCCTTTAAGCAATTAAAGGCTATCCGAGGCGTTCAGTTACTAGGCAGAAAAAGATGGGCGCCCTCGAAAGAAGAATGCGGCATTGATTTCTTTATATCTAGTAGAGTACATGCCATTGTTTAGGGGGCAGTATAACTACTATTAAGCTGGTGGCAAAAAAGCATTGTTGACGCTGCTTTTGAGCTTTATGATTTCTCGACTAGGGTGACTATCAAACGGCAGAAAAACTGAGAAAACAGCCGATATTTCGGGAGTGCCACCACTACCGGCTTCCCCGCGAAATGCCGTCTAAAGAACGAGTACAGAAATTCCATACTGATGACGTATCACTACCCAGATCTGGGAAGTGCTTTTGACTGGTTAAACTGAATTTGCTTCAGCCAATCAGAAGCACTAGTTCTCATTGCTCAGACTTCATTTCGCGGTAAAACCAGTGGTGACCTCGCGAAATGTCGGCCTGTTTCCTCAGGTTATGTATTTTTCAGGTGTTTAGCAGAAGCATAAAAACGCCTGTTGTAAAAATCCAAATCCAGCCATAAATAATCGGTGCCATGCTCTGTGACTGTCCAATGTAGTAACATTTTCCTTTAACACATTGCCTCTTACAGTGTTGGGCAAAGCACTCCATTCGACACTCTCCTCCTAAGCACATCTGATCACATCTTTCTACTCCTTTGACGCACTCCATGGTGCAGTTGGTGCAGACCTGGTTGCAAGTGGAAGCCGAACACTTGATGTGACGACATTTTGCCTTCCATACGCACGACTGGGAGCATAACTTACTGGAAGCACAATTCATGTTACACATTCCGAAGAAGCACTTCTGTGCGCACACATTTCTACCTGAAGTTAGAAGCACAGCACGTTAATTTCCTGTTCACGATCTAAAAGAACAATTGCTTGAATACGTTATTCTTGGCGTTGTAACAGCTATCCATAGCAAAGGTAGCAATTATATCATTCCATCATAAATGTGGAGACTGCGTGGACAGTATTGCGGGAGAGGCTGCCTTCCCGTCATGCATGCAGTGGTACCCGACTACAAACATATAAGACGCACCATCCTTTAGTGGTCAACAAACAAAAAAGAGTAGGTATACGGTTAAGGAATTGAACGAAAGAGTAAATAGATCCTTGGACTTCTCGATCGGGCCTCTGTAATTTCGCTTTGATCGCCGGGACCTAAAGCTGGTCACCCTTTTCCAAGCCTAAACCAGGAGCAGGTGCTATCTTTTCTTTAACCGTTGTCATTACAGAGCACTTCAACCGGCTGGGAGTTGGTTGGGATAGCTTGAGGAAACGGGCTTCTTTTCTGTTACATAGCACAGGGAAATTGAAATCGAAAATTTGCGTTTTTGTGACCCTACAGGATAGCTTAGCCTGTGTCCCGTGTTTCTGGGTTATTCTACTGCTGGTTCTTGTTTCTTGTTATCGCCTGTAGTACAAGTGTAATTTTCGGGCGAACAAGCGTTCACTATTTCCTGTGTTACCACCACGATCTTACTCTGGTCCCAGAGGTTTTTCTATTCTGAAAGTAGATTAAGGGCCCTTTCGGAAAGTCAGACCAGGCCACCCAACCCGGTCATTTTGAAAATAAAATATTAGTCACTTTTTTAAAAAATTTCCTTGACTAAACCCCATCATCATACCATTTAGGAATCAACCGAACCTGTCTGGATAGCCCTGATTAATCAGGAAATTCTCCTTAGGACTACCCTGCTGTGGCCAGCCAGTTGTGACAAATGATTAGTACCTTAGTCAGTTATACAGTCAGGCCATTATATTTTTAAAATGCATGTGTTATACGTGTTAGATGCTCTTCGTCTCCTTCCTCTTTCCTAATTCTTTATTATGTAATTATGAACTTTTCTGTAACTTATGCAGTGTATCAGTGTGGTTGAGTAAAGGAAAAAATCCTCAAAAAAGGCGCCTTAAGATCGTTGAGAGTAGAGAGCATGATCGGTGGATTGGAGAGCCGGTCACATTTAGTGCTCGTGAAGCGCCACAGAGCAACCAAAATGTTTTCTATGTTTTCTTATCTGTAAGGCTTTCTTCTCTTAGCTTAAGCAATAGACATCTCAATGCTTACTTACCAGAACAGGCCATTGTTGGACACGAAGAAAGAAAATTGCAGTTTTGTGAACAGCTGCTAAATGGAGTTGTTTCTGTCATTTTACAGGAACAATGGCTAAAATTACACTTCTTTTGGCAGAGGTGTTGGTTCAATGAGCCATCTTCGCATTGCTCGCTGGCCACTGACATCGCAGTTGCATAAAGGATCACCGTAATGAACGTCTTCGGGATCATTCTGGAATTTTAAGGTAAAAATTTGTAGAGAGGGGCTTGATAACACAAGACCGGTATGAATTTAAACCGTAATGTGTTCAAACCAATTTTGATGGAGCGTTTTCAGGTGACGCTGTGTCGGCCATGTTGGTTTACTAAGTTTATGTTCACCCTATGTCCTGCCCCATGAAAGGGAATCCAGGGCAGTCTTGGATTCTGGATTTCACGCTGTGGATTCCAGATTCCAGGTAACTGGATTCCAGTCTCTGTCAGTGGAACTTGGACACTGGATTCCAATCGATTGTGGGATTCCGGATTCCTTGAGCTGTATTCTGGATTCCAAAACCCAGGATTCCAGATTCCAAAAGCAAAAATTTCCCAGATTCCGGAATCCGGATTCCCTTACCTTGGGCGATATGTCGGGTAGCTTTTGCGCCCGCACAAAAATTATATGTGGTAGGGCTTCTGTTTACACATATTAACGGTTATTTCGGCGCGATTTCTGTGACGGAGCAAAGCTGCGCCGCGTCGATCTCCGAAGTGGAGACTCGCATATCAGAGAGGTCTTCCATTCTATACCGGATAGATTTTCATATCGGTCAGGAGCCGATTAATGTGAACAATTAGGCTCCGAGAGTTGCACGAGGGGAAGCCATCAATTTGAATTTCGCGTGTCATATCAGGCAAATAAAGACGTTTTTAAATTTTTGTTTTTTTCCAAAAACTATAGCGGACTGGGACTGCCTCCCTGAGGCCATTGTTTCATCAACCTTTTAAATATAGGTTATCAGCTTTTCTTAAAATAATAGTTATATATAGTTTATATAGTTTTCTTTATTTAACTTTTATATCATTATTTTAGATATTGGTATATCTGTATTTTATTCATTTACTTATTTTATTTCTTTCTTTATTTGTTTTTGTTTTTTTTATTTTTACGGTTGGTGCGATATCTTAACGATTTTACCGACCCAATACATGTAAATGTAAAAAATACTGAAATGGCGGCCATGTCTTGATGTTGGTGTTTCCAGCCAACCCTGTGAGAGTTGAACTCTTTTCTTGTGTAAAAATACCTTTTGTTCCAAGAAACTAATTTAGTCATTGGTTACATGAGTGAAAACGCCCTATATGGTTCTTTCCTTCCGTTTACGCAAAGCGGCCTCAAAAATTATCTCTAACCGGTTTGCTTTATTCCAGTAGCTGACCGACCCCCGGGAGGGGGGGGGGACTCCGCATATGAAAGGGGTGGGGATGCTCGCCGTCTTACTTAGGGGTGTAAATTTCGGACTTTGGTCTCACTTAGGGTGTTCTGGGGAAAACGCCATCATAGTTAGCCGTGATCGTGAAGGTCTCGTTTAGGGTTGCACGTGAAAAAAATATAAAAAGGGGTCAAAAAGAGCTTGGGCTACGCCCAGATCGGTCTCTTTTAGGGGGTTAGTTCCTAATTTGCGACGAGCATCCCCACCCCTTTCGTATGCGGAGTCCCCCCCCCCCCCGTAACCCCCACCCATGGATCAGACCCTATCCTAACTGCCCCATATGTAGAGATTTTGTGCTAAGTCCCCAGATAAAAACCATTTATCCCGGCGCGGGGTCACAAACTCTTAAATGCTTCTAATTGATTTTTTCCCCTCTTTTCTTTTTTTTATATATGCTTTTTTGTTTTGGTTTGGGGTGCACGTGAAAAAAATATAAAAAGGGGGCGAAAAGAGCCTGGGGCACGCCCAGATCGGGCTCTTTTTGGGGGTTAGTTCCTTATTTTGGGCCAGCATCCCCCCCCCTTTCGTATGCGGAGGCCCCCCCCCCCCCGGTAACCGACACCAATGGATCAGACCTGATCTGAACTGACCTATATGTAGAGATTTCGTGCATAGCTCCCAGATAAAAGCCATTTATCACGGCGCGGTGTCACAGACTATTAAATGCTCCTAATTGCTTTTTCCGCTCTATTACTTCTGCGAAGTGAGATTTCATTTATCTTATTTTATCTACGGGCTCGGTCACGTAATGGTTCGTAAAAAACCCTCAAAACTGATTCCTTGAAAACTGAGTTGATCATTTAGGCAATAAAAGTAAGAATAAGAATTACTGAGTATATAACAGGTCTTACTCTTACGCTAGGGAGTGTTTTAATACGTTACTCTCAATGACTTGAAGAAGATATGTTTCTTAGGGTTATTTATTAACTAACAAAAACATTGTGACTTGACTTACTTGTTTGAATTTTTTTCCGAGCGCTCTGTTCACCGCTTCTCTTCTGTATAAGGTTCTAGCGTTTTTATGAAGGTTTCTCAGTGCGAAGTTTTGATTCATAAGTACTTGACAAAGTCGTGAAAAAGGAAATTTTTAACCGCTCTTCGAGCGCGATTTTTCTTACACACAACTAGCGTCAATAAGGCATGATGATCAATTATTAAAAGACTTTATCGATAACACTTGTCATGCAAACACGGAGAGCATATCAGTATACTACGGTGAACTTCATTGGTTGTGAAAAAACTAGCTTTAATAATTATCTTGCCATAAATTACAATTTTCGTCATTAGCTCGGTGCTTTCTGTCACATGTAACGGTCCTTTTAAGAAGGTTTTGTAACCAGTAACGTTATTTTTGCGAAAAAAAATTAAATACAGAAATACAGATATAACAGGGAGAAAAAAAAATCAGTCAACCAGTTTAATTGCGACAATTGATCGCAAAAGCAAGTTAGTCGATGCGAAAAAACATGATTTATATGTAGGGCGGATATGTTTTGTGAAGAGTAAGTATACACTATCTTGGCATCCCGCTGTGTGTAGAGAAAGGAGACAATAATTTACCTGTATTTGAAAGGAAGGCTTTTTTGTTAATGTAAATTTTCAGAGATTAGAATTGAGCCCTACCTTAATAGGAAGAAAAGCAGAATTGAATCGATTAGCACTCATGATGAGTATCATGCCTTAATCTCATTGGTTTCCCGTCCCATATTGCTGGTTTTCACCTGACGTCACTAAAATTCAAACTACAAAACTATCGGTCCTACCGAGATTTTACTTTCACGATGTATTAGAGCAGCTGAAAACTAATTTTGATACAAATTTTCGCTTCAAAAGGGTTCTTGGTTTTGTGATAGAGTACGCTTGAATTTCTAAGCTTTTGCTTGACGCGGCATTTACATGACGGCCAAGAGAGCTGTCATGTAGGTTAAAAAAAAAAAAGACTTATTTCAGGGAATTTTCCTATCTAAACAGCTCATGTATTAGAGAAAGCATTACTTCAATGTTTATGAGTTCTTCGAAGAATAAATTCACGCTTTTGTAGCAAAACTCGTTAACTCCGGATGAGCACCAGCGTGGCGTCTCCATACAAATCTCTATAAATTTGGGTAAAAAGTTTCTTCGAATATCTCGTATACGAAATATTCCTTTGACCTGAATCTTGGCGAGGGTCTTAGCATATTTACCTCCTTTCATTTCCCAGATTCTGGACTTTATGTATTGAACGGTTTTGATTTTTATTTTAATCTATTTTGAATGGCGTGACACTGAAAACCAGCAATTGGTCAATGTTGATGTATTCAGCTTGACAAGGCATTGCTATGATTTCTCACTAACGGCCCGTTTACGCATACGATTCCTTTTGTTTCTAAATGTTCTAAGACTGAAATTCTTGTCACCCTTAAGCTCGCATAGATAGAAGGTGTATGTACAAGCGATTTTAGTGCAATGTTCACCACCAAATCGCAAATATGTCGAAATGTTAACTCAGTGACTGCCGTAAAACGCTGCGGTTATTACAGAAGAGATACCTTGAATTCACACTCAAATTAATTGACTCAACCAGTGGTAAAAAAAGAAAAAAATAACAAGTGCAGGCCTGCTGTATAGCTGGCAGCTTTCAGTTGCTTGCAGCGTACCAACAGATCAAGAAAATGCATCACAGCTAGTAAATCAAAAATGTTAACATTTGTTTTAAAAAAAGTAGCTTATAAAATTAACAACAAGAAAGAAGCGTTGCTTTTAATAAGAAACTTAGCTTTATTTATTTTTTAATATGTCATTTTGTTACTTTTTCATTCAATGCAAAATAACCGTTAAATCCGCTGAAAGACTTTAACTTTTATCATTTCAATAATATAGGTATTTGCTTGTTTGTGTACATATGATGGAGGGGTTAATGTCACCTGAATTTATCTCCGCTAAAGTGAAAGATTCACAGATGCAGTTAAATAATAAGAAACAAACAAACAGAAAGCAAATTCACCTTATGCAAGGGAATCCAAGACAGTCTTGGACTCGGAATTGCAGGTACTGGATCCCCAGTCTTCAGGGGCGTAGCCAGCTTTTCGACTAGTTGTAGTCCTGGCTGACTTTCATTTCCACATATATATCCTGAAATTCCACGCATGACTAGTACGCACTGACCTCACCAACACTTTGAGCTCTTAAGCTGTTTAGCTCACCCCAACAACGCATAATTTATTACAAGCGCTAAAGTGATCAAGCCAAAGATTTGTAGGCCCTGGCCTACAGACCTCTGGGCTGGTTACGCCCCTGGTCTTTGTCAGTGGAACTTGAATTCCGGATCCCAATCGTTACTGAGATTCCGGATTCCTTGGGCTGTATTCCGGATTCCCAAGCCTCAAGATTCCGGATTCCACTAGCAAAACCTTCCCGGACTCCTGATCCAACAAGCAAAAAATTGCTGGAATCTGGAATCCGGACTCCCTTTCATGGGGCGAAATGCATATTGTAAACAGTTACGTAGATCAGTTATCGACTGATATCGAAAAGTATCACTGTCTTTGTTCTATAAATTGCCCTCATGCCTATGGTGTTGTGCACAATATTTTAAAACTTTGATGTTTAAGTGACCGTGGACCCACGCTTGTGACGAGCTCTACAAGATGATCTGAATATAAGAAGCTGTTTTTTACATGACGTCACGGCGGCCATATTGGTTTCCAAGACAATGAAACGGCGGCCATGTTGGTGTCCCAAACCAATCTTGTGGGAGTAGAATCTTTTCTTATGTAAACGCCTCCTTTTGTTGCAATAATGCATATGCATAAATAGATGCTGGCCACGTGAGTGAAAACGCTCTATTGAGACATGGCTCTGCTGAAGACCTGTGACGTCACCAAAGTGGCCGCCATCTGGCGCACCATAATCCTAAACAGGCAGATAAAGTCAAATGGTTTTCTTAATCCTCAGGGTAAAGTCTTGGTGTGCACATCCAAGTGTGTCATTTAACAGCTGAAATTCGTGACCTTCTCATGCGAATTAAGTCAGTTTGCACAACTCGATCCCTGGTCAAACCTATAATACGCCATTTGACAAATGCCGTACAAATGAACAAAGGCTGCGATCACCACCAGCACATGGAAGATTTGATGGCTTTGGAACTAAAGGAATGGAACAGAAGAAACGTCTATTTGATAGAATGACTAATTTTATTAATTGTGATCAGGTTTGTTTTCATAATTCTAAAGGAAAGTGGAGGTCTAGACAGTACTCTGGGCTTTGTAGAAGAACACCGAAGGCGTTTTGGCTGGCATTCGGCGACGTATGAGCGTGCATTTGGGGGGTCTACTCAACTTAACGCGGTTTTGGAGTGCAAAAGGGCGCAGTGGTGAAAGCACAGGCCTCCCACCAATCTGACCTGGGTCCGAGTCCAGGCGTTGTGGTTGTTAGTTCTCATCTCTGTTCTGTTAGGTTTTTATCCTGGTAGCCCTGTTTTCCCTTCTCCTCAATTACCAACATTCCAACTTACAATTCGCTGCAAAAGTGCTTCAGTTTATAGTTGAGACGGGGGTGGGAGCACTTCGAGGGACACAAGTTTATCATTTCTGGGAACTGTAAATTTACCTTCTGTAAACAACGTTATTTTGGGTATTGACTTTTAGAAAATGGAAGCTGACAGAAAATTTATTCGGTAATCAGTTCTTTGCCCTTAAGATTGAAATTTCTCAACAATGTAAAAATAGCTTACCCATATGTCACATTTTCCGGGAAAGAACCTCTCCGGAATCCTCGTTGCATAAGTGACAGCACTGGCAGTGTACAAGAAGGACATCAAAATTATCCATTCCACTGCCACTTGACGCATGACGAGAGTGGCTTCATGCGTTGACACAAGGTGGATAGCAGGAATAACACCTGACCAACCGAAGGCAATCAACAGTCCTGAAATAAAATAGTTTACGTAGTTGAACTCCAAACATTTCTTTCCGTTTAGCTCATCGTGTACTATACTTCTTTTTTGTCGCCAAACCCTACTTGTAGATTTAAGGATGAATACCCTTGTGTGTCGCTGTTTGTTTTAGGGTCGGTCACTGTCCATCGGACTTAAAATACCTCTGGAGAGCGTTATGCCGCCTCAACTTAATATCTACGAAGACCTACTACACTGTTGTCTTTTTATTATGTTAGTCCTGGTTCAGACGCCGTACTTTTCATGTGCCGAACCTAACTGAATAAGTTCGACTTTGGAGCGACACTGGCGCGACATGTGATTCAGATGGCGCACCGTGTGTCAAGGCTAAGTTAAGTTCGACAAAAGTGCGCCAGACTGTCGAACTTTTGCCGCACCTAACACCAGACGGCGCTCCTTTGCCGTACTTAATTGATTAGTTAGGTTTGGTGCATGAGTGGAGCGGCGTCTGAACCGGGCCATACCGAGCTCCAGAGACATATCTTCTCATAGGGGAGCGAGGTTTTTTTAAAGGCATGCAGTGACTTTGGAATGGCTTTCTCGAAAGTGGATATGCACCGATTGCTTCAGTTTTGGTCTTGGTAAAAATGCTATTAAACTCGTCGGTCAGTTAAGCCGTGATTTCATGGACTGTAAAGACTCTAAGAGTAATTGGTGCTTTTTTGATTCGTGATGTTTGCATGTTCTTTTTGAAAGTTGTTAACCTCCTCCTGTTAACTTACTTGCACTGACATTTGTTTGGAGCTAAGGTTCAAATTGAACTTGTCTACAGAAAAGAAAATGTCGAGTACACACCGGCGTAGACTTGAAATGACCCCACCTCGTCAGAACGGACTCAGCTTCCTTTTGACTTCCTTATACTATATAGATTTAACCTAGGCTAAAAGCGAATTTCCCGTTGCAAATTATTAATTTACTTCCAACAATAAACTAGTCTTGGAACAATTGCAAAGAAATCCATAAATCCATACTTAACCTTAGGAGAGAAACCTTTACTTTTGAGGAAAGGGCTCAATAATTTTTAAGAAAAAATCTGAAAGAGTCCAGGAAAAAAATCTTACGTGGAGTTAAGACTAGTATATTCTTATTCTGTATACCCAAAGAATTGGAATCATCTCCGATAACATCAGTAGAAGGCTTGGAAAACAAATTCTTGCCAAACAAAATATCACAATTGTCCACCAACCCTTTCAGGTTCTTTTTGACTTCCTTGTAACAATTCCACTTACCTGCTCTAAATATTCGATACTTAGATTTCTTGAACTTGCCCCACAATGAAACAATAATACACATAACACCAAGAGAACAGGTCAGGGACATGTAAACAATCTTTAGAATCCTCGAGCAGTAGAACGCGTAATAAAGAGGAGGGATGAATGAACCCATGATGAACACTACGATACCAGCATAGTCAAGGCTGTTGATAAAATCAGATGATACAAAGTCAAGTCATCAAGTCTACCATGGTAACGTGACGTCACACTTCTCCTCTCTACTCCTGTCTGGTCTTTGGATCCCAAAATGTGTCCTTCAACAAATTACAAGGAAGAGCCCGGTTTTTTTTTAACTACCCCATCCTCCAAAGGAGCAAATGTTTTTACATAGAATTATTACCTACCTGCGAAAGATCGTCGACACTGTCTTAGAGTGACAATGAACAGTGTGAAAAATCCATGAAAAACCGAGACATATAATACCGCAAGCGAAAAAAATTCCAAACACCAACTTTTCCTGCCAGTCTTTGGGAAATGGACTGGAAGCGGAAATTGGTCGAAGAAACACGTACAGTGCAATGCAAACAAAGGCTATAAATCCAACCAAATGCGTCCATATATTTCCAGTTTCTGTATGTACCTTAAATATGCTTTTAAAACAAACTCCAAAAGACGGCATAGGAGGTCTATGGTAGTACGATAAAAAGGGATTACCACGTAACCAATCAGGAAGTTCTAAACGAGATAGAAGGTACCATTTTGCTTGAGGCTTTATCCGAACTTTGTCCCCTCCAGCTTTCAAATTGTCTATACAGTCTTTACATTCTTGAACACTGTGTTTGTCGCACGCGTCACGCATGATTATCTCGTGATTTGATTCAGCCTTGCACGTGTCAGACATGTGGACTAAATCTTGCATTTCTAGTTCACTAGCTTTAGCGCTGCAAACAGTGTCGTGCATTTCTTGACCTGTCATTGCGTTCCCCTCATCAGCACGAGCTCACAGATACATTAAGTTTATAACGTCGACGATTCAGCCTTTGAGAAACAAAAATTACCGCAATTAATAATTGATAATTTCGGAGCTCGCGCGCGGAGCCCCACCTACAATCTTGGACAAAATAAATGGAAAACCTAGACCCCCCCTCCCCCCAAATCAAGGATGGGAAAATGGCGCATTTTTGCCCTTCGCGCGGCTTCATCCTTGATTTTGGGGGGATGGGGGTTTGCTGTTCCATTTTATTTTGTCCAAGATTGCAATCTTGGACAAAATAAATGGAAAACCTAGACCCCCCCTCCCCCCAAATCAAGGATGGGAAAATGGCGCGTTTTTGCCCTTCGCGCGGCTTCATCCTTGATTTGGGGGGGATGGGGGTTTGCTGTTCCATTTTATTTTGTCCAAGATTGTAGATCCTTTTCGATCCTTTTGTCATCACCACGGCTGTGCTCAAGGGCTATGCTCACACTTAGTACCGTCCTCGCTGAGTGCTTATGTGAACACACCCCTCGGGCTTGGAAGTGGCGCATTAATTCTTAAATAAAAGTCGATTTTCTGTTTTTTTTTTCTAATAACAGTTTGTTTTAGTCTTTTCATCGTTCCACGCTTGGGTTAATGAATTACATAGCGAATATCATTTTCTGGAATTTAATCTTGATTTTTGTATTTTTAAGTTCCCTTTTTCATGAAAGCTCTGTCGTTATCTAGACTGTTCTGCGGGATGAGCAGCCTGAAATATTTCCCAATACAGTACAAACTCCTTATAAAGATGGGACCTGTATAGTGAAAGTAAACGTTCTGCATTTAGTCTTTACGTGGTTTTCAGGAAGTTTGAAGAGCTGAATGTTTAGTCGGAATTGGTAATATCTCACATTAAAAATATTAATTTAATTGTTTAATTTGTTACCTCTAATTTGCAATGTTATATTATTATTCATACCTGTTTAAACAACTGAATAGTTGCTATATACTGCTACATACTATATACTGCGTTCTGAACCCTCAAAGTCGTGACCGTTGCAGGCAGCTTTATTGTCGTATTGCGCCATTTCTTTGATTTTCTCGGAACAAGTGAATTAAACAATGGTTCTAGTAAAACCTTTTGGTCAATAATTATCCGTCATGATAACGATAATACATTTTATCTATTCATTTGGAATTTTTTCTTGTTGACCCTACAGCCTACCATATTCGCGAGTTGTTTGGTTTGATTTGATTTGATTATACTTTTAGAAATATCCTGCTAAACTATTTTATTTTTGCACCAAAATATAGTTAATAGTTTCGTATCGTGCTCGAGGATATGATAACAACGAATGCATTAGAAACGCGAGCCAATTGCCAGTGCGTGTTTGGGTAAAAATTCTACGGTTCTAACGGAACTTACTCGGTGGTACCTGGGAGTCCCGTTCCTTTTGTCCGATGTCCAAATTTCCTCACCTGCGTAACTCTGAAATGTGTTAAACTGTTTTAAAGCCAGGATGGCCACAGAGACTCAGTTTAAGAGAAGCTGGTACTTTCTTAGGCTAATTAGAGTAACAGACCTGGGACGTTTTGATTTCGATTTAGTCCACTGGAATTTATTCGACTCTGCCGGTAGTAATGAATCATTAAAGACATCTGACCCAGTTCTATGAATATTCTTATTGTTAGAGCGAAACAAAGGCCGTAAGGAAGTAAACGCATTTTCATCCCGGAAAAACTTAATGTCAGGTCTTGAGGAACTGCGAGCAGATCAAAGATAATAGCGCGTGGTAAACGTAAAAAGTTTACGTTTTCTCCCTGCGATCTTATGTTCTCATTCATAGATGTGAATACTGTAAACCTGCGTGCTTCAACGTGTAAACTATATTTGCGGATTTAGTGGAAGCCCACAGTTCGTTACATTAGACTCACCATTGTGAAGATCTTTCGCTTTGATTCATCTGTGCTCTACACTGGATGTCTGACGATATAACTGTTTGTTGCCCACTCAAACCCAGCATGTTAAAATTAGCTTTTTATTGGAGTCAGTTCGCCTGCGCCAAGCTATTCGGTCCATGGTATTGAAAACAGTATTTGACCAAAAGCTTATTAAATATTCAAAATGACGCCAGACACCATTATTAATGCAATATGAGCAACTTCCATCGCGTGGTGTTGTCGAAATTTCATTTTTTGCCTGATGTACACATGTAATATGAAGTAATAACATTGAATAGATTGAAAAGTGGCATTTTGTCTTAGTGAGTGCAAGGAAATCTAAAACCGACGTTTTGGAAGGGGCCTCGTGTTAAACTCCACGTTTTTCTTTTGTGTTTGTACATGCTTTGTGTTCAATTAACACAAAATATTGGATACAATACTATATGAGGCCAGGACTTGATTTAACATGTCGAAGGTTCCCATCCTGAGAATTATCTTGACTGAGAGTATTTTGGCGCTGCATTATGCTCATAGTGCTCCAAAATGTATTTTAATGTTCTTAGCTTCACTTTTTGAGCTTAGATATCTCTCCTTGAAGGGAAGAATAGTTTTATTTTTAATTTATGAAATAACTTAAGCCTCGCTTAATTGCCTCACACTTTCTTGCTGTTCGCTGAGACCAAGAGTGTAATTAGTGAAGACACCTTTCAATTTCGACACGAAGGTACTGATCATGATGTACCTCGAGGATCTGCCGGCGGTACACGTCGAAACAAGAAATTATGAACGTCCATATATACACGTGAAACCTCGATGTAACGAAGGGCCAAGGGATTCGCAAGGTTCAAGGTTCTTTTTAAAATATTTGGCAATTATTGGGGTAAAGAAAATCGTTCGCTATACTGAGGACTTCGTTACAGCGGTTCGTTCTATTGAGGTTTCACTGAAGTCTCCACTGTACTATGCCTACCTCGTTTTATAATCCGGAAGCGTTGCCCTTGGGTGCCCGTAATATTGAGGATCTTCTTTAACAGCCTAACAATTTACCCATGAAAAGTAACTGTACAATTTGCGTGCAATTTAGTATGGATATTGTAAAATAGGAGCGAAATGATATCCTCATTTTCGTTTCTCGTGTTCATTTTTAATTTATTCGCACCAGTAAAGATCGGTTTGATGATTGACAAAATAACAGAGTCTCTTAGGTGACGAATGGAAACGTTTTAACACGGAAGAAATTAGGACAGTCTTACCTTTTTTAAAGAATATTTATGACAACATTTACGTTTGAAAAAATAACCGCTGAATAAATAATATGAGGAGAAATTACTGGATAGTATTATTTTGGGATTACAAGGGCTCTGTGCTCGGGTGAAAATTATCATAAGATAAAGTCATATGTGACATCGATTGTCATAACTCGTTTGTTTACATTCTTTTATCCTTTGCGTTTAGCTTTTAAGAGCTTAAGCATTCATCAATTAAATGCACTTAGATCCGGCGTCAGGAAAACCTGCGTACAGTTCTACGCCAGGTGTACCATTTCATGATAAGGCGCCAAAACGTAGGCTAAAAATAAAATAAAAATATGTGTGTAACGAATGCTACGGGTGGTCTTTTGGTATACCAGGTTTTGCACAGTAGGGTTAAATTTAAACATAACTTCGACACAAAAGGTTAGTTATTAAATAAAGCTTAAGGTCGAGTTGGTCATTTTGCACCGCCAAGGGCATTACAAACGAGAAACCACAAAATTAATGTAAACAATTTATTGATGCATCACCGCGAACGATTAAAACACCTGTCAGTGGGGAAACTTGAGGTTAAGAGTGATCAGCATCAAATTTCTCCTTGTAATATCGATTCTTTGCAAAACAGAGTGGTCATGAGAATTACGGACATGATGACACAAGATGAATTTGCTTGATATTTTATCACCTTCTCCCTACTACTTCTGTTGGAAATGAGTAGGGGCAACAAATGAGAATTCAAATTTTGATCTTGGGGTTTAAAGGGTTAAGCAATAGACCACTATTTCTATGGGTTTACCGGCGTGGTAACCTACGCGGGATGCCGTTAGGACAACACGAGAAAACCTTGTAATACACGAGCCGAAGGAGAGTGATTTGGAGTACTTTACAAGCTTTTCGGATTTTATAAATGCATTTTTCTGTTCAGTAAACCCTAGTAAACGTTTATTACTACTTCTTATATCAACGTGAACATTAATTTTATAGTTTATTATTACCATTTAGTAAACGTTTGTACAATTTCCAGCTCTTTTCAATCAATATGCAAGGAAACGCTAAGGAGCGAACTGAACAAAAACTGCAAAATTTTGTTAATGAGCCATATATTCTTTGCAACTAGACTGCTTGCAGTCCGCCTTTTCTCTTAAAATCCGTGTAGTTCTTGATCTCAGCCAGCGCGATTGCAAACCACGATGTTATATAACGTGCAGTAACCTTGCGAAGAAAAATAAGAGACTGCTCGCAGTCTACTTTGCAACATTCCGCTTTATTATACATCAGGTGATACATAGACGGCATATCCGGTTAAAATTTTCAACGATTACTAATATTGCTATGGTTTTTCAGTAACCAGAGGCCTTTTTTGATAGCTTGGTGAGGGAACTATAAGGGGGTACTCAATAAATATTTATAAGGGGACGCTCCACCCCTAGGTCCAACCCATTACCCTTTTATATACCATTTTTCACGAAAAAGGTACCCCTTTCGTATACCTTCTATTGACAAATGATACCCCTTTCATATACCTCTTTTAGAAACTTTGCTTCCCTTTTAACTGCTGTAAATGCATTGTCATTTAGATAGGAACTAATCACGAATATAGAACGTTTTCCCGACTTTATAAAGCCATAACATTCATCTGTTCGGCCCTTTTGGACCCTTTCACAGACCCAAATGACAGATTTCCCTACCCTTTCATATACTTCAACGAGTAAAATCCAACCCCTTTCGGGCGGTGCCTCTCCGTATTTAACAATTATTCCACGAGGGCGCGTTGGACATGAGATGTAGAGGGCCAACGAGGCGCGTAGCGCCGAGTTGGCTATAATCATTTCATATCCAACAAGCCCGAGTGGAATAATTGTTTTATTAAAGACGCCCACAAAATCTCGTTGAATCAAACCGGAAAAGACAAGGGACTTCCGCTATTCACATGTCACACGTCTATCAAAACTGTCAACGCGCGAACGGACTCGCCCGGACTGCATGAATGAGAAATCAAAACATTATAGCGATGAACATTAGTTTTTTAAAAACTCATCGGGATTCTAGGATTTTACACAGCAGAACAGCTAAAAAAATCTGGCAGATAATGTAAAGGAAAAGAATTTTTAACTGACAGCCGTCGAAATTACTGTGAATTTGGATTTTCGGTGCAGTTATAAAAGTAAGAACAACGGAGAAAAACTACCGGTATTACCTCGGTCGCTTGTTATGAAGTTGTTTGAAGCCACAAGCTGGTTTTGCCGAACGAGAAAAGAAGCTATACTGCCGCCTCGATTACTTTAGTGAATGGCTGCATAGCCTGTATTTGTAGCTGGTTACTTGTGATTTATATTTTTGATGTCGGATAAACAAGCTGCAGTTATCTATCGGCGAGTGACTCGATCGGCGAATGGCTTCGCGATCATGAAGAAACAACACTTTTCTTCTTTCGTAGCTGGTCAAGATACTTTAGTTCCATGTGTTTTCATGTGTTTTTCGACAAACTTTCAAACAATCTCTTGTGGTTTTTTTGTTTGTTTTTGTCTTTTTTCTTTCGATGAAATTGCATTTCTAGTATTCTAATAAATGAATGAAAACGATTTGCTGCGGGCACCGTTTTATCCTTCGCGAAAAAAAATCTCAGCTAGCTTCCAATTTTAAACTGACGCGTACACCGACCATATATGGAGAGCATGGTATAATAGCTCATATACCATAACGGCTAAGCCAATCAAAATGCTAGAATTGCATTATCCAATGATTCAGTTTTTAATAAAGGCCATTATAGGGAGTTCCCCCCCACCCCCCCCACCGTGGAAAAGTGTCAGAAAATAGTTGCCTATCCTGATCATTGTAATAAGAAGGCGATATACAGTCAGCCCTCTCTTAACGAACACCTGAACACCTGCGAAAGACGAGAAAATAGTGCTTTTCCCAAAGGTGTCCGTCTGAGACCCTGTTCGCACTACGACGAAAAATAGAGTTTGGCGTTTGCAAAAAATTTGAAAATTTTGTAATCACCAATTTTTCGTTTTTGCGGCCTTGTTCGTATCTGGGACAATGTTGGTCATGTTCACGAAATAATTTTTGGTGACGGTAATCACCAATTTTTCGTTTTTGCAGCCTTGTTCGCATCTGGAACGAGGTTGTTTATGTTCGCGAAATAACTTTTGGTGACAGTTGTTAAAAATTTTGGTAGGTGAAAAAATCGTTCGCACTAGAAATGCCTTTCTGTTGACAGACTGTTTTGCAAAACCAACGAAATTTTGCGTAGCCCTTGCCTTAGAGAGAGTCGACTGTATATCGGACTGTGTATCGTTGGAAGTGAAACCTTTGCCAGGTTTATGCATTTTTCTGGCAGATAAACGAAAGGTGATGATAGCAGTTTATGTCTTCCCAGTGACCAGAACCGTCGTCTTTTATTGTTACACAGTCTTGGATATTGTAACGTCGATCAGGTGCCCCGTTTGCCCATTTGGTGTAAACGAGGGTCGTATTGTCCTCCCACTTGTATGATCCCGATCCTGTGACGTCATTCAATCCGATCCAGACACCGCGGTCCGTCCTATAGTCATCTACAGAAAAAAAAAACAACAAAACAAAACATAAAAACACTGCATGTGCATGGGAAGTAAACCTCAAATGTTTGAATAACATCTGGATAGATACATCAACTTTAGAAAATTTGAATGGTCAGCACATTTATCAACTCTTTAGGCCTGGAAATAGCAGTAATCAGTAATCAGGTTGCAGGATTTTAATCCAATCTTGGCTGAACAACGATTTTGTTAACTAAGTAAGAGTTGCTACATTGTCAAATTGTATGCACTAAAGGATATCACTAGTCTTGTGTTGTAGTAGTTTTATACAACAAAATTCTTATTTAGTGCAGAAGTTTGGGCAACAGAAACTGCAAGAAATTTCATGTCATTAGCCGGCCCAGTTGCGTCCGGAACGAAGCGTGCAATCTCATTTGACGCCCAGCCAATCGTATGGGTTACCTAAGATCTTCCTTATTCCGTCTTCATTAAGCGCCTCGCCAAACACCATTAGATCGCTTAGAAAGCCTTTCAAGGTTGTTCCGTCGTCCGCTTTTAGACCAATATCATGGGTAGATATTAAGTTGAAGACAATATACCAGTGCGCCTGCACACCTTGAGTTGCCACTCTTGTACCGTTGAGGTAGAGGTAAACTTCGTCGCTTGTGCGGTCCCACACTGCAGCTACATGGTGCCATCTATCAACTGGCGATGGTGTGCTGAAAAAAAGCTTTTTTGTGACAATCGGAAACTTCACAGCAGCTTGTACGCTTCCTATGAAAACTCTAGAGGGGCTACCGGTCACGCTATTTGAAATCTTAAAAAAGTTAAAACGTTTCTTCGTATCAATTGAATTCCAAAAATAATGGACCAGTTTTGATATTTAACATTTTCAGTATTTACCAAATCAGTAACTAGCAATTTTCGCGCGTTTTGATTGGCTCCCGTAACTCGGAATATCCTTGGTTATTCACTGTTTTGCGACCGGAGCCGAGATGGCGTCTCGTTTCGAGGCATTGTCGGAACACAAAATGTGAGCGATAGATGAAGTATTCGTACAAACAAATACCAAGAAAGCGACGAACTTTGGCTTGTCGGTGTTTACTGGTAGGTAGAAAATCATTAATTTTCATGCTGAATTTGCAACAAAATCGTAAAATTGCACTTGACAAAATCACCGAAATGTTTGTAAATTGTGAACAGTGTTCCTACTAAGTGACGTTTTTACTTTACAACAGGTTACCTTTTTTCATTTTTATCCAACTGATTTGGTAAATACTAAAACAACTATCCCCCTCAGGGTCGGTGGACAGCGCTAGATATATACCTCGACGCTTCGCGTCGCGGTATATAACCCCACCAATATTAACCTCCCCTTCTGGGGACAGTGTATACTGTTTTTAAGACTTGCAACTGTTTCATGACCGGGAAGCTCTGTACTCTTTCATACACCATTTTTGACAGAAAAGTTACCCCTTGTGTTTAAATTATATTTATTATATAGACACGAGTGTTTTACTGGAAAATATACCACTCGTAAAATTCATAAAAACTACATCCGGGACCCGAGTGGTTTATTTTCCATGATCTCACACGTGAGTTTATCGATGACATAATTTCGGTAATTTCCCTTCGAAATTTGTAGGCGTCTTGCGTCTTTTGAGTTTTACTTACATATTTTTCAAAGCTTTTCTTATATTTTGTCATTGTAGAGCCCTATTCAGCTCATTGTTGTTTCTCAAGATTATTGTAACCAATGTCTCATCTTGCTGTACTGTAAATTTAAGCCGTCACATTTACCTTTTGGCTTAGAAATATCTATTATCTTATCGATGTCGTTTTGTCTATATAATGAAAAGAACATTACACGGCGGCTTGAAGATAAGAATTTTATTTTCTCGGGGCAAAAACAATATTTTACTCACTCGAATATTGTTTTGCCACTCGAAAATAAAATTCATATCTTCGCGCCACCGTGTAATATCCTCTAAATACAAAACAATGGTACTCCTTTCCTCCTTTCACATGCCTAGTTTAGAACGCTCCGTCACTGAGCCATAACTTTTCGTGACTTCTCAGTCATAAAATGCATCGGTTAATCCTATTCAAATTCAGACCGCAGGGGTCTTACTAAAAAGTTGCATAACTTCTGTTATAATGACGTCAGCTTATGTTATTATGTCCAGCAAGCTATAGCCAAAAGTTTAAAAGGATGAGTACATTATTCTGCGTACTTTTGGTGGCCTTAGCATGATCGGTTTTAAAATTATAGAGGGGGGAAGGGGCCTCCGAGCCCCACCCCCCCCCACCTCCCACTGTTTAAGATTGACCCAACTAGTAGAATATTTACCTCGTGTGCAGTAAAGGTTGTAATGAATTGTCCGTATTAACAGCTGCAAATAACAATCTTCCATCCTGGATGGTAAATAAGAATTGACCACCGCTTGATGGCCACACTGAATATATAGGGGAATGTAAATTCACTGGTTGAGACAATTTTACCCAGCTTGCGATGGTAAAGCTTCCGTCGCGAAAATTTCTGGCTGGAGTGGTGGCATGCGCTCCTGCTCCACTGAGATATAAGTGGTTCTTTCCATCCTCTTTTACATATTCTGCGCCGTTAACTAGACTGTTTAGATGATGACAGAAATGAAAGGCTTATTTTTTATTTCTCCCTAAACCGCGGCCCTCCAACAACCCTCTAACCAAGCCCCCTCCCCCCTTCCTCCACCCTGCCGAAAAATAAGATAAAATAATTAAAAGGATGCCTTAAATAGCATGTTCCATTACGGGACTCGCGCTCTCGATGGAACTGGGGACTGTGTAAGGACCTTTGATCTAGATTACAGGAAGACGTTCGACTTATAGATAGTCACAGTGTGTTGATGGCCAAGCTCAGGCAATATGATATCAATTCTTACATCATAAATTGGATTGCAGCCTTTCTTTCCAACAAGCAGTAACGAGCCAAGCTAGAAAAAGACTGCTTCTCCGAATGGAGTTCGGATCGTGCAGGGGTTCCTCAAGGGGCCAAATTGGGCCCCTGGCTGTTTCTTGTTATGCTTGACGATCTTAGTGCAGATACTTCGAGCGGTCTTTTCAAGTACGTGGACGACACTATAGTCTACGAGGTAGTGGAAAATAAAGGGACTAGTCATGCGCAGGCATTGTTGACGAGGTGTCTGCATGGTCTGCTAAGAACAATCTCCAACTCCACCCCAGTAAACGCAATGGAATTATTTTGTTTCCGAATTACCAAGCGGATCGTAAAGGCCGAGTGGCCTTTCTTTTTGCGTTACTCGTAAATGACGACTTGTAATTGGCAATGTGACGCTTCAAGCATAAACTTTCGTAAAGATTCAGTCATCAGACTTACGTGATATCATGGTCTGTTCCGTCCAGTTTCCAATGAGCTATCATATTGTACTGATCTGCAAACAACAAGTTTTCAAAAAGAACTGTATTTTTTTAGTGAAATCTAAATCCCTTAGTTTTAGTGTTATGTAAAGTGAGTTGAAAGTACGTAAGGAGAAACCCAAGTCCTGTCTCGATGCAAAGTAAACTTTATAACTCCATCAGAGAGCAGTGGTTTATAGGATTGTTTTTCTAAATTACCGTTCTTTTATAATAACTGGTTGCTATGGTTATGGAGTGTGACTTCTAAGTGGCATGAGGTCGAACTTTTTTCAAGCAAAAATCCTGATTTTCGCCATTTTTGTGCCAGAAATTTATTAAACGATACCAAAAATGGGAAAAATATTCAATTTTTCATATATTTCATATGTCAAGCATGACCCTCCCGCACAGTGGGTCGCGTACTACCGAACTGTGTCATTTATTGCTCCTCAAATGATTGGTTGTGCGAGTTCGTGGCCCGATCACCGTGTCCCGTTCTTCGTTGTACCCATATTACTTTCAAGCGCCTGCTGCGCAGAATAGTCTCGTGCTGGATCTTCTACGGCAGGTTTGTCCTTTCGAAATTAAGAAAACAATTAAGGCAGGCTCTCCATTAGTATATTATCGATGAATTGCTCACCTCCATTTCAGCAGACAATTTTGTTTATATTATACTATCTCCAGTTTACCTTGATCGTGAGTGGTATTAGTTTTGTTCTGGACAAACATCTCGAAGATAAATTTGTTCTCGCTTTCGCTTTGAATGGTCACTAGATTTCCTCCGTTTGCCTGACAAATCTGTTTTGCTTGTTTCCAGGTGCTCTTCTCAGAAAATTTCTTGTAAACCTTGGTGCCAAATTGAAACCATCCATCAGGAAGAGCTGGTAACAAATAAATGTGGTGGTAAGTGCAATCATTGCATTTGAATATGTACAGAATTTAGTGGTTTAGCGTGGCCGAGCGGATAGAGCGCTGGACTTCTCTGTAATCCGAAGGCCCCTAGCTGAAAGTTTGTTCACGGTAGTCCAAAGTTCAAATCCTCGACCACTCTTGTAAAGAGCCAACTGGTTTGCCTTCGGCGAGTTGAGATTCGACTTAAACCCTGTTATTTCATTTTTGTTTCAATCTACTTTATTAGTTGTCTGCAATGACCCACAAGCGTTTGCACTATACAAACCGCATGCGGAGGGTAAATAACAAAAATAATGATAATTATAATAATTATAATAATTATTACTATTATTTAACAGCTTAAGAAGAGTTGCAAATTACTATTACCTCTTTTATGAATACAAATATCGACAGGACAGTCATCCTGAACCTGAAAACAATGGAAAACGTAGGAGATATAGGCCTTTGACAAAAATACCATAATACTCTTTACTTTCCCTCCAAAATTTTGCTTAAGAATATTTTTTTTCAATTTCTCTTGAGACTTACGGCAATCCCCCCAAGAGAAACTGAAAACAATGCTTTTGGAGGGACAGCAAAGAGTATTATCATGGTATTTTGAAAAAGGCCTATTCATTCTCGGAGATCTGAGATCCTTAATAATATGCGAAAATTGATTGTGACGTCATTGTTAAATTGTTGGACCATTAACATACCAGTTTGCCCAATGAATTATCTTCCCAATTTCAAGTCCCTTCCTCAAAATATTAACTAAATGACAGTCTAAAAATTTTGAACTTCTGGAGGAGCTAACACTAATGATTCATACAGTAATAGTTAAATTTCGAGTTTTGCGAGGGACATTGTACGAAAAGTATTTTATTAGTTTATCATCCAAATTTTTTTCGAGATCGTCAGTTTTACTTCCACACAACTTTTGTTTTTCAGCCGCTATTTGTAGAACGTGTTCAAAGAATTATAAGCGGGTGCTAATGAGGCAAAAATTGCAAACAAGGCCTCGCCTATAAACTTACTGCTGTTTGAAGATAAACAGACCCTGGCTTCGGCTTCAAGTCGTTTGGACTTGCTTCCTTGCCTGATTTGTTAAGCTGACATGTAAACTGCCCAGTGTCGCTCTCGTGCTTGTTGACTGACATGCACTGTGATATTTCCAAGCATTTGTTAAGGCACAATTCTTGCTGATGTGTTGTCATGGTTTGGAGGACATGGCCATACAGGGCGACGTTTCTTTCGCCCGTAAAGAGAAATCTGCCACAAGAATGCACCGCGGAGATGTGAATAAGTACAAAATAGACGATCATTGCGGTCTAGTTGGTTCGCCTGCTTCGCTTAAACCTATACAGGAACAACAACAACAACAACAAAAGATTTCAAAGACTAAAGTTTTGAATAAAGATAGCTATTTCAATTACGCTCCTTTGATACAGGTGTCAGTCATGCGGACATTGTGCACTGTAAAGGAGGAAATGCCGTTTCAATACTCACGAAACTTTCATAGAAAGCTTGAAAACAGTTTGTTGCACGACCGAGGCAAATTTCACCCTGGCGGTTACATTAATGAATCCAATGGGGTTCCGCTTTTGCCTTCTTTGAGAAAGTTTACTTTAAGTCATAGGGGGTTTGATTGTCTTGAATAACAAGTAACCTACAGTGTGGTTGCTAATCAGTCAGAAAAACATGCAATTTTTCGTCTTAATTTCTCGTCTTAAATTTTCTTTTATGGGATTGATGTGTAAATTTAGTTCAATTCCCTTCATGTGTTAGTTCTAGTTTCATCGTTAAACTGATTGTTCTATGTGAATGACTGGGCATCAAATGCCGAATTGTGTTTATCCTATTTTACAATAGACTGTCTTTGAAAAATAAACCACCTCAGTTGGGAAAAATTGAATGGAAAGGTAAAACGTTTGCACCAATGAAAATGTTAAACAGTTCCTAAATTATTTATTGAAATTAAAACGTTAGCTTGTTAACTTACCTTAACGTCAAGTTCACACACAGCAGGAATTAATTCAAGAGTTAAGTGCCCTTTAAAACAAAAGGATACTAAAAGCCTGGTGAAGAGGGGCAAGGCACGGAATAAGACAATAATATAAACTCTTCACATGGCTACCTCTCACTCAGAGGCTTTATTACTGAGTCGTTGAGGACATTCCATTCACGCTACATATCTTCATCAAGTCACCTAGACTATAGCTTCAAGTTTTAGAATTAGAATTAGAACACAGTAGTTATTATTAACATACAGGTGTTTGAGCTTCAGTACTTTTGAAATTTCGTTTCAGACACCAAAGTTTCAAAGAAACTCAAACAAAATCTGTCTGAATATGGGTTAAAAAATAATTGAATTATTAACTCAACATTAGGTAATTGAAACATTACCTTAAACAACTGTACGAACGTCCTCTGAAAGATCACGCCTGGAAACTTCCAAGTGAAAAATACTAGACCTCAAATTTAACATTTAACGAAAGACGAAATGCACTAAATGAGTTGATATGAGTCTTTGAAATAATCATGGTTAAAGCTGACAGAGAAGGCAATGGTAGTTATAGGTCTACGCACTTCGCTGATGAAATGTTCGAAATGTTAAATGATTCGATCACGAGCGTGAGGAAATCCCCTTCAAAGTTCTAAAAGTTATGAAGGATTTAACTTGTAAACATGTCGACAGTCGTTATAGTAATTTCGGTGCTGATTAACATCCGGTGAATCTACACCCACGTGTCAACAAAATCTTGTCAATTTAATCCTCGTGATGTTGGCAAACCACACAATCGCCTTGATGATAAAGTATTTCTTCAAAAGAAAAGTACTGTAATGAACGAAAATCTTGTGCAATTCATAAAGTAATGCATTAATTGTACTTAATAATACCTAGCTTAGAGTCACGCCCTAATTGGGTAAAGGGCGCCTCGAAAAGCTGCTCCTCTGTATAGACTGTCCTCCTCTCCCCCCCCCACCCCTTCCATAATATTGATGCAATAGTGTTAGACGGTGCTGTTCTGAACAAAAGCTACAAAGCAAAGGATTGTGCTAAAAAAATTTGGGACCGTACCTGTGCTTAAAATTCCCCAGAGGCTTGCTTAGATTTTCCAAATATTTGTCTGTAACTTTTCCCGGGACTTTCTTACAGACAAATCTATAGAAAATTTTAAAAAGTGGTTCTAGGTCTTCTAGCGCATGTAACGCTCTCAACAGAACAAAACAAAACAACCAAAAAACAAAAACAAAAAACAGTAATTAACTTACTTTTCAATGTTTTTCTAGAATGTAAGGATGACATACATATTAAAGAGAAAAAAAGCATCCGATTGAATGGAGGAGGAGAGAAAAAAAATGTAATTTTTATGCAAATTTCTGACAAATAAACGGTAGTTGGAGGTTGCAGTTAATGTCTTCCCAGTATCCAGAACGATCATACATTATTGTCACGCACTCCTGCCTGTTGTCACGGCGGTCAGGTTGTCCGGATGCCCATTTAGTGTAAACAACATCCGTACTGTCGCTCCACCGATATAATCCTGAGCCTGTAACGTCATGCAATCCAATCCATATCCCTCTGTCTTTCTCGTAGTCATCTGAAAAAATCAACAGTAAAAAAGAGGAAACAAAATAATGAAACGGCGGCCATGTTGGTGTTCCAAACTGGTCTTCTGGGAGTTAAACTCTCTTCTTATGTAGACGCTTTCTAATTTTTCGCAATATATTTGCGTAGCTGCTGGTCACGTTAGTAGAAACGCTCTATAAAGTATAAGTAAAATTTTAGGCCTCGGATCATGTTTTATTCCCCCCCCCCCCCCCCCCCCCCCGGGGCGGTGGGGGGGGGGGCCCCCCCGCCCTTTTTTTTTTTTTTTTTTTTTTTTTTATTAAAAACACAAGTATATTTCAACAAGCTACTTTTTTTCCCCCCCTCTCGCTCCTCCAAAATATTGTTGTTAAAACTACTTAAAAAACAATAAAAACAGAAAAAAAAGAAAAACAAAAAAAATAAACGGGGGGCTGTGTTGGGTTTTTAACTGGTTTTTTGGGGTTTAAACTTTTTTTTTTTGTTAGCGTTTTTATTTTTTTCGCAAAATTTTTGGTGGTTTGGTGGTCAATGTGGTTAAAAACCTTTAAAAAATTTAATAAAAATTTTTGGGCCTGGGTTGTTTTTTTATCCCCCCCCCCCCCCCCAACCGGGGTGCATTGGGAGGATGGCTCCAAAGGCCTTTAGATTTTTGCTGTTTTTTTTGAAATATCAAAAGCAGTCTAATTTACATAGGCTCGATTTCTACCGCTCTCTCGGTGCTCTACAAAATGGTTATGTAAATATCATGGAAACTAAGAAGTCATTGAAAATGCCCGCCATCTGGAATTTACTTTAAATTCATTCTTTTTAATAGCTCTCCAACTGAGCAATTAACACAGGTAAATCAATTTATTTTTGTGACATTTGGTTCATACCAATCACACATACTTACGACGTATTTGGATTCCCATGTTAAGCGTTACGCACCTGATATCCTCTTGATGCCAGTTTCATTAAGAGCTTTGCCCAACACCATAAGATCTCCCAGGTATCCGTGGAGTGTTTGGTCCGTATCCGCCTTGAGACCAATGTGATGGACCAAATGAGATCTGTCAATTAGGTACCAGTGTTCTTGCACAACACTTGTTCCCACCTTCGTGCCATTTATATAAAGATTGACCTCATTGGTTGCTCGATCCCATACTACAGCTGCGTGAAACCATGCACCAATTGGAGGTTTGCTGTAAAGATACGTTTAACTGGTTATCAGCGGTTATGTCTCTATTTGACGTAAAAAAAAGTCGATTTATAGCGATTTATATCACTAAGTAAATGTGAATCGGTGATTACCGGGCGTTTTCAGATCCTGCCTATACTGACTTAAGTGCTTTCGAGCACCCTAGTTTTCTTCTTAACTACAACAACAACAACAAAACACACACAGACACGCAACGAAAAGCCTAGGTTCTTACTAGCGCTTTGGCGCAGTTTTCGACCCTCCTTTTCGTTAGTTCTAGAGATCGAAAACGCTCCAGACTGATGACACCTTCGGTTTCCGGGTTATTTTTGAAGGTGTGTTATCATTACTCTCGTCTTTTCTCTTCATTTTCGAGCATTTAATCATGGCCGGCACATGCAAGAAACAGTGCATTTCCGAAAACCCTCCTTCTTGCCTTCCATCTTACTTAGTACTCCTCTTTCGGGAACTTTTCCGAAACGAGTCGTTTTCGTTTGAAACAATTAGTTGGTCGGGATCTATTTAGAAACGGCGACGAGGTTCGATGTAATAACTAGTAATTGTTTTGTTAATCACTAAACGACAAGCAAACATTGCTCTCAAAACACATTTGGCACTAAAGTATTGACCCTGGTATATCACCCATGAGTGCTTCTTCTAATTGTATAATTGTGTGCTTTATGCGATCAACAATACTAGAAAATTAGTTTACAAAACACGTACAATCCGCCATCAAGCCATCAAGTTTTGCCACTGAACTCTCCCATAAGCCCGATGGCTAGTTGGGTTCTCCTCACGAAAAACAAATCAAAACCTCAACTTCTTGTACAGTATTTATTAAGTTTGCTGAGGTAAATGAACGAGGCTAAATGTAAAACTTTAAATATTATTTTATTTTTCATGAGAATAAAAGGCGTGGGGCGGCAACTCGGCAAATGGCCTATTGATTTGTAGGAAAATTACCCGGCACTAAAGAGGGGCTTAAAGGCGTTGTCAATATTAATAGCTGCAAATCCCACTTTTCCAAACATCGACGCCTGAAACAGAAACTGCTTTTCATGATCATTCTTCGGCCATATGGAATATATTGCTGATTCACTGGTCACAGGATTGAGGAGTTTCACCCAGCAGGCAATCGTAAAGCTTCCCTCGCGAAAATTCCTTGCTGGTGTCGTGGCATATGCTCCTGCTCCATTAAGATACAAGTACGTCCTTCCTGTTTCATTCAGGTATTTTGCACCATTTTCTAAGCTGTTTGAAAATAACAATAATAATAATAATAACCTGAATAGTAGTCATGATAACAGGACTTAAAGATTTCACAAGACTCTGAGATTCGATTTTGACTCGATAGTAATGCAGTGTGCGTAAAAACATATGTGTCCCACTCGACTACGGCTTGTATGCAACTTGTTTGTTCTGGATTTGATCAATAACAATACACAGCCAAGTGGAGAAATGGAAGGAATTTTTTTTAAATGTAACATTAGATTTTCCTCAGAGAGCTTAAAGTTTTAACCAAGGTTGTGTTTTTAAGAGGTAAACTCATAGACCAAAAAGGTATTGTGCAGCATATGCGTGCCATTGAATGTCCCACTCATATAATACCGTAAAATTCCGAAAATAAGCCCCGGGGCTTATATTTTTCAAAGGCCCTTTTTGAGGAGCTTATTTTTGGAGGGGCTTATATTCGGAGGGGCTTATGTACGGAGGGAAATTTGCGTTTCAAAATCGATAGGGCTAGCCTTATAGTTGGAAGTAAATTTAAAGTTTTTGTTTTGTTTACTTTGTATTTGAGGGCAATTTTCCAAGTACAGGCCCCCGGGGGGCTTATATTTGGAGGGGCGATTTAACGGAGGGTTTTTTGCGTTACCGGTTTGGGGGGCTTATATTTGGAGGGGCTTATACATGGAAGGGCTTATTTTCGGAATTTTACGGTAACTAAGGAATAAGAAAGAAATCATACGTGATATCATTGTCAGTGCCATCAAGTTTCCAGTGAGAGATCAAATTATACGTCTCTGCAAATGAAGAGACTCTGTTAGTGGTGGTGACAATTAAGATAAAAATAACACTTTTTTTCTGAAGAGAAAATAACAAATGTTCCAGAAAAATATTGCTAAAGCTTGGTAAATGATCGAACCTGTGAATTAAGGACAATTCAAGAAATAGATTTGTATTGGTCAGCATAGGAGCTATTTCTTTTTTCTTACTTGTAAATAGCTCCCCTTAAGCTTGATTGTATTCGATGCCTTTACTAGGCTAAATTTGAAACGACCTCAAAATTTTCAACCGCTTGCCATGTGGGACCAAAAAAAAAAGTTTCCCTGTGACGTCATTCGTGTTTCTCTTCTAAGATATCTCCCAAGGTAAGGGAATCCAAGACAGTCTTGTATTCTTGATTCCACGCTGTGGATTCCGGATTCTTTGTGAGAGGAACTTGGATTCTGGATTCAATCGTTAGAGGGATTCAGGATTCCCTGAGATGGATTACGGTTTACAAAGCCCAGGATTCCGGATTCCCCGGAAAAAAATTCCTAGAGTCCAGATTCCACAGGCAATGTTTTTCCGGATTCCAGATTACACAAGTAAAGGACCAATCATATCACACCCAGCATTCAGCGCATTTTAGTTATAAAAATTCTCACCTGCAGCGGTATCGTTAGAGGTATTCCTTGCGAACATATCGAAAACGAATTTGTTCTCAAGTTCGCTCGTAAAACTCACTAGATTTCCACCCTCTGCTTGGCAAACCTGTTCGGCGTTTTTCCAATTCTTCCTCTCGTGAAAGAACTTGTATACTTTGGAACCGAATTGGAACCATCCATTTGGGAGGGCTAATTAAAAGGCAACCAAGATAAAAAACAAATAATGCAGTTCAAGGCGAGATACAAGTATGAGACAGGTCTTAGTTGCTCAAAAGCTGGCTAGCACCATTTACGGATAAATCACTATCCAGTTATTATGGAAACCACTTGCACTACCCACTGGATAGATTTATCCAATCGTTGTTCAAAAGTTGGATAGCGCTATCCATCGCATAAATCACTATCCAATGGATAAGTATTGGGGAAACCAAGAGAGAATGATCTAGGGGAAACTAATTGCACTATCCAGCCTTTGAACAACCGAGGTCAGGCTCCAGTTGTTCGAAAGGTGGATAACGCTATAGCTATCCACTGGATAAATCACTATCCAATGGATAACGTAATCGGTTTCCCTAATATTTATCCGCTGGATAGTGATTTATGCGGTGGAATGCACTATTCAACGTTTGAACATCGGGGGCCAGGTGGATAACCTTATCCACCTTTTGAAAAACTGGGCCCTGAAGTCTAATCAGGGGATTGATAGGAAATTGGTCAGAAGCAAGACAAGTCAAAATTAGTTATTACTTATTGGGAATGTAATCGTGTAAAGGTGAGTCTGTGTAGAAGGAACTTCGAGATGTAAGATGTCAATTTCTCGCCTATTTTCTGTAGTGCACTCTTTTTTTTGACTTTTGGTCGATTGAATATCCCCCGACTTATCGATGACCTTGCTAAGCGAAGTTGATAACATTGCTGGATGGAAATTGCTGAAACTCATTAATAATTCATAAAGACAATACAAAGGAAAATTGATGTTTAATGAGTGTTTGGAAATCCGATGAAAAACTGCTCATTTTTGCGTCCTTGATTTCTCCTTTTAAAATCATTTTATTTAAGAATTAATATCAAGCATTCGACACAGTGATTTATCACCAGATGAAACACCCCGAAGTTTGTCAAAAATACTTCGCTGCGCGTCGTATTTTCAACTCTCTTCTCTGTGTTTCATCTGGTGATGAAACACGGCGTCTCATGCTTGATATACGTGATATATGATGCCATGCCCACCTCTAAAAATACCAACCCATTGCAAACGGCCTCTAATTGACCCCTTTTTTAATTTTTTTTTCTTTAAAAAAATGTCCAAAATGTCACACAGACAACAGAAAAAAAAAATAATCAAAGCAAATCAGAACCGAACTAAACAAGGTTCCTTGCAGAGTTTTCTTTACAGTAAGCCAAGAACTAATCGTGCTAATAGTACCTATTTACTTTTAATACCTCTTTTGTGATGGCAAAGACTGTCATCGGTACAGTGTTCCACTTCCTGAAAATAATTGTATTAACATTCAAGCACAAAGTTACCTATTAATTCACTTTTTGTGACGTCATGCTACGAACTGGTTATACACCATTCACGTTGATTCTAACGTTGACTTTTCCTGTGTACAGTCGCCCCCATTCCTCAAACAAAGGTGTTTTTGAGAGACGCACGTCTACCGGAAGTGAGTCCTTGCTAGAAAATTTGTTCAAAACCACGGCCCAAGATTGCAAAAAGTCCATTTCCGGTTGACGTGCATCACTCAAAAACGTCGTTGCTTAAACTTCCCGATATTACTGTCGCAATAGAACGACACAGACGTCCCTCTTCTCTATTTTCTTAGGGGTGAGGTGGGGGCGGCAGTACAAAACTATTTTTCAGACATTAGTCATTACCACCAATGTACTGAATGTTACGCCTGCTCCAAATGTCCCGTGACACTACTTACACTTACACTTTCGATGCAACTCTCACTCCATGTAAGGGAATCCAAGACAGTCTTGGATTCTGGATTCCATACCGTGGATTCCGGATTCCAGGTACTGGATTCCAGTCTCTGTCAGTGGAACTTGGAATCTGGATTCCAATTGTTAGTGGGATTTCGTATTCATTGAGCTGTATTACGGATTCCAAAGCCCAGGATTTCGGATACTCAAGCATGATTTTGCGGGATTCCGGAATCCCAATTCCCTTACATTGGGCGGCAACTCTCTCATTGACAACAATCGAGCCAAGAAACATTAACAAGTAAAACGTTAGACGCATTTTCAAATTCATTATTGACAAGCTAAAAAAGAAAAGTCTTTAAAAAAAATCACAGAGATAGTGTTACATGTCCATAAACTTACTACTGTTTGCAGGTAAACAAATCCTGGCCTCGGTTTTAGGTCATTTGGACTTGATTCCTTGCCTGATTTGTTAAGCTCACAGTAAAACACTCCAGACTCGTTTTCGTACTTGTTAACTGACATGCACTGAGAGGTTTCCAAACACTTATAAAGGCACAGTTCTTGGTGAGGTGTTGTCATGATTTGGATCACGTGTCCAAATAAGGCAATGTGTTTCTCGCCTATAAAGACAAACCTGCCACAGGACTGCACCAAGGAAATATAAAAGAGGAAATGAAGTTTCATCTTAATGAGCTCTCCTTTCGGTGACACCAAAACAACCTACAGGAAAATGAAGGAAAATTTTTAAATTCAAAAGCTTTAATATCATTTGGTTTTAATTTTAAAAAACTAACTAGTTTTTACTTACAAAAAGACCGCTTTAATTCCTAAAGGGGACAAATACCGTTGAAATAAAAATAAATAATATACGAAGCCGAAGCCCTTTCTGATTATAATTAGTGATATTCAATCACGAACCTTTCACCTCAGGTCGTTGCTTGAATGCAAAAACCAAAACAGACGAAATTGAACTGTTTTATCTAACTGACGGTTTTAAATCAACAACTTGCTTCCCAAGCCATTATAACATCACAGTCAGCGAGGATTTTTGAAAATCATCTTGATAACAACGTACTGACATACAGACAGTCTTTGGTAAAACATATCTCCCTGGGGATCTTAAGATACAAACTTAATTAATATTCGCCAGTCCCAATTAATATATTCATTTGAGTCGTTTATCAATGGTCGTTATTGAAAATGAAATTGTTTGACCTAGTAAGTCATATTAATTAAAATGGGGGCATTTTTGTAGAAGGGTTACTTTAATTTCCGTTGTCATTTACCGCTAGTATCCTTCATTGAACGAAAAAAAGAAAAGCAATTAATAAATAAAAGTAAAAAAAAAAACGAACGACAAAAAAGAGAAATTCCGTGCAAAATCTCAATAACATATCAAATCGAAAACCAGTCAGCTTGGTTCCGTTGAGTCTCTGTCACGTTGAGATATCTACAAGAGATGGAAACAAACCTTTGTGTCCTGCAATGTTGTCTTCAAATGATTAATCTAGAGTTTTACTATGTTTTGTTTTATTATATTATTTTTGGTTTGTTTTGTTTCCCTCCTGTTTACATTTCATTTTTAATTTTCGTTATCTTCGAACTGAATCAAACGTTACCCAACATGTTAAAATGCGTTCTTCGTCCAGCAACTCCTTTCTTCTATAATTTTTTCACCAAAAAAAATAACTTTCTCGGGAAACTGACCTCTGCCGAGATCACTGTTATTTCAACCGTTTAGCACTAGTACCCTAGAAACGATTATCTTAAATTCCGTCTTTTTGTAGGGCACTTCAGGTGACTTAGACGATAAGAAGAATATTGATTTTTAGATGCAAATAGTATTTAGAGACAAAAATTGTTACCTACGTGTTTGATTTCCAGGCTCTTTTGTTAGGTGGGATCATTTTTAGCGAGAAAGCCCTTGGTGAAGACAATTAGGTGATTCAAACACTTGCCAACGTAATGAGAGCCCCTATAATGGCCTATACGGGGAGGCTCCGCCCGAAAGGGGTCCTTTTTCAGGCTTCACGTATATGAAAAGCGAAAGTATTTCAATACTTTGTAGTTGAAGAAAATCAGGGGCACCCAATGAATGTTTTCTGTCAAATATCTGTTAGCAGAAGCAAAAATTGCCTAGAATTTTCTATAGCTCGATCGAGGAAGGCTACAAGTTTCTGGAGGACCGTTCCTCTCATGTACAATTTTTGAAGCTTATCTATAATGAATTCCCTAAGATAATCTGAAGTTTAATTTTTTCCCATTTCACTCCCCGGGTTAAGCTATTTTTCGTAGAGAAAGGAAACATAAAATTTTCGGAATCATAAAAATTCTCACTTTCGTAAAACTTTAAATTTCAGCTAAAATTTTCGTGAAAATAATACTGATTCCTAGGATGACCAAACAGATGAAATTTTTTTAGCGTCACTTAGAATACATTTCTAGAGATCTAAAACTTAAGTGTTCTGGATAGCCAAAAAACCGTCATTGGGTGCCCCTGGTAAATAAAAGGGTTGGAAATCTGCCATTTCAGCCCGGTAAAAATCCCAGAAAGGGCTAGCAGATCAATTTTATGGCTGTGGGAAAGTCAAGAGAGGAAAGTGCATTTACAGCAGTTACAAGGAATCTACTCGAAAAATTATAAAGTAGATATGTGAACTGATATGAAAGGGCAAGAGGTCGGACCTTTGGGCGGAGCCTTCCTGTATAAAAACTTTGTTGAGTATCCCCCTTGGAAGTAACAGAAAAGGCAGAAAACATGTTGCGTTAGATCGGCGGCAAAAAATGGTCTTAAGTCAGCAATTTCTGTACCTCATGATGATTTTTTTATTTTCATAAACTTTATGCAATATGAAGCAGTGTTATTTTAAGTAGTATAATTTGGGATCTCGGCTGGTCAGGATTAGGGCTTAGGAAAGAAAGTTTTCAAAAAGACAATTTGTAAAGAGAGCAATAATTATTGTTATGATTATCAGTTAAGAGTAGTATTTTTCCAACTTACTAAGAAGGAGAGACTGATTATAGCGAAATTCTCGAGCGCGCAGCAGCGACTATATCTTAGGCTTTGATAGATTGTGCTCTCAAAAGTAGCAAAATGTGCTACTAGCAGTTCTCGTATATCTAAGCTTATGCCAACAATCATGCAAGTTTTGTAAATTATTCTCATTTCAGCGAAAAATGCTTCAATCTTCTTTTTACTTTTCATTTGCACTAATTTATGTAGTAAACGGCATACATATTTTATCCTATTTATATCTAGAAACTGTAAGAGTGCATTATCCATTGTCTGACAACTATAAAACCCAAAGAATTTACAACCAGCACGCTAGCTAGCGAGCTAGTTATGCGCATGTGTTGAGTCCTGTGGAAAAACTCCTGAGCACTTCCTTTAGGAGCCAGCTCCTATGGATATGACAAGTAAGCGAAAAAAAGAATGAATTTGTTTCTTACATTTGCCTGTGACACTGATCGCGGGCCAAAAAAAAATTGTTTGCAAATAAATGACAAGTTCGTGCTGCAAAACTAGCCAAACACAGTGCAAATTATGATAGCAGTGCTTTTCTTAAAAAATAAAAAAAATGAAAATTATGTTCGTTATGACAAATTATGTCCCAAATTATGCTGGTACCATCTATCAAAGCTTTATTTTGTCGAAGATAACCGTTAATTGCCCCTAGAAATAGAACGTATTTTTTTTGCTTTCTACTTTTACATTTCGATTCGTGATAAATTCCGACTCAGCGCTGGCAACCCGGGGGCCGGATAAATCATAACTCCTAAGGTATGCACTATGGTCAGAAGAAAATAATATAAACATTGTCGTCCCAAGTTGTTTGAAGTGAATGCAACCCCATGTTTTCTTGGTTTGTCTATGGAATACAACCAGTTTGAATTAATAATTCACCTGCGCCTCAAGTTAACATATTTTGTGACTATTTTACCGATGTCTATGATCCACTATGAATTGATTACTGGTTCGATTAAAAGTAAATGGTGTGAGATAATTTTCCTCTGATGTAGAAAGATGAGTTACGGCGAATGAGATCTTTCCAAACCAAATACGCCCATATTCAAATTTTCCAATCCGACTGAACTTTTTTTCATTTCGTTGGTGGAAGCGGAATATTGAATATTGAGTTTAGATTAGTTTGAATATTTGAAAATTTAGTTTGATTATTTGAAAATTTAGTTTGAATATGAATAAATGTACTTGAATAATGAATCTTTATTTTTCTAGAAAATTCACTCATTTCTTAATATGTTTCATTATGTTCGACTGATGTTTTGTCGGGCCGGTCCAGCCATTGAGCTTGCGTTCCTTGGCTATGGTAAGTCAAGGAACGTGGGCTCACACAGTTGGCTTTGTTATGTGATTCATTAGTACAGTACTCCTCACTGACAGTTGTCATGACCACGCAGTAATACGATACCCTCTTGTCACTCCTTGTGTGACTCTTCAGGACAACACCATTTCCGCTCGAGTCTCGTTGAACTCTTGTCTTTTTAATAGAAGACACGATAGTAGGGAAGTAGCTATGGGGAAAAGCAAGTCAAGAGAGAAGCCCAGGTATCGATCCGCTTTGAAAATGAGGTGGGGATTAGCGCCATCAGACTGGCCCCCCCCGGGGGGGGGGGGTTCTTCTGGGAATTCTTGGTGGGTTGTGCCACCCGGTTCTCCTAATCCACATGCTATTTCAGACCAAAAAATGTCATTTTCCAGACCCGTTTTCAGACCAGACCTCTAAAATCCATACCCGTTTTCACACCTGGCCTTTTGGCAGAAATTATGTCATCATTACTCAGATTAGAGCGCAAACAAAAAAAATTCTTCAAACCCATTTCGAATTCGCATATTTCTCTTTCTTTCTTCCTCATTTGAAATTGAAAAGATGAATACGTTCATACACTCCCGTAGTTCCCTCGAAAACTATACCCAATTTCAGACCAAAAGGGGCAAAGTGTATACACGTTTTCAGACCGAAACGGCACAAAAACCCGACCCGACGGGGCGGTACATACCTATTTCGCTTATATAAGGGAGTACCCCCCCTCCCCGGGGACTGGGCCAATGCTTGTAACCAGGTCAAGCCTTTTTCTACCAGCGTTTACCAACAGATAATAGTCTATTTCAATGTAACTAGGAGCATGTCTTGTTTATAATTTGATATTTTCTGAACGACCTCTGCCATCAGGTAGTACTCGTAGCAAAGAAATACATTGTGTCTTGGTAGCCTGCAATAACGGACGTGGCTCTTATAGAAAAACAATGAGTAATGAGGGGGGTCATAATTGTTTAAATAATGAAAATAAGATAAATATGGAAGTCTGAATATTGAATATTGAGGTTTGAAAATTAAATATTGAGGTTTGAATATTGATGTCTGAATATTGAATATTTACAGTATGAATATTGGATACTAGAAACAAAATATTCCGCTTCCACTCCCCATTCATTTTGTTAAATCTGCTTGGCAACAGATCTTTCCGCACCACGGTCAAGTTATCCAGAAAATAATTGCAACCTTTAATTAAATTTCGGCTGGTTTTAATTGTCAAATTGATTATTAGCAGATTTAGATACTCGTTTTCTAAAGAAACAGCGAGGAGACACTTGGCAACATAAAACGTAAGTTTAATTTCAAACGTTTTATCATCTTTATCTCTATGCAATACTTCAATTTTTTCCAATCAAAGATGTTGAAATACCGACATGATTTGATATTTTTTTCTTTAGATAAACACTCTTCTTTAGCCATGTATGTTTTGGTTTATATTCCAGAGAGTTTCTTTGGCATTTTTGTTTTAGTTTCTTTAGTTGTATATTTCCGGTTAATTTGAAGCCATTAAGCATTCATCGTAAATTTATACCTTAAGTGGTAGAACTGTGAGTTGTATAAAAGCCTTGTGAGTAGAGGTTGGTGCAAACACCTTGCCTGATTATTTACGTCTTGCCTCCTCATTATGAACTACTAGCAATGTAGGTTGGTGAATAATTTGATCTGACGGCTCCTCTTTGTAAATCTTTGGTAAAGAGGGAACGAATATCACAGAATCAATCCATTTCCACCCCTCTGAATCCAACCCTCCTTTTTGACGGTACTCTAGGGAGTTATCTTTTACCTCTACAAACATGAATACTTAAACAAATGTATGATTAAAAATATATCGTCGCAAACGAAAAACGTAGACACACTGCACCTGCGCAAATTCAGTCAACCAATGTCAGAGAGTCAGGGGTTTAACAGTGGTGAAGAGAATGCAACTATTGAGTTTTCTTTTTGGATTAATCGACTTCATCGAAACCGCTATTTTCTCATTGGCCTTTGCTGTGATAGCCATTCTTTCCAGTTCCTCCTAGGTACTACGGTCACCCCAAGAGAAATTGAAGACAATGGTTATGCAAAGATTTTGGGGTATTTTGAGGAATTTTGGTTGCTTCTCAGAAATATTAGCCTTTGAGGCTACTCTTAAATTTGAATATAAAAAAATTCAAGTTTGTTTGTTTGTGTATCATGGGCAATGTAAAAATGTTGAATTAAAAAATGTAGCATTACTGAATTGTGGGGAGAATTGGCCTGAACGCCCACTAGATACTAATATTTACATTTTGGTTTTAACGACAATGAACAACATTTGCTTGTTTACAGCAGCGTTGGTTTTCATGTTGGGTTATATTTATAACAAACTAAATAGATAAATAAATGAATAGGAAAATTGAAAAAAAAAATAAGCAGGGAAGGATGTCTCATTTCTCATCTCTCCTCTGCAACTTTTTATTGCTTATTCCAATTGAAAACAGCTTTTAGGAAAGTAGGCTAACATTTGGTCATTATGTTCTTCCGTTTTATCATTAAATGCTATAACTATAAAACTGCCTAAAACTAGTTGCTTGACCTACAATGGAGGTGAAGAAAGTGTTGTGACCATTCTAGTGATATTAGAAAGAGTAGCGACCTCCCACCCCAGACAATGTTGAATTTTGAGCAAAATGGTGTAAATTAGTCCTTTTTGCGGGTGCGATTATGCTTAGAGGTAGTGGGGAGAGGAAGGAATGAACCCAAAGGAGGATCACAGAAGGGTTTTTGGAAGGGTTTTTCACAATTTTCCAAGTTCCTTTGTCCTCAATTATAAGCCTTCGACTAAAATGTCTTTTTACAGAATGTTCTGGCCAACTCTAATGTGTATATCGTTGGTCGCTGGCTGCAGAATGGGTAAATTCGTGAAGCAGGAAGGTGTAGCCTTAGAGAATCATGTTATAACAGTAGTGACTGCCGATCACCCTGTCAAGTGTAAACATGATTGCCTGGATACGCCACTCTGTTTCTCCATCAACGTGCATGCGCAAACGCTACCATCAGGTTGGATCAAGTGTGATCTAAACAATTCTACACGAGCCGCTAACCCGGAGAATTTAGTACAGCGGGCAGGGTACTGGTACCATCAGATGACGGTAAGCGTCATTACAATACATATGGGCTTGACAGCCCCGTTATTGGGTTATTGACCATAGAGATTTATTCAGTGAATAGTGCTATCCACCTTTCATCAACTGGGGCCAATTGAAAGTAACAACAATTTTAAACGTGTATTCGCCTTACTTCAAATTTCCTCTTTTATTTTTATTTTTTTTTTTCATAATCTTTTTCAATTTGTCAAACTTAGGCGAGTTTTCCGGAAGTTGAATCCTATAGGGCGAAACCAGGTTAAGAAAGGAAAAGAAACCTCGCTTTTATAATATTATGTTTTCATAAAGTATTCCATTAGGAAGTTTCAGAGGACCTCACGGGTAAACAAAAAGTGAGATGCTCTTTCAAAGTTCACGTTTTGCTGATTCAAACAGTTTACGATCTCATTGTCGTCGCTTTTTCTTAGGCTTATTAACTTTCTATTTTGTCGTCGACATCGACATCATCATTATCATGATCTTAAATATCAACAAGAGCGTCATAACATTCATGATGCACCGCACGTTCTAACAAAATGCAGTTGATAGCCGATTAAAAGAATTACTTATTGCTTCTTTTGGCTTTAACCGTAGGAAGTTGAGCACTGTACGGCAGATCGATGCATTTACAAAGATGGTAAGACATTAAGTTGGTTAATTTTAGCAAAATGTAGCTGCAAATTGTTAATAAAAAATTTCAGCCTTTCCAGATGGTTGGTTCCTCTTTGATTCCAAAAAACTGAAGATTTTTCTGGAGAGGAAGACCTGGGGAAGAGCAAGAAAATACTGTCAGTCTATTGGCGGAGACCTCTTGTCAATCAACGACGTGGAAAAGAATGAGTTTGTCTCTTTATTGATTGAAAAGCTGTTACCAAATGCGTCTGCAGGTTAGATTTATTCACTAAGGCTTAACAGTTTACTCATAGTTAATTGAGTGGAATGGTTATGAAACCCGTCAGACTCCTTTGTTATATGTTTTTGTGGACCTGAAAGTGCACAACGTTCAAAAGAATTCCTATCATTTTGATTGTATTGACCAATAAAAACGTTTCGTAACAATTTGCCAACAGAAAACAAAGGATTGTGCACTTTCAGGGTGCTTCCAACATAAACTGTAGCACTGTTGTTTTTATCATTGATGTTTGCCGCTTTTCATAACCAGTCTCCTCTAATAACTATGGTTATTAAAATCAAATCATATCAAAGCAGTTTGGATGGACGTTACTTTGCGTTACTGACCAAGCTTGATTAATTAATAGTTAATTAATTAATTGATTTATTAATTATTTAAATGAGCAAGGCGAGGGTAGGCTCAAATTAAGGAGCTTCCTGTGCATTAAAACGATTAACCGATGCCCACTATACCTACTATTTCGGGGAAAAGAACGGTTTATACTCCAAATCGCTTCGATTTTCTCGATAAAGTAATTTATCTACCCACGCCATTAGCATTTTCTTGATCGATTAAATTACCTCAAATACCAGCCAGCTTGAAACAGTCAGACTGCGGAATGGGTATAAAACGCAAACTGGTCATTAAAACGTTCAATTCACTTCATCTTGCTCTCTAGCACAGCCAGCCGTTATGCTTGTTGTCATTGTTAAAGTTGCTTTTTGTTTGTGTGGTTATTTCTTTGATTTGCAAAGAAATTAAGCAAGTTTACTCTGTTCAAAAACTCGAATTAAATTAAGGTAAAATCAAGTTTAAAACTGCACTTCCGGGTGGCTAATAACCTTTGGTAAAATGCAAAAAGTATAAAATGCACTTTTTAATTTTTCTACTAAAGGCTTTAATTCAAGTGACATTATAGCACACTGGACACTGGATGGAACTGATTCTGACGTGAAGTGAGTGGAATGTTTATTTTTAACTTTTTCACCATCAACAGAAAACATTGACGCGATATGTAACACCTAAACTAAACAACTGAAGGAATGAAACACCAAGTTTCAGAAAAGGCAAATTCAGAGAAATGTTTCTACGCCGTATCTACATACACCAGTTTATATAAAATGATCTGAAGTTTGGTCCACAACCAAAATTGAATATAACTATATTTCTGTAAATTAATCAAGTTTATTTAAAAAACTATAAATTATTGTTTCCCTTATTTGGAGTAAATGCTCGTCTCACCCTGTTGGTTTCCACCTTTTGTTAAAACAGTCTCAAAAACGGATCAATATACAAAGAAGAAGACGGTTTCCCATCTATGTACCTTAATGGATCGGGTGAATATGCAACAACCCCTGCAGTGGACTTCGGAATTTCAAGTTTTACTATCGCTAGCTGGGTCAAAATGCCAAGCCCTGTTAGTGATCCCTCGCCGCTTTTCTCCGATTGGCATGGAGACATTAAATTTCTCTTCTATGCTCTCCTACACGGCAAAGTGGACTTTTTCGGTTTTGATAACCTCGGGAAATTCAATCCTAAACTGTCAGCAGGGTAAGGATTAAACAACCACCTGGAGTTATTTTGAGAGAAGGAAAAGAAAGGGAGAAAAAAGAAAAGGAATAAATGGATAGAAGATGAAAATGTTCATATGACGGATCCAAATACTACTGTGCTTTTAAGTTTGGGACAGTGACGTAACAATATACTCACTCTGACGTCACCTATTGTTATTAATGTGCCTACCAGGACAGCATTGGCTCTTTAAACAAAATTATTTATTGTTTCACTTGTTACAAATTTGAATAACAAAAACAATGTTTCGGTAAAAAGTGATGTCACTCTGTCATTTTGTCTGCTATAACACAAGAGAAAATCTCCACAGTCACTTAACGAACCAGAAGCTGGGCGTATTTGATTCTGTTCGCTAGTCTAATCAAATTATTATGTTCTCGTTCATTTCTGTTTTAGTTTTGTTTGTGTGCAATCATTTCAAAGTCAAACGAAAATCGTTGTATACGGATGAGGACCGTAACAACCTTTGATATTGCAGGTCACCCCCTGTAGATAAATGGTTCCACTTGGCGGTAGCGTGGGACCAAACTGTAAACGAAGCTTATATCCTGCTAAACGGTTCCAAAATTGGAGTTGAACCTCAAACAGCGGGTACGCACTTGAGAAACAATTCCCATTCATCCTACGACATTGGCTTGAAGAGGGACGGTCCCACGTACATGAGGGGATATATCAGGGATCTTATGATTATCGGAAGAGCTGTTACTGTCGAGGAAATTGCTAGTATAACAGGTAATTCGTTACAGGTAATACATCCTTTAGTAGCTACCTTCACAAGGGACCCCTCCCAGAGGGAAGTCAAAGAAATTAGCAGATCAGGAGCTTTCAAAAACGCTGCCATCTACTGTTTCAACTAATATGGATCCGCCCGTTTATGCGACCCTTTTTTCATCCGCAAATAAATTAACAAACCATCAAACCAACGTTGAACAACAAAACAATCTTGATAGCGGCTACATTTCATGTTGTGGCAACATTGAAACAACATAAAAAGTTTAAAACTTAAAAGTACACGACGTTTCAGTTGTCGGGAAACAAAGTTGAAGATGCTGATTAATTTTTTACGTATGAATTCACCTGTCAAAATTTTGACCAATCGGAGACTAGATGGAGCGTGACGAAAAACTTTACCAAGCTAAAAGCACATCCTTAATTTATTTTTTCAAAGTTTTTTTGTCGTCAGTCAAACAAACGAAATTCAAGATCTTAAATTGAAAATTCCATCCAATCGGAGACTAGATGGAGCGTGACGAAAAACTTTACCAAGCTAAAAGCACATCCTTAATTTATTTTTTCAAAGTTTTTTTGTCGTCAGTCAAACAAACGAAATTCAAGATCTTAAATTGAAAATTCCAATTGGCTGCGCCAAGGTGCACTGTTTGACGAACGCAAGCTAAATGTCTTGGATTCTAGTCCCCTCCCTTGCAGATTCAACTTACACCCTCCCTACTAGATCTTACGTACGCGGGCTTGTGCTGACGTCATAACGAAATTTCCTTGCATCTATAACTTTCCGTTTTTCTATAGCAATGGAGGCTCCGGTGTAATTTTGCAAAAAGAAGTTAATGCATAGCATTGGGCGTTACATTTAGTCACCCTCTGCGTAGACTGCGAGCAGTCTCTCTTTTTCTTCAGATTTAGTGAGAGCAAATGCACGGGCGCGGGAGCCGCGAAGCCGCGAGACGCGCATGGTCATTTGCGTGTCTCGAGTTTTGCTCGACGGACTACACAAAAAAGAGAGACTGCTCGTAGTCTACCCTCTGCGAGAGTAATTGTCTAACTGAATTTGTGCGGTCCTTTACAATAAAAAACTCATTTTGGATAGATTTATATCCAGCTTCACAGTTTTTTTGCTAAAATATAGGTTACCAACTTTGGTCCTTGTTTTCTTACTAAGTATGTAATAGCCCATTTGTTATTAAGAACCGGAGCTCACATCCTTTGGACTACCATTCGATCTTCATGCCAGCATGAAAACTCCATCTATCACGGAAACTCCATCTTCACTCGCCTTTCTGTAGCTTTGGACGTTGCTCTCATCAAATAAACGCTTGCTCGGTCAGGTAGAACTTAAAAACGTCGTAGAGAACGTCACTGTCACGTGATATGGAAGATATATGTCGATCCATGGCGCGTGACCGCACATGTTTTGCCAAATTCTAGCCGAGAATAAAGTTGTACGTTTACGACAAGTTACGTTTTTGGTTCAAAAACTTTCTTTACACAATCGGAAAACCACCCCTTAATTGCCTCTTCCCCCGCCACCACTTTCACCAGTCATGATACCTCCGAACAAATGAAGAAGTCAGCTTAAACGCGTTGGTCTTCATAATGTTTTATTTACTTCGGCAGATCCAAATAACGAACCATACGGTGGTGTTTGGATCGGGTTAAATGATGTTGTCACGGAAGGATCTTTCCATTGGTCTGATGGAAGTCAATTGACCTACTCCAAGTGGGCTACCGGCCAACCAGACAACAAAAACAGTTACCAGAACTGTGTAGAAATGGTGGTTCACGGAGGCAACTGGATGGACACAAGTTGTGGAAGACAACTTCCATTTATTTGTCAAAAGGATGTTTGACGACAGGAATTTTAAAACCGTTAGGAAGCTTAAGTAATGACGACGACGACGATAGCGAAAACGTCTCTTAAAAAGAAAATTTACGCTGGTTCAAAATTCATCGATGTTATTCCGTGTCGTTTAATTTGTCAAATGTTGGTGGGTTTTTCTGGTGATGAATTCTAAAGGATTGTAACTAATAAAAAAAATAATAATAATCAGAAAATCGTTTCCTTGCATTCACGTCCTCCAGAAAACGTGTAATTAGACAGTTTCACGTCGTGGTCGTGCAAAGTAATGTACAAAAAGCGTGACGGATGTGCAAAGTTGTTGTTGTGCCGAAAATCTAGCCCTATTCCTTTTTGTCGTTCTCGTTGTCGTCGTCGTCGTTGCTTAAGCTGCCTATTGCACGACTACGACGTGAAAGTGCGTAAATTGAAGTTTGGTGGAAGACATGAGGACAGGACAACGGCTCTCATTTTCTTTTCCTTAACTTCGTTACAATCTTTAAGAATTCATTTTCAGAAAAAATCGCCAACATTTGACGACATGAACCAGATGGAAAAAGCGCGATAAATTTGGAAGCAGCGCGAATCCGCTTTTTAGGTGACGTTTTCTTAGCCGCCGCCGCCGCCGTTGTTGCTTAAGCTACCATTTGTTTTCCTGATACAACTTGGTCAAATTTGAGGTTGGCTTCAAAACACACTTTTAAAAATTTGACGAACTTTGAACACAATAAAGATTTTACTTCAAATTCTTAATAACTGACGAAAAAATGGAATTGCACGATTTTTATCATGGCAAATATGACGCAAAAATGTGCAAACTGATTGGCAAAGATAGTGTATGCCACACTTGCATACCTGTTTACACGGGTTGTTAATTAAAAAGCAAATGTGGCGTTTACTATCATTTCCTCACATTTACTCCTCATCTTGCGCATTTTTGCGACATATTCGGCCATGAGCAAAATTGTGCAAATCCATTTTTCCGTCCATACATGTACCGCTTTTAAAGCGGTAGAGAGGGACACCGGCAAAAGATGAGATACGAATGAAGCTGAGTCGAACGGAATTTAAAAAGGTAGATATTCACTGAGAGGTATATAATCCTCTTTTTTTATTATTCACAATATGCATGGGTTTCCAATTTCAAGTTGATAGACTTGATTTCATTTCAAATGAGAATTTAAGCACCCAAATAAGAAATAACTAATTGGTTTTTAGTAGCTTGTGCTATAGTGTGAATGCACACCCTAATGTATTAACCGAAATGCACCCATGCGGTTATTGTATATAGATAACATATCTATAAAGGCATGTACATGTGTTTTAAAGGACCACCGGGCAAGTTAATGTGTATTAAACATTTTAATGGTGTATCTTAACACTTTCAAATAATTCCATTCCTCTTTTGTGAAAATGATATGCACATAAAATTGCTCTTGGATTTGGCCCGGGTGATAAGTGCTAATCCACCTGCTGCCATTTAAAAGAAGAAGAAGAAGAAGTCAAATAATTCAGAGGCTTAAAAACATTTCAAGGAGTCTGTTTCTTGAATTGGAGAGAAGCACGTATTCGGGGATTAGAGCATATCTATTTATTGTATTTATTCTAGAATATAGCGATACTCACGCTGACTTCACCCATGGTATCAATCTACCAACCAGAAGTGCATTGGTTCTTGAAACAAAAGATTCTTTTGTTTCACTCGTTACAGATATAAATAATAAAAGCAATGTTTGTAAACAAGGATGTGTCCTATAAAACATAGGCCATGCGCAGGAGTTTTAGCCTAGTGCGCAAAATGTTTATCTTATTTTGTCCTGTATTTTATACTGATCAGCAAGTGAAACCATGGGTACCGGAGGTTTTTTCTCGTTTGTTGCGGGAATCGGTGTCGGCCGAAAGCCGACACATCTTACCGCGCAAGAAAAGTCTCCTGCACCCAGGTAAGGCAAGAGAGCGTCATGTTATAATACACAAAAAAAGAAATGGCGAGCGTGAATGCAACAACAAGAAACACGCTGGCCGCAAAAAATATAATTGGTATGCACATAGTGATGGAGTCATAATTATGCAAAGTAAAATTGGACAAGGATGGTGTTTCTTGTTGTTGCGGAAATGTTTGTTAGTTAGCTTTCGTTTTGGTGTGAATATTATTCAGTGACTTTTGTATAACGTCATTTGGTGATCGTACGGACGTCCACAACACGGAAAGGGATGTCTTTTTTCTGACTGGAGAGGCCGAATACCAGTTCCTCATGATCATCTACGGGTGACCATTCTAATACCAAGGATTAGCTTTAGATAAAGTAATTGCGCAATTGACGTACTTACTTACGATAACAGGGCCGTAATTTAAATATGCCACCTGCACTCCGGCTTGCCACTCGTTCGGAGAAATTATCTGGCAAAGTAACAGGCAAGTAAGCAGCTTGAACTTGTGACTTGAAGGTAAGAGTGGTTCGTCGTTCAACTGTATGGATGCGTTTTTACGTAAGAAGGAAAGATTAACCCTAAATACCCAGGAGTTGAATTTACAGGGCTCGAAAAAAAAGTCCCTCTCGGTTGTCAGGGATAAGCAGATTGTCTTGCTGGGCAAGTAATTTCTAAAACTTACTTGCCCAATCCTGGCATGCAAGTCTCCAGGCAAGTCATCCTCTAACGAAATTATTAACCCTAGCTTTAAGCCCCAATATCCACATACAAATCCTCCAATACATTTTCTTTAAGAAATAGTCGAGGGAATTTCATAAAAGAGCTAGGCATTTTCTCTTAGGTGATCATTTTATTAATTCTCACAACCTTATCTTTTGTCAATGTATCGATATTGTTAGAAGAAAATTGATGTTGATCACTATCGAGACTTAAAGGGTTAAACGAGGACAGGCAGGAAGTTACCCCCGGCAACCAAAATGTGATGCTGTTTGCCCAAAGGACAACCTATAATTCAAGTTTTTTTTCCCGAGCACTGATTTACTGTCAATATTCAGTACAATGACATTGGTGGGTGGCTTTTCCTCATTACAAGGAACCACCTTCTCGGCTCAAACAGTGTTACTACACAGGAGCTCCAACAACGGGTATCCGATGAGTAATCTCTCTCTTTTCTGTCTGGAATATCAGTATCACGTAGTTTGTAGTTAACCTTTGGTGGTGTATAGTAAAGGGCTTATGTGCTACAAGTGGTTTTGTGTAAACTGATGAGCTCGTAAAAGCCAAGCAAGAAGAGCTATTTAAAAGAAGGACCAATTCCAAAAAAAAACATCATTGTTATTTCGGCCTGGTTTGTTCCCAGCCAGCTAGTCCTGTACCATGATAAACATTTAAATCTGCATTATAATTTGAACTAAATTTAACTTTAAGCTTCCTACTGCTAGATGGATTAGGTAAGCAAGTGAGGAGGAAATTTTTTCTTTCTCCTACTGAACTTGGGTATAAGACTCTTAGAAATTCAGTTCCGGGAGAGTTCACCAACAATAATTAATTGACCACTCCAGAAAATACAATAATATACCATAATGCTCTTTGTTTGTCACCCCAAAATTTTGTATAAGCATTGTTTTCAGTTTCTCTTGGGAGTTAAAATGGCCCCATGAGAAACTGAAAACAATGCTTATGAGAAATTTTGGGGTGACAAACAAAGAGCATTATGGTATGTTATGGTATTTTCTGGAGTTGTCAAATAAGGTAAGTGAGTCGCATAATGGAGAATTCACGTTTTCTTTTAAGCCAAGTTTTTGCCGTCGTCGCCGTTCTCGGGTCTTAAGGTCTAAAAAAAACTGCGGCGACGGAGAACTCTTCAAAAATACAGTAAGGATTAAATATTTTTGCTCTCAAGATCTTGCTCATAAATTATACAAAGGTTTTGCCAAAGCCTGGTTTTCACTAGCGCATAAGCACATAGTTAGTAGAGGATAAGCATAAGCACAAGCACATGTGTAAGCAAGTGAAAACTGGGTTGACATAAGCATAAGCACAAGAAAAACGGACAAGTTCGTTGTTCTTATGCTTGTGCTTATGCTTATGTCGTAGCTTTGACTAGTGAAAACGGAGTCGACATAAGCATAAGCGCAAGACTGTGGGCCAATCATTGGTCACTTTGACCTAGACCTCATGGGAACATATCAAAATCAATATGGCGGACGCTTCAGGTTTTCGAGAATTGAGTCAAATATGCCATTCTACGCGTGCATATGTCCTTATGCTTATGCTTATGCGCTAGTGAAAACCAGGCTCAAGAATTTAACCATTATCCCCTCCCTCGATCAGAGTAAACCAGTCGGTTATAAATTTCATGGCCATCTTTACGTATCTATTTTCAGAAAAATGACGTGGATATGTCTGTTTTTTGTACCACTCATCACCGCCTGCAGAATGTCCAGATTTACCAAAGAGGAAAATGTCGCTCTAGAGAATCACTTGATAAAAATTGTCACGGCGGATCGCCCAATCAAATGCCGAGAAGACTGTCTAGATACACCATCTTGCTTCTCTGTCAACGTACATGCACAAAGACTCTCATCAGGCTGGGTCACGTGTGACTTAAATAACTCTAGCAAAACCGCCGACCCACAGGACTTAGTACCGAAGAAAGGGTATCAGTACCTTCCGATGGCGGTAGGTAATGTAAAAATGGTTTAAGGGTTTAGGAAGTAATTAAATTCAGAAATAAATTGGCTATATGCATGGTTTTTGCATTATTTAAGTCAATCTTTCTAGGTGTGAAATCTAGTTACGTCAAGAACCATGACGATAAATGACGCCATTAAACATTGTGGCTGCCATTTTAAATTGTCCCATTGTTGTCACTTTACAACACTGAAAAAAATTTCGCGTTCCTCTCCGGAAACCAAGTTCCGATTAATTTCAAGCGTTTTGGTATTTACATATCCCTGTCTGTCCTTCATTATATTCTTCCTTGATAGATGCTCATGACATATGCGCAAGGTTAGACAGGTTACAATTCTGTTTTTGATTTATAGATGGTTAGATTTGTTTCTTTCCTTTTTCTTCTGTTTCTTTCAGAAAGTGTTACATTGCACTGTAGATCAATGTATCTACAAAGACGGTAAGATTCCTTGAGTAGTGAGAGAAAGTTTTCTTCACTAATTTAAATATAGCCCTGCATATGTACAGATAAAGCAAACTTGGCCATTATAACAGTTCTGTGTCCATTCTCTCCGTAGCTCTTCCTGACAGCTGGTTTATATACGGCAGCCATAAGCTTAAGATTTTCCCTGAAAAACGGACCTGGGAAAGAGCAAGGACTTACTGTCAGTCGATTGGTGGAGATTTAGCGTCAATCAGCAGTGAGGACAAAAACGAGTTCATTACTCATTTGCTAGGCCGTTATATAACAAATATGACAGAAGGTTAGATGTTATTCTTACATTTTACATTTCCTCGAATAAGCACCTGGGCGCCTATTTAAAATTTCGGCTTAAAGGAGGGGCTCTTGTTGTAAGGAGGTCATCGAGGAGGGAGACCTTATTAAAAGTTCTCCTTTTGGTAATCAAGCGTACCGTGGTCTCATACTCCCATAATGTTAATTCCCCCACAGTTGTATCAGTGTAAAAGTTGAAGTTTAAAAAACACTTTTTTCTTTTATACCTACTATTTATATCAAGAAGTGATGGGAGGTTATTCTAGGAGGGGGGAAGGGGGCGCTTGTTTGAAATTTTGGCCTAGGGGTGTGCGCTTATGAGGGGGAGCGCGCTTGTTAGAGCGTGGGCATTAATTCAAGAAAATACGGCACACAGGGTCTTTTCAACGAACTTGAACCAAGGGATTGAATTCGGGGCGCAAATTTTTTGTTGTTAATTGACATTTATATTGACATTTATATTGTCATTTATATACTCAATCTCATATATCTTTATACCCTTTACGAATATTAGTTTTTTTTTGTATTATATCAGTGAAAGAATATGACCAACATGAATGGCCAAAGCGAAGCTATACCTTGAAAAGTTTTATATTTTAATATTTTTATCCATTTATTTTTACCCAAAGTGTATGCTGATATGTTGGTTTTACTGATTTTTGATATTCAGAGGACCATCCACGAACACTTGCACGCTGGCATCTGGACGGAACTGACCTAGACGTCACGTAAGTAAATACAAAATGTGACGCGGTGAAGTGGAAGTTATCCACCACCTTGTACACATTATTCGTTTTCATTAAAAGGATATAGGAACTGTGGGTCGCATATGAACTTGAGGGTTCTAGAAGTCATGTCCAACTAAAAAAAATATACAAACTTCTCAAACTCACTGATAATTCATAAAGAAAATACAAAGGAAATTAATGTTTAATGAGTGTTTGGAAATCAGATGAAAAACTGCTATTTTTGCATGTAGTGAAGGGTGATATGAAGCTGTGCTGTATAACTTTCATTGTTAAAGAGAGTACTACGTATTTTATTTCTGTAGACATTTTTGAACTTTAAATGTTGGGCCTTCCTGTCGAATGAATAGAAAAAGACCTATGCCTAACGTGATTTGTAAAAGAAATTTTTTTTAAAAAAAGAGGTTCATGTGACTTGTTTTAGGCTAGTTTATATGTTTTCATCGTAGTTCGTAATTTTATGCTAATCACGTTTACACATTTTATGTATTTTAAAAACCCTCCTGAAAATCAATTATCGTAATAGAGGTCTCCTTTTTGAGTTGCATAAGAAATCTTCAATTCAAATTAACCACTTTTAAAATTATCTTAAAACATTAATCAACAACAAATCATATAAATCCTTTACAGTCTAGAGAATGAAGCAACTTTCAGAGAAGAAGGTGGTTTTCAATCTCTGTACCTCAATGGTTCAGGTCATGCAACAGTGCCTGCCGTGGACTTTGGACGTTCAAGTTTTACTATCGCCTGTTGGGTGAAGATTCAGAGCCCTGCTAGTGCTACATTACCAGTTTTCTCAGATTGGACAAACCCGCTGAAATTTCAAATCGTAGCGTATGACGCTGGGGGAAACCTGTTTTTTGGTTGTGTAAACAACTTTGGTAATTTCCTTCCATGGTTCATAGGAGGGTAAGACTCGGAAAAGTACTTGTTAAATTACCATGTTATACGTTTTCACTTTCACGCTTATAATCTGCTACTAGACGTGGACAGTAGTTCGGCTAGTTCTTCTTCTTAACTTCCTCGTAAAACGTGTAAACATTCTGCGCCATTTTCGTCATTTTCTCTAGCACTCCAAACACAGCTGAGAGAACGCTAACCTCGTTTTCCGTACTCTCTCGCTCACTCTACTCGTTCCCAGGTTCTCTCTCTCTCTGGCTCCGCAGGGACTGGTAGGAGGGAGAGCCTTGGAAAGAAATTGAGAGAACGCGACATACCTGTTGTGCCCAAGGCTTAACGGTTGCCATGCCTTTTTATCCTGTTGTGCTGCACCACCGATCATTTTATCGAATATCACAAATTAACATCTTGGTTAACACTAGCTTGTTAAGGAAGGATTAGCCGCTGGGTTTTAGCCAATGAGAAAGGGAGAAATTTTATTTCCGGTGTTATTTTTTAATGAAACTGACGATTAACTTGGGCGCATTTCTTCCGAGTGTGAGCATAACTGATTTGATGCCTTTCAGGAGTGCCCCAATTGACAAGTGGTTTCATATGGCAGCTTATTGGGATAGAAATGCAAATGAGGCTGGATTTTTTCGTGACGGTCAGTTAGTTTCATATCAAGGTCTGGTAAATGGCTCGTACCTCAGAGGCAATGATCACGCAGTGTACGATATTGGCCTTAAAAGGGACGACGGGAAGACGTTTAAAGGACATTTGAGAGACCTTATGATTATTGGAGAGGCGCTCACTGCTGAAGATTTGAACAGTATACTAACAGGTGAATCAGCCGGTGTAACGACAGTAATGGACATTAGGGCAGTGTCATCGATTTTATCAACTTAGTATGCAAAAAGTGAACGAAAAATTTTACTCAGGATATTTTAAACTGTTAGGAGAAGTGTAGTAAGTATTTTTGGCCATGGATTGTCTGAGAATATATATCATTCTGAAAAACGTGGGCCAAGCAAGAGAAAAGTTAGAAATAAACGGAGACAATACAGTCACACTCCTATCATTTAGAATTATTTAGAGCCCACCTCTCTACTGTGCGATCGACAAGCTGTGATTAACGGCTAGTTTTCTTATTTTATTTTTTTCTCGGGCAAAGAGTCCATATGTTTACGGCTTGTTTTAAACGGTTGTCTTTTCACGTTAGTAACGACCACTTTTTTTGAGTGCTTCCCAACTGACAAGATAACCTTTCCAGAGTACAGAGGCTGTTTAACAACCGATGCGTTCACTTTCATACCGTGCCTTTTACTGATATTTTTTTTTTCTTTTTTGTTAACGGCGTTTGTTCTGAACATGTTTTGCACCTAATAGGCCACTTCCGAGTTCCAAAAACCCTCACTTTCAAAATGAGGCCAAGTGCACAACCTGTCTTGTGAAAATGAGTTTTGTTTACATGAGAATGAAAAATCATTTCCATATCAAAGGCTGACCACTTAACCTTGTTTTCATACAGAGGCCCCAGGGTCATCGGAAATGGCTTATTAGAACAAATTTTCTCGTTACGCGTCCACGTTTGGATGCAAACGACGCTACAGGAGCTTCCTAGTTTGTGTGGTTGTCGCTGGAAGAAAGCTTGTCGTTTACAATCGATTAACTAAATTCGCTTAGTAACGACCCATTCCTCTTGAGGTTGTTTAGTTAATTACATATAATGATATAGCGAGGACCACAATTACCCATAATTCCGGACTCGCATTCTTTGCTGCAAGCCAGGATCATTTTGCCTGTCGGCAGTTATTCTTACCAGATTTTTTTCACGTAGAGATCTTTTTACTCATTGACAAAAGTGATACCAAGTTTACACGTCATGTTGCTCACTGTGTGATCGGTAGTGAAATGACTTACCAACCAAGCTAAAAATAGAAGTAGAAATGTTTAAAATGACACTGACCCCATTTTAGCCGACCAATAAGGTGTCATCCTTAAAATAACCGTGGAGTAAGACACATAACCTAGAATAGACGTCAAATATTTTTAATATGAAGAGGGCCATGTATGAGAGATTCGCACTCATACCTCGTTCTCTCTTGGTTACACCCCATTACACATCCCATCCCGTTTAACCCCTTACCTCTCGTTACCAAGATGGACGTTGGGTACAGGTTTTACAGCATGCGTTATTTGAAAAATAATTGTAATTCCTCAACTGGATTCTACTGGACATTATTAGCGGAGTACTGTAGCTGGTTCAGGAAAAATCGTTCCTCCTTACGTCCGTCCGTTCATGTTAGCGGATGTGAAATGTCGCAATTACTAGATTGGAGTCCAGGGCGTTATACAGTCTGTGTTTAACTTGATTTTGGACATCCATGTTATGATCAATTGACAGCTCTCAAAAAAGGGTATTCGCTGACCAGTGTCACATGACTTTACTGCGGGCTCAAGTGAACTCTTCGTTGAGGTGGCGTGTTCTTTTAAAGTTGTCCGAAGACTAGTTAGTGGTTTTCAAATGATCGCAGGCTCAGGTAATTTCTTCCGCTTGCTTCTTGCTTTTGGCGAAAGTGAAAAAGAATCGAAAATAGTAAAAAGAAAAAAAGTATAAATTGAAGGAAAGAAAATCATATTAGGCTAATCTTAAGCGTTGTGTGTTGCAGGTCCAGTCAGAAAATCCCATGGTGGTGCGTGGATCGGTCTGAACGACACATTTCAAGTTTGGTCTGATGGTAGTCACGTGGTCTATACCAAGTGGGCTACCGGGCAGCCGGATAACCAGAACGATTTCCCAAAGTGCACGGAAATGGCGGTTGATGGCGGAAACTGGGACGACACAATTTGCACAATGAAACGACCTTTTATTTGTCAGAAAGAAAATTAGATGGGGAAGCGAATTTCTACGTTATCTCCCAGTCAAACCCCGCCTCCCCCGGCCTCCCCCGGCCTCCTCCATCAAAGCCGCTTACTTTAACATTTACCATTTAGGACTCATTTTTAGAAAGTCGCGATTTTCACTTGTTCGTAGACTCCTTGAGTGAGAGTTGATTTTTAAGCCCATTGATCACTCATTCGTAGCCTTGAAGCTCTTCAGAATCTCATTTAATTGGACCTGGCTATGTGTCGCAGCTCGATTTTTGTTTTCCGACTAGGTTTTATTGTTAACTTTGTTAGTTTATTGTTTTCTCAACCAATCCCTTGAGGCTTTAGAGAGCTGCATGGTCGCCCTATCCAAGAGTGTAAAGGGCAGCAGACTTTTAGTCTCTTTCTGTATTTTTTCAGCAAATTTCGCTGTGATCACAATCTTCCACACACTCTAAATATTGCAATCTGTCGTTTAGTAAGAGGCTTCTAAATCAGGTTCCTCAACTAATTGTATTACCTTTTTCATTTACTTTTTTCAAAGCCTTCCATTGCTTAGCTGAGAGTTTTTTTGGACAAAAAAAGAAGAATCCTCTGTAAATGGCCTGGAATTAAATAGATAGCATTTCGTTGTATTAAAAAAGGGACATGCACACATATTCTTAACTCACCGTCCAGCAATTTTCTTATTTAGTTACTATGGAATTCAGTTTGCAGTTTCCAATTTGCAGTTTGATTTGTTATAACTGGAATTTTGTTAATCATCAAGCCGGTTAGTCTTTAATGTATAAAGCTTCATTTGATGTTTTTCACTACAGTATGTTGCCCAGTATCCGGACGGTACCAGTATCCGGACACTTGAAACAAAATCTTAATTTTTGAGGCGCCCTTTTCAGTTCTCGGTAAACGACGTATTTCGAATGAAAGCTGAACATTTCAGCTTTAAGAAAATATTAATTTCGCGATGGAAACAAAGGCAAAAAAGTTAAACTGTCTTTCGTCATATTAAGGACTAAATAGATTTTCTCTGGGCCAAATTTCAGAGCTCTTGCGATTAAGAAAGGAAAGTTATTGCAATCTTAAATTGAAGTGTCCGGATACTGGGCAACATACTGTAATGTCACAAGATTAAAAAAGAAAGTAAAATCCCTTGATTGATCCCGTCTTCTCAAAACCAATATTTCTAAATTTCCAATTGATTGACGAGCGGTGCACGAATAACCCGTGAATATATTTGCTATCATGAAATCATTATTTATTTATTTGTTTGTTTATGTCGAATATATTTTCTTTAGGAGCTTAATGTTGTCATATTATTTTTGGCCATCAGTTTTTGCACCATTCAGAATATTCTGGAAGTTGAAGGAAACTTCAAACTATACAAATGAAATAGGGAAAATAAGAGTTACTGAGTACATTTGCAGCTATTACAAACTATGCGACCGCAGTTGTCCAACTTATTATTAAGAAGATAAATGTTTTTCAAGTGCTACATAACTATATGTTTTCATGGAAAGGTTCACTTAGCTATAAACAGCTGTGTTTAGCGAGAAGCCTCAAGCTGCCTTAGGAGCTGACGGAAAATGGTTCAGACCCTGGCTTTGCCAAATACTGGTTAAACTCTGTTAACTCTTCACTCTGTTTGTCTCAAAGAGTTAGTATATAATTCTAATCTTCATTAATGCGACCGAAATAATCCATTTGAATACGGGAGAGTTATAAAAATAAGCGAAGAAAGCTTAAACAGTGTTTCCCATTTGCCGGCTAAGACAAATTGAACTGGGAAGAAAACAAAACATGTTCTTTTTACCTTTCTCATGAACTTTTTTGTTCAAATTCTTTCTATGGTGACTTCTTTTTTTGTCAGTTTTTACACATTAGAGTTATCTGATGATGATGACCTGCCAAACCCCAACCACCAAAAGAAATTAGCTAGTGTAAAAATGTAAATAACATTTAAAAAATGCAACAGCCAAAACAATATTAATATAGATCGGCTTTAATTAAGCAAAAAAACATGTACTTGGATACAAGCCACTTCGCCGTTTGAATGACTGTATTGAATCTGCATACTGCTATATTAACGAATAGACTTGATCAGTTCAGCACTGAAAAAGGTTATTGAATGCAGTGGACCACACGCAAGACAAAACTCAGTCAAACCTTGTTGCTGGATCTCTCTCTCTCCCTCCTTTTTTTCGCTTTGTAATTCCGGCCCTTTCCAAAGGTCACTTGCAACCCTCAGGAATCCGGCCAGTTACAGCAACAGCCCAGAAAGAGTTAGTGAAAATTCGTATAAGTAACCGCAAACTCATGAATGAAACTGGAAGATATTTTTAATAAATTCGATTAGAACGATAGATTCTGCCCTGTTTGTAACTCTGGTATAATTAAAGACGAATTTCTTTTTCTTTTGCATTGTCCAGAGTATTCAATCCCAAACGAAAAATTCTTCTATCAAATACAACATAATTTTGTCGATTTTAATCAGCTATCTTGCACAGAATTAACATTCTCAGAATTTTGCTGTAAATTCACATTTGTCAAAATTTATTTCATTATGAAATGATTTACGTAAGAATTTGTTATCAAATCATACTGATGACACTTGATTGACCATTGTAGTCATTGCATTGTATTAATTATATATCATTAGTTTAAATTGTAACTTAATCTTAAAGCTTTTGCAATACTGTAACTACATATTGTCATGCAACTAAAGCTTATGTTGTTAATGTTGCATTGGTTTGATAAAAGTTCCCTCTCTCCATTTGAATTGCCAGACAATAAGTTAAATTTTATGTGGATTTTGAGAGTTATAAGTGGAACTAGCTCTCCAACTGATTTGCTTTCTTTTTATAGGACCGTATTTTCTTGCTTTTTTTAACGACTGTTTTGCTAAACATCTCAAAGAATCTCGTCATTTCAAATTGCCCTGTCCAACTATGTATTAGACTACAAAAATGATATCATGTTAAGTATTTTATTAGTGAAAAAAAAAAGCCTACACCTCTACAGATGTTATTATTAATCAGTATGCCAAAAACACACCTCTTGGTCATACTGGAAAAGTCATATACAAGCAAATAGTTTTCTGCAGTGATGTAATCATACACAAAACAAACTCCCCTCTCGTTTTCCTCTCGTAAAGCCTGAAAAAACCAACACTTTCGAAATTAGAATAGATCTGGAACGAACGCACGTACTCGTTTAAGCGAGTACTTAATAGGAACTTCTAAGTGCATTGAGGGTATTCTAAACAACGTCAAATTACAATTGCTAATTTTTTAAGGCGCTTTCTACGGGTGACCAAATGCCAAGACATACCAATTCACCTTGAACTTGCATTCAGGAACGTATTTTAGTTATTGCACTTTGACAAATCGGGTTAATGCCCAAAACCTGCCTAAGAAGAAGTTAGTCTTCAGCAAGCTGAAGGTAAGTGATCAATCTGGCTATGATTTGGTAATAAGAAATTTAAAATTTGAAAGGGGGTCATGTTTTTTAAAAGTTTAAGAATCCAAAACGAGGGAAGAGCAGGAGAATTACAGAATAAACCTTGCTAGCGAAAGTGTGCTAAAGAACCAAGGCGATCTGATCCATAAAATTAGATTTTTTATCCGTACAATTACGGTCAATAAACTGCGTGCAGACCGTCGCAGGAATCACTTAAAATCACCGTAAATATTTTCATTGAATCCACCGCTATTGTTATATATCTAATTTCGGGATTTTGGCTGCAGTTGACCATGTTGAAAAGGTGGGTAGGGCTATCCAGTAGACAACACTATCAGTTCCCTAACACTCATTCCCTCGTATGACGAAGATTTTATCCGGTGGATTAACCCTTAATTCCAACTCAACGTTTCAAAAAAAATGGCGCATGTCATGATTATCTGTTTGCCTGTTTGTCTTTAGCGATCTGTATTGTAGTTTTTTATAAGAATCTAATTCGTTAAGGAGCAGATAAATTTATTAATTTTTTAATTATCAATACCATTCCTTAAGATCAAGTCCTTCATCAGCAAAAACGGGTGGGTTCATTAAAGAAACTAGGCTCGTCGTTGCATTGTAGACGTGTTACCCCAAGAGATTTAACTACCATTTCATCACTTCTGATTTAAGTATTGCAGCCAGAGTTTTAGAAAGTATTATTTGTCTTTTTTCAGCAAAATGACCTGGGTAACTCTGCTTTTATTGGGACCAGTCATTGCATGCGCAGGCTGCAGAATGACTCGATTTTTCAAAGAGGAAAATGTCGTTCTGCGAAATCACGTGATAAAAACTGTGACAGTCGATCATCCAATCAAGTGTCAAGAGGAATGCTTGGACATACCACTCTGTTTTTCTGTCAACGTGCATCTACATCAGGGGTCATCTGGCCGGTTCACGTGTGACTTAAATAATTCAAGCAAAACCGCTGGCCCGATGGACTTAGTACCGAATGATGGATGCCAATACCGTCAAATGGCGGTAAGTTGTGTGAAAATAAATAACTATCCTATCTTTAAATAACTATCCTATCGGTTTAAAACGAAATAACTCCAATAGCCAATCTAGCCTGATGTCTTGAGTTTTGATGTATACAAAGCGCGTTAAACCCTAAGGTGATGTTACCCGAGACGAATCGCAACGACGATTTTTAACGCAACATAGCGTTGCAGTGAGTGTTGCGACATCGTTTCGAATGGTTACAACATTGTTCCAGCATATCAACTCTGTGTTGCTCTAAAAATCGTCGTTGCGTACCGTCCCGTATAAACATCACCTTCAAGCTAAGAGCCAACATATATTTGTTTTGCTTGTGATTCGATATCAATGGACACCCAATCGAGTCTTAAACGAGGCCAAAAAGGAATTAGTGTTATTGATAAACGAAAGTGTGCTTTGAAAAGGTGCTAAAAAGCCTGGTTTTGTTTGTTTGTTTGTGTTTTCGCTCATAAAGTTTGCCTGAACATATTTTTCCCCGGCAGGAAGTTTTACATTGCACTATGGATCAATGTATCTACAAAGACGGTAAGATGCCATATAAATTGACTTAAAAGTAACCAGCTTTAAACTCTGTAAAAATGCTAACTTAAATAAATCAATTAAATAACGTGACCTATTATGATTATTTTCTATAGTTCTACCCGGTGACTGGTTCATATACGGTTCCAAAAAGCTTAAGATTTTTGCCGAAAATCGGAACTGGACCAGCGCAAGGGCCTACTGCCAGTCGATTGGAGGAGCTTTAGTGTCAATTAACAGTGAGGGCAAGAATGAGTTCATCACTCATTTGCTTGGTAAATTTATACTTAAAATCTTACAACAGGCTGGTTAGAAGCGAAACAGTTCTCATCTCCTGATCACGTTCGGTTGAGATCAACAAGGAGAAATTTATGGACTGGAAACTATAAAATATTTTCTACGAGATATTTCAACTACATCGCTTAGCTTTCATTAGTCGCAAGTTACATAGCAGTCACGTGACCTGAGAAAAGTCACGTGACAGGGGAATTGCGTCTTAGATATTGAGTAAATAAGCCTTAGAGCTCCAGTCAAGTTTTATATGTACAAGTTTTGTGACCATACAACTCACTTGACAAACTTCTGGTCAAATTTAACCTTAAAATGCTACGCTAACACTTTTGTCAAAGCGGACGCACAAATAGGGGAAGAGTGCCGACAGACTATATTCTATCTGCAAGGGTATTCTGACCCATCGCAAGAAACTGATGTAGTCAGAAAACTACGGCGAATACAGTTCGCTCTACAAGAAGAACAACTTTATGTTGAATGTGTGGTGAGATTCCACACGTGTCTGACACGTATCCGGATTCCCTCCAGTACCCAGGACTCCACTGGGAATATTGCCAACTGAGCATGCGTCGTTAAGAGCGCGAAATTCGTATCTTGCTCTGCCTTTCACGGTACAGAACTAATCTCGATCTTGGTACGTCAGCGGTAAAAAAATATCCGGATTTAGCGTCCACACGATTCCGAGATTCATAGCATATTCAAAAATTTCCACTCTGAAAGTTGCGGATTTGTATGCCGGATTCATCGGATACGGGTAGACGGAAGCCGTATGCGGAAAGATACTTGGCCCCATACTTGTGGACAGGGCCGTTAACAATAACGCATATAACCCGTACATTATCTGATGGCTTTATAGGGTAGTTCTAAATTATGGCTGATTTTTCAAAAAAAAAAATCCAAAATTCCAACCCTTTTCAGAAATGATGACTTTTTTGCAAAAGTAAATGGGATAAATATTTAAACGAAGTCTAACTTAAGGCGCGGTTTAACGAATCTTTGAACCTCCAGTTCTCTTCTTTGGTGGGTTGTTTTAAGATCAGGAGTCTTCTCCATATGCTTTCATAAAACTGTTCACAATAAATGATGTTTAAATAAAATCGTTGGGCAAATTGAAAATGACTGAGAACACGGTTTTGTTAAACACTGGCTAAACCACGTTTAAATATTTGGCCCAATGTCCTTGATCGCGTTCGTCAGAACGCATCCTAATTTGGTGTCCCTCTGGCACTAAGGCAGAAATTTTCGACTGCAAATTAGCCGCACCTATTAATTTTATCAGGGGCACCTTAGCTAGGAAACTGGACTCTTTTCGACTCATTGATTTCGTTTCCGTAATTTTTTCCGTAAGTGACGAACGTGGATCCGTAATAAACGATTACCTCTAGTCTATAAATTTAAGTCCAGGTCAGACCAATTTTTTGTTTGCATGTTATTTACCATATTTTGCCTGAATTTAAAGTTTATACCAATTTTTTTTTTCATTTATGTTAAGCCAAATTAGGTTATCAACCAAACACACTTCTAGCGCGCTGGTCTTTGGATGGAACTGACTCAGAGGTGAAGTAAGTAAACGAACAGTGAATAATTCATAATCAATTACCTATTTCTGTTGTGTTGTACTGTATAGGACAAAACTGCACGATGACGAACTTTTACTACGACTACCAGATTTGCTGGTTTGCACATGACGTCACGGCGGCCATGTTGGTGGTCAAGAACATAAGCATTTCTCTCCTCTGGGAACTAAACTCTATTTTCATGTAAATTCTTCGGGAAAAAAACTCTATTGTATTGACCCCCAACATGGCCGCCTTGTCACGTGGTTGCAGACCAAGAATCCTTCAGTTTGCTGTTGTCTGGTGCAAATTAGGTCTATTGTTTTTTAAGCCCCAGCGGGATGTACAAATTTGAATAAGAAAGCAAAAACGAAATGAATTCTTAGTTGTAGTCAAATGCCGTCATCGTGAAAATGGCCTGTTAAAAACTTGAATGATAGTTGGTTTTAAAAAGAATAGGTGTCAATGAATTCACATAATTCCAGCAGGCTAAATGTTGAAACAAGTATAATGACAGTCTGTCATCAAGCGTGGCATTATTTGTTAATTAACATTATTATTCATTCAAAGTATTTCCCCAATTCTGATTGGCTAAAAGCACACACATAATTCACCATAACCAGTCACTGATGACTAAATCTGGAAGAATTTGGAATTATTTTGAATGAATAATAAAGCAATTAATGAATTCGGCTTTCGTAGCATATGAAGAATTAAGCATATCTCGGAGGGTGTTATCCACCTCGGCCTTCGGCCTCTGTAGATAACAGCCTCCTCGATCTGCTTAATTCTCCTTATCCTACTCAGCCTCATTCATTAATTGCTTAATAAATTTTTTGGCTGTAAAGGTGATGTTACACGGTACGATTCGCAATGACGATTTTTAACGCAACACAGCGTTGCAATGTTGGAACAATGTTGTAACTATTCCAAACAATGTCGTAACAATGTTGCAACGCTGTGTTGCGCTAAAAATCGTTGTTGCAAATCGTCTCGTGTAACATCACTTAGTAACTCTTTCTTTACTTAACTTGGCGTGAAAACATGAAACACCGGACCAGGGGCCCGTTTCTCGAAGGTCCCGATAATTAACGGGCCCGGTAAGCTGTCTCCGTTTACATTAAAGATCGAGGTTTCAATAGTTTTGCATTCAACACGATAAAACTGTCAGTTAATGAAACAAAATGGAGTAGTTTGCTAACCAGGACCCGCGCTCTTATTCTTTATATTTCGATTTGAATATTTGATTTCGGGCCCGTAAAGTTACCGGGACTTTCGAGAAACGGGCCCCAGGCCAATAAAAGTGGCATATATCATGACTTCAAATATTAAGCTAATTATGACGCCACATTTGATGGCCTCATCCATGCGTAAATTTTAAACTTGAATCTCCTTATTTTAGCTTATTTTTGTACCGTTTTTGAAAGAACTTTTTTATGAGCTAAATACAACATTCTTAATTTAGCTAAATTAGTTTTACAAAAACGGGGTACCTAAAATAAGTGGGTAAAATGAGTGTAAAATTAGGTGTTTTATTGTGTTGGTGCAATCACGATAAGTAAGTTACAAATAACGCATCTTTACGGTCGAAAGCTATAATAACTTCTTATTGTATAAAGTTTGATAACAAAATTGAACATTCCAAATTCTTGATAATGTGGTAAGGGGAAAGTTAGACTGATAAGAATCATTTTTGGCTTTCAAGGTTACAGTGTCTCAAGCCATTTTGCAGCTACTCCGTAAAAACTGAAATCGTTTATAGCGGAGCTCTCGCGCGCAGCGGAGCAGCATGGGTACGAAAATTTGGTAAACTATCCATCAACATAAAGACGAAACTACGCCGGGCAAGGCTGTCAGTTGGCTGACAGTCGTTTAAAGTTATATTGGCAAGCCAAATAAAGGTCAATTGACAGCTGTCAAAATGGGACACGTGTAGACCGCTATCAGAAAACTAATAACGTGGGCTCAGGTTCGCTCAGATACACTATCTGGCATTTTCCAATACATGCCGGACGGATATGTCTTACTCACACTCGTAGTCTGTTAATTCAAATATTCGCCATTCTAATGAAGGTTAATTGACAGCTGTCAAACTAGAGTATACGCTGACCATCATTACCTGAGTGTATCGCGGGCTCATTTTTCTATCCATTGAGGTCACGCAGTGTTTAAAGTTTTGCGCTGATATTTTATTTGATCACGGGCTCAATTCGAAGCCCCATAGCTTAGAAAATCTATCCATCCTAGAAAAATCGGCAATCACGTGACAGTACACTGACCACCCGACCTTCTGTCCGTCCGCACCACAGGTGTACCAATGTTTAATCTCATACTTTCTAGCTAGTTTGGGAGCCTGCAACCTGATATTGTACATCCATGTTTTGATTAATTGACAGCTGTCAAAATAGTGTCTCCGCTGACCAGTATCGCCTGACCGTATCGCGGGCTCAGGTATCGACCCACTGAGTTAGAGTGATTTTTTGAAGGTATCCGCTGACAAGTTGCTACTTTTCAAATGATCGCAGGCTCAAGTTCAATTTTTTCAAAATGCATATGAAGTCGCGTTCATGAGCCGCACTTTTAAAATTTTGATTTCGAACTGACCTCGGACGCGAAAATTCAACCGGCTTTTACATTTCCATTCAGGGAAGGCAATCGCGTTTGACTTTTCGCACTGTCACTCGTTGATCACGCTCTACGTCCAATTTTTATGTTCTGATTGGTCAAAATTTGACAGGTGAGTTCATGCGGAAAATTTGTTTACTGATAGCTTGAGCTGACAGAGTTTTGTGTCATCTTGTGATGTTTTAAACTGTCATTTTCTACTTTGTATACAAAATGAAACACAGCTGCTATCAAGATTGTTCTGTAATTCATGGCTGGTTTGTTTATTGCGCTTTTTGTTGACAAATGCACCGCTTGTCAAAGTCATTGGAAATCCGATTTCGGATGGCATCGTTTTCAAAAATGAGCTTACTCACTTGCCCTTGCTTGAGGCATAAGAGGGTTGAAAAGTCTCAAGCGATTCTGGATCACTTGATGACCTTCAGAAGCAGTATCTCGACTGGTAAGCCTGAGCAGTTATTGTCTATGATGTGTTTTTTTTTTTTCGGTTTCCTGAAGTCGAGCGTATGGTTTATGCGGCTTAAGTTTATACACGAGCAATGATCAGGAGCACCCAACGAGAATATAGTTCAAAACCACTTAAACATAGAATTGTTAAACGTATTTTAGTATTTAAACGGTAGATATAGGCATATTTTTATCCCCTAAAAATTTTTGATCTGTTCGGATTTCCTAACTGAAAGTCTAGTGATCCGAAAATTATAGGGATCAAAACTTACTTTTTCGAAAATTTCAGCCAGAAAAAAGGCTCCCCAAAATTCTAGGTGACCTGTTTAGGGTAAAAATCCGTTAAAAATAGGCAATTACACCATTTTTTAGGTGTTCGAAAATCCTAGGAGAGGCAGGCAAGTAAGAAATTTTACAACAAATGTTCCGAAAATTCTACTGAGATCTCAAATCGTCTTCCGAACAGATATTTTTCCGAAAATTGTCGTTGGGTGCCCCTGAATGATCTAACCTACAATAGTATCAGGTTTAAAAAGCCTTTAGACATTTTTTGACCGCAAATTCAAAGAAAAGATTCCAAAGATTATTTAGTTATGATTTTGACTGTAAACAGAAAGCTCTGAGCGATTTTCTTGCGTCGAGTTCATCTTGAAAAAGAGCAAACACCGGGAAGCCCGCTTAAAACATAAATAAGCTTATACTCACCTGACTCATGATTTTCAGAGACACTTTACTCTCAATACTTCTCTTCGTGAATGAAAATTATTGTCTCTGTACATGTTTCACCGAATTATGTTTATTTTATTGATTGTTAGTATAGTCCCTCTCGCAATTTTTATCGCTGCACCGGTTGTTTCCAGTCGAACATAAACATCGCATGCAGGAATACTCAAAACGCCGGGCGTAAATATCACTCGCGTTTAAATATTACGCACAAAACCATACACAGTTTAATAAATAAAGGGAAATAAAACCTAAACATAACAATTTGTCTATTATGTTCGAGCGTAAATGGTAACTCTATTAATCGCACTGCAAATTTGGTGCCTGTGAAAAGTGAGAACCCGTCCGGCTGGCCGAAAAGTGATTTTGGGAATTTTTTTTATCGTTTTCATGAAAAGCCCATAATTATTACCCTGCATATCACATAGGACCAGATTTTTCTAACTGAAAAGTCCCGGCATTATAGAATTCTCTTCATGAAAACGTTTTATAATTCAATAATTTGTTGTGCAAAGGAAGCGCGTGCTTTGATCGTCGTGGATATTGAATGAGTGCAAATTCTCTTGCAAAATTGTGAAAAACTGCAGAATTCAATTATAGGTTTAAATAGGGCAAAAAAGAACAAATTCTGTCCGAGGTCTGTATGATAAAAAAGGGCCTCATAGTACTGTGTACCTGAGACGTGATGAGAAAAACTATGTTTAAAAGGCTGGTTTACGCGCCACCAGATTCGTCGCCAAGATTTAATTTACTAGTAACCTAAACTTGTCGAATGCAAGAAATCCGGCCTGATTTTTTATTTTGGCCTCTCTTTTAGACAGAGGAATGCAACGTGTAAATTGGCTGCCAACAAGGACTATCGTGGCGCGTGTTTATATTTCGAGGTTGTCCAATTATCCATAGTCTCTCTAACGGAGCAATGTTGGAGAGACTGGTGAATGCC